TCACTTTCAGCATTCAATAGGCATTTAAGTCCGATTCCATGGGAGCTAAGTGTGTCACTTGCAGGCATGCCATTGACACCCATGCGATTGTTGTTAATTAATTAAAAATAAACACTCACAGGCGATTGCGTTGACAAGATAAAATGGCCAAGCCACACAGATTCAGGCAAATAAAATACTATAATACAAATAAAAATGGCAAGCGCTCGACTCCAGCCCGAATGCAATAAATTGTGACAAAAAAAAAAGTCGGCTTCAAAATCTATATATTCGCTGTGGCGTCAAGGTGCGACATTGACCCTGGTGGCTCTGTATTTGCTTTTGTGTCTTGCCTGTCTGTGTGTGGCACAAATCTAAACAAAAAAAACAAAGCTGAAAAAAATTATAACGTTATCGGTGCAACTACAATAATGCATTGCATTTAAAAGTGCATAAAATGTTTATTGGAGTTGGAGTTTTTGGTTTTCCACGCCACGACAAATGAACTACACTGGACTGCAAAATAGCTTTGAATATAGAAACTTTAGGGTTTATTTTGACTTAAAAAAAAACAAACAACAAGAACATCTTAGGAGGGATTAAAATAATAAAATAACAAAAAAACTCTTTGGTAATATTGTAATATTTTTTAAGTATCCTGTTCTTTTTGAAACCTTTTCTTTGATGACCTGTGTATATCAGGCAGTCAGGGCCAAACTTAACCTTGCTAAAGCACTTATTCTTGCTGTTGTAAGTTGCTGTTGCCGGCGATGTTGCTGTTGTTGTTGCAGCTGCAGGCAATGCCACTTGCAACAACAGCAACTATATAGAACACAGCTGTGCAAAGCAACATAAAACAACAAAAAAAAAAAATAGAAGAAAAAATTACAGCCAAGTATTGGTACTTGAGGAACGAAAAAAAAACGTAGAAACAATTATTGCCATTAGCAAATTGGAAATATTTTCTGCTGTTGTTCGACTTCACGGGTTTTTCTCACGGATCGCGGAAAAGCCTTTCCTTTCTCCAAATAAAAATCATCGTTGGCCAATTGGTTTGTCAATAAGCACAATTGAAATCAGCGATCTTCTACGTAATTAGCCAGCAGCAGCAAAAAAAAAAAAAAAAAAACAGAAAAGAAAAGAACGAGGCAAGCAAGTGGTGCTAAAACCCGAGAGGGCGAGAAGAAATGTAATTTGTTTTCACACAACATAATCAACATGATAACCCCGGCCGAAAACGTCTTTAGATTGAGTCTAATGATGATAAACGCTTTTACTGTGAGGTAACTACAGACTCCTGACACCGACGCAATTCGCTGGCCGGCGAACAGCAGAATCGGCAGACTTTGCCAGACTTTGGCTGACTTTGGCAGACTTGGGAGACTCGGCCGACTGGCCAGACCCAGAGATACTTTGGCAGGCACCACCTAAAAGATGCAGATAGACGGAGGAGGGAGTACGAATGCCTGCCTGGGCCAATAATAAGTCAACATTCCAAGGCGTGTTAAGAGATGCTCGATTAAATGCCTCAATTGTGGCTCATATTGAACACCAACGGGCAATGGGCAACACACAGTCTGAGCCAAAAGTCGACGATCCGGCCAACATCGACACCACACACCACCTGTCCGCAAAGAAAAAACAAAAAACAAAAAAAAAAAAAAGGGTAGACGGAGTGGAAGAAGCAGCGGCAGCAAATAGCACGCCCCCACCAACGGTCAACTTGCAAGTCGGTGGTGGTGCAGTTGGTGGTGCAGTCGGTCTGCCTGACTTTTAGCACTGCTCCACCGCCGCCGTCGACCGACGACGACTGGGCGAAATCGTTTAGTGTCGTACCTAACTAAGAAAACGTATTTTCAATATCGAAATTATTATTATTAGCTGACAGCAAATCGCAGTTTTCAACTGACTTTCCGCAGTTGTTGCTGTTTGCCGGCTCATGTTGTAATAAATGGACGGCACCGCGGTCCACTACTCTCTGTATACACTTTGTAGGATATGCGAGTGCCAAACGAAACAAAAGGGCTTAGTACATGTGTTCGGGCTTATCGGGTCAATTGCCAAATTGGGTAAATGGTATCCGCAAAACCATGGGTGGAAATATGTTAAAACAGAAAATATTATATAATATAACTAAGTACATGTTCACTGATAATTGAAAGTTTCCACACTGCATGATTAATAACTACTCATAAATTATACAATAATAATAGAAAAATGAGGCAGAACAAATCGTTTACATGAAGAAAAAATAAACAAATTAAGCCCTAAGCTATATAGCAAGGTAGATTTAAGTTATTGCGTCTATACAAAGCGAACGTACTCAACAAATCGGTAAATATCTTTATGGTGTCATTATAAAGTGCTGTAAAAATAAGTTAAATGAAATAAAAGCAATCTTCCTGTAATTTCAGGTATACATTTCAGTTACTTAAATAAAAACCAACTCATTACGATAAGGCTGTTATAAACATGCTTATTTGAGGAATTTAGAAAATTATACACCTGTAAAGGGTATCCAAATTATCACCATAAAGCAACTCACGCCACTCGCTGCCATCAATTTTGCGCTCGTCCCGCGCTATCGGAGACTTTGGGGCCGGCTTCTAAAGGTGAGAAACTGGCCATATTGCTGGCGGGTGTAAGGCTGCACCCTGGCAACACACAACAACAACACAACACACAGAGCAACACACACACCCGTCGTCAGTGGGACCACAGAGCCGGGCCGGCACAATTATATGCCATTTTGCAAAAAACTTTCAATAAAAATAATCATATCCAAATGAAATTTATGCACAACTAAGCAGGTGTTTAGTGACGAGTCAAGCGGGCGGTTCAGCGATTTCGGCCAAAGGTGAAAAGCGCCGACCCATCGGCCGACTCCCTCCGGAGTTGAGTGGTGGAAATTCGTTACAGTTGTCGATTCATCAAACAAGATAATCCCGATGGGCCCAGCGCCTAACAAGGCGAGCTGTGATAAGCAACACGTTGCCATTGTCGGTATCGAATTACCGATCTTCCAATTAACTGGCCAATAATGCGGCGTGGACCTTTTAATTCGCCCAATACTGCCAACTCACGCACTGCCCACTAGGCCATTGCTTATGCTATTGTTGTTGTTATTGTTGTTTGTGTTGTTGTTGTTGTTGCTGTTGCCGTTGCAGGCCAACACAATAGACACATTTTGTAAGCAACAACGGGGGGCTAATCAACTTCAAACGAGAACAATTGCGCCGAGTTGCTTTTTTGACAGGATCGATGGGAATTGCAAGTGGTTGATTTGTTGGCAGGGGCAAAAGTAGGGAAAACACTGAACTTCAATCTTCATAAATGCAAAGTGATTGAATTCAATGTGCGTACTAGTATTTAAATATTGCTACCTTATCAACAAGGAACCAAAATAGCCTTTAATTTCTGGTTCAAAGCGAGGTATAAGTACTTCAAAAGTAAACTAGAAAAAAACTAAACGACTACCAAGAATCGATGCAAAATGATTGAATTCAATATGGGCCTGGCACTTAACATCCATCAAAACACTAAACGAGGAGTATTTAGAACGGCTGCGGCAACAGCAACTGCAACTGCAACCAGTTGTTGTTGCCGGTTGCATGTTGTTGCTGGTTGACATATGAGCAGCAGCAACATCAGTTGCACCAACATCAGTTGCAGCGGCTGAAAAAGAAGAAAGGAACTTTTGCCGCCACACCAAAGTCCGGTGATTTTTTTTTTATTTATTTTTTTTTGTGTTCGAAGAGCGGCTACTACACAGAAATCCAGGGGACCTAACAAGCAGCAGAAGCGGCCCAGAATTATGTAACAACCGCACCGGCAGTGGCCTGCAAATTTGCAAGTCAAGAGTCACTGGAGATGTCACTCTGCGCGGATGGACAACTCGGCGGACAGCTGAGCAAAGCGGCCGCCGCCTGGATTGCTTGCCTGCTTGCTGTTCCGCTGTTTGGTTGTTGAACTTAATCCCCCGGCATGATGGTGCAACATTCGCCGAGTGTCCGTTGTCCTGGCAAGGTTGTTATGGACGCACACCGCTCGCTTGTTTGTTGTGGCAAACACAGGTGATTCCGGGCGGATTAAACGGCACATAACCATTAGCCAAGCCATCAACACCTGTCCTCCGCCGAAAAAAAGAAACCACCGAAGATGATCTCGCGTCGCGACAAATTGCTGCAGCAGCCGTGGGAGCAACTGCGCTACGCCCAGCACCGCGAGAAGGTCATGTCCGCTCGCCCAGCCATCGACACCCACTCGCCCCGCGCCCACGAGCACGTGCAGCGCAAGTGGAAGAAGCAGCAGGTCGAGCGGGAGCGCCAGCAGCAGATCGAGCGCGAGAACCTGCGACTCCTCCAGAAACTGGGCGACATCATGCGCACCAAGCGCATCAACAACCTCTGGCTGGAGCCGCGGCCCAAGTTAGTATTGTGCTGGGGAGAAAACTGAAACTTACTAGTCTCTTTTGAAAAGATCTAGAAAATGTATAAAGTATCTAACCATTTATTCATGGGATTTTTACCTTAGCAACTTGTTTACGATTAACTGCAGTCAACAATAATTTATATGACTTGTCTGCTGTTTTCTCTTCCAAACAAATATTTATAATTCGCAACCCCACTTACGTATTAGATTTTCCCAATTCAACTCTTCTCCGCATTTCAGTTTTCTCAATCGCGAGAAGCTCTTTCCCACCCGTCCGTACTCCAGCCTCCCGGAAATCGTCACCATTTACGGGAAGCAACCACCTGGACCGCTTATCTATGGCATGCTGCCCAAACCGACGGTTGTGGGTCGGTGTCCCACCTGCAGCGGCAATCCGGAGCGCACTGAGGTGGCCATTCCGGAGCAGCGGACTCCTTGGGCGCCGGAGAGAAAGTCCTGGAACCGAAAGACCCAGGAGCAGGTGAAAAAGCAGCGCTGCTACCACTGCGGATTTGTGAAGACCAGCGAGCGCAAGTTCTTCGAGGAATTCTCCTACTCTTACTCCTACGACGAATGATGAAGCCCGAGGATCGAGGGTCAAATAAAAAGAAATTCAAGTTTATTCATCAGGCCTTTGGTATATTCGGTGGCAGAGTGGCGAAGGTGAGGAAGCCCGTGTGACCGGGCAGCGTTTGGGGATTGCTGGAGGTCAGGTACTTCTTCACCTCCTTGGGCGCTTTGCTTTCTTCGGCGTTCGCTGCGGTCGTCTCGTCCGTTTTGGGCAATTTAAGGAACTCCAAATCGATGACGGGCAGCGTGCGGGTCTTGACCACGTTCTCCTGCTGCAACACCTCCAGGGAGACAATCTCGTTAAAGCCCAGCTTGGTCAGCTCCTGGATGCAGCGCTGCGACTGCTCGATGCAGGGTGAAAACGAACAAAAACGACCACCTGAAGGAAAGGGAAGGGGAAATCAGGTTTATCGAGAGGTTAGGCTTGAAGTCCTTAAAATATTTTGGATAATATAATTGGAACCTTAAAAGAATAATCAGAGGTATCTAAAACTCAGTTTTCCCTAACATTTAAACCGATTTGCATTCCTTTTATTTGGGTTTTCAATACAGTAGTACCTAGGTCCGGTGCAAACCTGCTGAACAATTGAAGTTCCCATCCGCCTAATGACAAACTCGCCCGGTCAGCCTGCCTTTGCCGCATCAAGTGTCAAAAGCGGGCTCATTCAATGTCAAACACGGTGAAATGGCAGCCCGACTGACTAGCTGACTGCAGCGTTGGTTTACTGGATGGATAGCTGACTGACTGACCGACAGAGATGGGGTTTATATAGGTATTTTTCGTGGTTATTCTAGAAATTGGGTACATTTAAAAAGCTGCCTTAAAATACAAAGATATCTATTCAACACAAAGAAATAAAAATATGGCTAAAAACCAAAAAGAAAAGAAAGTTAAAAGAATGTGAATCCTATTCGAAAAGTTGGGTTTTACTGAGGTACTCTTTCCAATGTACCCAATATAGCTAAGGCCTAATTGTACCCGTGCCATCTCTACTAAGCCTACATATCCGCCTGATTGCCGGATTGCCCGCAAAAGGGCGCTGACAACTAGTTGTCAACGAGATGTTGGCCACTCACCGGACAGCTTCAACGCCTTGAAAGCGTGCGGCACCGCGAGATCGGGTGAGGGCAGATCCAAGAAGACCGCATCGGCCTTTCCGTCCAGCTCTCCGCCAAAGCCCAGATTGCACACATCCCGGTGATAGACGGTGACGAAGTCGGCAAGTCCATGTCGCCGGAATTCGTCGCGTGCCTGATCCGCGCGAGCTTCGTGGAAATCGAAGGTGTGCAGGTGTCCCGTGGGTTTCAGAGCTCTAAGAAAGTAGTGCGATAAGGACCCTGATCCGGTGCCCGACTCAATGACCACCGCACCGGGTCGCACTTCCAATTGGTGTATAATCATGCTGATATCCGGCGTGTAAATAATCTGTGTGCGATGCGGCAGTGTTTGGGTCCAGAGTTCCGGAGTTGGCTGAAGGACATGGGCCCAACCCTTAGAGAGCTCCACTCGGCTTCCATACTTCACTCCTATTATATCTGTAATAAACTTGACGATCAGTAAGAACCTTAAAATGATGACAAAAACTTACTTTCCACTTTAAGCGAACCGTAGTTAGTTTGAAAGATGTGCGGTATAGTTTCGCCCTTTTTGTTGACTATTTCCGGTACCGCTTCAATGGCATGCATAGAACTAACACTTAAATACAATATCACCACATCGCCCTTTTCTATGTGACTCTTGGGTTTCAGAAAACTCATGTTTAAGGTAAAAAAAACCAACGAAACTCTCGTTTATTTACAAAATGAGCGCGTGTTAAAAGATTAGAGATGGAAGATTCGCGAAATGGACGAGCTATCGGTAAGTTATTCACGTTTTCCAGTTTTCAGTGCTATACAATTTTTTTTGTTGGTACAGTGAAGGCTTCACACTGATGCCAAAAACCGAAAAATGTTTTTTTCTAAATATGGTCAAAACCTTTTTAAATTATGTCCGATCTTGGATTGGTACACCTCAAAATGATTGTGATGATGTTCTCTAAGAAACTGCATCATTAATTTAGTTTCGAATTTTTCATCGATTTTCTTATAATTTTTATGATGTATTATAATGATTTTGGATTGGTATACCTTTTAATGGTTGCGAGACAGTCCCCTAAAAAACTGACCCTTAGATTTGTTTCAATTTTTTCACAGTTTTATGCCAAATATCCAAAAAATGTTTTCGTTTTGTTTTAAAACTTATCAGATAACTTCGTATTCAAAACTTTTCTAGGTAATTTAATAAATTGGTATATGGGCTTCTTCTTCCTAATGTGCCATTCACCTTCTACACTGACATGTGAGCCACTGCAGTTCGGTTAAAACTTTTATAATGCCACAAATTGCTAATAAACCTAATGAATCGTGAGTTTCGTAAATAAAATTATAAATTTATTCAAGTAAATCATAATATTATTCAACAGCACAATAAGAGTGCCGTTTGACACTCCACGACTGGCTGAAATCGCCTACAGAGTGCTGAGTGTTGACCAGGAACCTCGTCGGAACTTCGTGCAGAAAACTTTGAGCCTGGATGGCGATGTCCTAGTCATTAATTTCCGAGCCGACCAAGTAAAGAGCCTGCGCACAGCCATCACCTCCTTCTTTGAGAGCCTACTCCTCTGCCAGGACACTATCAAGCAGTTTGGAGACTCCAAGGAGGAAAAAGTAATCCCAGAGAGCGAAGATAATGCCGGAACACAGTCCGGCTCCGACTCCGCATAGGGCGGTCTACGGATTTGCCTTTTATATGCTGTTTACGGTCCTGTTCTTCATCTACGTGGCTTGGGCCCTGTTGCCTGTGGAGTTTGGACTGCATTCCTATCTACCGGACAAGTATTTCGCTGTATTTGTGCCATTTCTGGTGCTGGTCTTCGCCTGGTTTTTTGCCTTTCTCATATACCCAGCTATAAATCTCTCGATGACCGTGGACGTAGATTCAATTGCCTCTGTGGTGGATCCCAAGTTGGTTCTACCCAAGGGCACAGCATTTACCTCTTGGTCGCAGTTGCAACAGAGTAAGGAAAACCGGGAAAATGTGCCAAAGCAGCCCTCTCCAATCGACTGCAACCTTTGCAGGACTTTCCACCAACCTGTGACACGTGCTCCCATAGCACCTTTACGTTTCCTGGATCTCCAGGAAGTAAATACAGCGTATTACAACTAAAAAACTAAACGGGGCTTTAATTTTCGAACAAGCAAATCACTTTCTTCGCACGGTGGTCCAGCCCTCTTCGGGCTCCACGAATTCCTGGGCTTGCTGTTTGCGGGTCTGTGAGCGGGTCATCCTCCCACTACTTGTGGGAGCATCCTCCTCGTCCTCGCCCATTTCATCATCCTCCTCGTCATCCTCATCCATGTCATCATCGGAGGAAGAATCACCTTCAATTGGTGTGTAAGTGATCTTCACATCCGGACGCAGCCACTCCTTGCCAGCAGGAAGTTTGCTTAGCTCAGTCTCAATTTGAGGATATTGATTCTGTTGGGCCAGAAGCTTGTAACGCAGTAGATTCCTGCAGATCTCCGGAATGGAGTCGTCGTCGCACAGGGTGTTGAACTCCTGGTCCATCAGTTCCTCCAGGACCTCTTGCAGCTCACCTTGGGTGATGTTTTCATTGGATACACAGTACTGGTAGGTGTAGTCCATGATTTCGATGGCCACCTGTGCAAGGCATGGGGAAAAGGTTAGATTATATACCGTTTTAAGAGTGGAATGTAACCAACCTGCTGTCCATTGCGTCCACCCATGCCATGCTCAACAGCCAACCGGAGATCTTGCCAGTGGTTGAAGATCTTCTCGACAATTAAGCGAAAATTCTTTTGGAAATCGGTTTGTTGTGCGGCTGCCATCGCATGTGCTGTTCTAGTGTTGGCAAGCGCAGAAAGTAGCAGTAGTAGTAGTAGTATTCTCATTCCCAGGGAATGGGCAACATTCTCAGGGAGCCGCAAACATTTTCACCCATTGCGCCAAAAACTGCACCAAAATAAACAATAATCCCCAAAACCATGTCGGATGTAGAAGATGTACCAGAAACCCAGCTCGAAATCGATGTGAGCGATGGAGCAGGTCTGGAGGACGATGATGACGACGATATGGAACAGATAACAGCACAGAAGGTGGGGAAGAGTTGAGCAAAAACCGTATAGACCCTGCAAACTAAGTACATCTCGATTACCAAAGGTTCTGGAGATTTTGGAGACGGCGTGGATCAACGAAATGTGCGCTCCGGAAATCCTACCCAGCCAAACGGACATGCTGGAGCTAATGGTCTCCCAGGTGGCCCACATGGAGGAGCAGATGCGCGACCTAGACAAAAATGATTTCCGGGCGGTGGTGCACTCCATGGAACTGGAGAGGGTGCGCTATATAATGGCCAGTTATATGCGGTGTCGCCTTCAGAAGATCGAGACCTTCACGCAGCACATACTGAACCAAGAGGCTAGTCGGGAACACGACGACAAACGGCTGTCTCCCGAGGAGGCCAAATTTGCCCAAGAATTTGCCAACAATGTGGATGAGTACTTCCACAAAGTGGCCACCCAGTATATGCCTAATCAACAGAGAGGAGAAGCCGAACAAAGAATAGTTACTCCCAACCTGATGAGCCATGTCTTCCTCAAGGCGAATGTTGCAGGTAATACTCATTGACCACTGACCTACGGCTTTATCTTGAGTATTTGTTTATATTCTAGTGCCCGCTGTAATCGTGGGTGTCGATGATGAGGAGGTGGATATGGCAGCCGGTTCCCAGCATATTATACCATACCAACTAGTGGCTGATCTAATACTGAATAACCAAGCGCAGCTAATTTAATAGGTTTTTAAGCAAAACTTAAACATACAACCTCGTTAGCAGTTAAATTATACATAAATTAATAATTTAAAAAATGTACTATTTTACATAATATTCAAAACTGAAAGAAAAACGCGTTCCCGCTAAAACCCCGACAGTGTTGGTCAACAATTGCAGCCGGAACAGCTGCGCTTGTGCGTGACGTCACACTGCGCTCTATACCGACAAACCACGCATTCAATTAGCCCCAAAGTTCAGTCGTCAATGTGGCGGGCTTTGGTTCAATCTTCATTGAGAGCAGTAGTCATCGAGTGTGGTTCCCTCGGAGTCGAATTCTCACCTTTTACGCTGACGAAGCAGCTATTGCGACATTCCAAGGCCAGCAATCGGACCATAGCCACCACCCCCAATCGACCACCTTACAAAATCAAAATCATGAGCGTGGAAAAGCCAAAGGTTGTCTTCGTTTTGGGAGGTCCCGGAGCCGGGAAAGGAACGCAGTGCTCCAAAATAGTGGATCGATTCCAGTTCACGCACTTGTCGGCAGGTGATCTCCTCCGAGAGGAGCGTTCGCGGGAGGGCTCCGAGTTCGGAAACCTCATCGAGGATTACATTCGCAATGGCAAAATTGTACCCGTGGAGGTCACGTGTTCGCTGCTGGAAAACGCCATGAAGGCGTCGGGAAAGTCGCGATTCCTCATTGATGGCTTCCCCAGGAATCAGGATAATCTGGACGGTTGGAACCGCCAGATGTCCGAGAAGGTGGACATGCAGTTCGTCCTGTTCTTCGACTGTAGCGAGGATGTGTGCGTCCATAGGTGTTTGGGTCGAGGGCAAAGCGGTTCCGGCCGGACGGACGACAACATGGAGAGCCTAAAGAAGCGGATCCAGACGTACAACAACGACTCGCTGCCCATCATCAAGTTCTTCGAAAGCGCGGGCCAGGTGAAAAAGATTGATGCCAGTCCGGATGCGGATCAGGTGTTTGGCGAGGTGGAACGGGTATTCGTGGCCAGCGGCTTCTAGATATCATCCTCATTTTCCGGTCCTGTGTGTAGTTCTATCTTTTCTCTTCATTTGTACCCCTGCAAATATATACGCTTGTTACTAATAATGCGAAAGGTACTTTTTCTCATCCAATATAAACTACACTGAAAAAGTATACACAATTAGGGAATGAGGTACATAACTTTTTCAGTATCTTGTAAATTAAGGGGTGATAAGCAAAAAGGATTCTCAAGACAAAATGGATTTGTAATATTTTGTTGTAGAAAATTATGCCAAAATTATAGATCATTTAAAAAAGAAACTAATAAAATGGAACAACTGTCCACATATGCGTTAAAAGAAAAATTTGGTGTGTGTCCAGGTGTCAATTTTTTCCGTTTGTTTTTTGTTTAACCATTTACGCTTGTTATTAGTAATGGTAAAGATACTTTTCCACTATTCAGATAAGGTACTATCAGGTATTTAAGTAACCTGTTTACTGTTCGCACTTCATAGTTTCCTTTTGCTCAATTTTATTAAAGTCAAAATTAAAATTTATAAAACCGAATTTTAGCATAGCTCTATAGTAAAATATATTGCGAGTTTATTGCAACTAATACATTAAAACTCCCTTAAAAAGCATGAAAATGGTAATTACTCATCGATTTTTCAAACACGCAGGGAACGAAAATCACAAGGATTCTCGTCTTTAATATAACATTCGCTTTCTGGGAGATACAAACGGGTGGTGGCTCTTATATAAAATGGACAGGCAGTGGTTCTTAGGAGTAGATCAATCCTTGCGCAGCTTGTCCAGGCGCGCCTGCAGATCCGCATCGGCATCGGACATAGGCGATGAAGCGCCACTTCCACCGGAAGCTCCTGCTCCTCCGCCACCGCCACCGCCTCCTCCAGCTCCCCCGGCTGCTCCACCGCCTCCTACACCTCCGGCGGCTACAGCCTGGGCTTTCTGAGCACCGGCCCCTCCGGCTATGGAAAGCGAACCCGAGGCAGCGGGAAGGTCTCCCAGTTGTTCGCCCAACTGAAGGCCAAGTTCATCCAGCACCTGGGACACCACTGCATCGGTCTCCTCCTCATCGCCCTCATCCTCCATGGCATCATCGATAGCATCGTTGATCATCTCTTCCTTCATGTCCATCATTTCCGATTGCTTCTCGAAGTCCTGCAGGATCTTCTGGATTTGTGGGAGATTCAGCTGGCGGTTCATGTTCTGCATGGCCTTGGTGACACCTAAAAAGGGCGTTTTAGTAGCTGATAAGCAAAAAAAAAAAGGCAACCTGTTTACCCTTCATGGCTTGGGCCATTGTGTTCTGCGACTTGAGCGTCTGGATTTTGAGGGACACAGCCTGGATGTTTGCCTTCATAAGCATAAATTTCTTGGCATACCGCCGTGTGCGGACCAAATCCTTGGCCATGATCTTGACGGCATCCATCTGACCCTCCTTGGCCATCTTTTTGATGTCAGCGATGATCTTTTTCTCCTGCTGTTCCATTTTCATCCGCTCGCGATCCAAATCCCGCATCGCCTTGTTCAACGCCCGCTGATTCTTGCGCAGCATCTCATCGGGGCTGATCTTCTTGCCAAATAGCCAGTCCATTTTTAAGGATATTTCGTTCTTTAAGATCTAATTAAGAAGGAATGACGGAGTTTCTCAAAGATTACTCATCAACCAAAACAATAAACGCAAGGTGTGGATTTTTAAGGTGGCCAAGACGTGTGCGCGCTTATAGGGTAATGGCTAACGGGAAGAAGAAGCTGTGCCGGTTCGCTTTATTTTAAGTAGTTTACACTGTGTTCTTAAATTTGGAATAGCAACAGGTGGGGAGTGTTTTGATAATTTTACAATCCAAATAAAATTAAAATTGTAATAGTACTTCACATTGAAATTAATTTTCAAATCTGTTTAGAAAATGGATAAAGTTAAATTTGACGGAAGGCACAGTGCATGCGTACCACTCATGAATTGTCCGTCAGTCCATCTATAAGCTGAACAACAGTGTAAACGTTACATTTTAGTTTGCGTTCACCCTCCTTTAAGACCGATTGTGTCCACGCCCTATTGTGAATAGTTTTGATTCAGCTGATTTTACATTCCAGATTCTAATTTTCCAATCATGAAGGAATTCGACGATCCTGCCTTTAGCGTTGAGAAATGTTAGTTTTTCTTGGTTTAATGGAGTATAGTGAGCTTATAAGGTTGTTTATCGTCCACAGATACCAAAGACTTGACAAGAGAATGCGTGGGCGGCAGCGATTTGCAACAACGAAAAAAGGAAATCGAGGCGTACAACGAAACTACGGCCTCAACGCTCAAACAAACATGCAAAAAGAACTACATGGAGTTTATACAGACGGCAAAGGAGATATCTCGTAGGTTTCGCCCACAATTTATTCATATCCACATGTTTGTAATAATGTTCTCGCCTGCAGATCTCGAGGCGGAAATGTACCAAATGTCGCACATTCTGATTGAACAGCGCAACATTTTGGCCACCATGACTGATGGCAAGACCTCGAATCATCTGAAAACGGAAAGTTTGGAGGCGGACAGCACCACCGCATCGGAGGATGCTGAAAATAGCCATGCCACCCGAGCTGTCAAGGAAATGGTCCAAGGATTCAACGGCAATCTGGAGGGCAAGACCTTTCTGAACGAGGGAGCTTTAATTCAGTTGGATGCCAATGATTATAGGCCCATTCAGCAGGTCTTCTTTTTTCTCTTCAACGATGTGTTGATTGTCTGCAAAGTAAAGCACGATAAGTAGGGTTTGTCAATACAAATATTAACCAAAAACTAATGGTAAATATGTTTTAGGCGCTTGGAGTTTCTGACCGAGTACGATCCCAAAAAAATAGCCGTAATCAACATCAAAGATTTGGATGGCGTTAAGAATGCCATTAATATTATTACACCAGATGGATCTAAGATCTACCAAAGCATCACGGCAGCAGGAAAAACTGAGTGGATCGAAAAACTGGAAGAAGCCTTTCGTTTTGACCAGCAAAAAAGGCCAAGAAGGGTCAAGCACCCCAGCCTCCCACGAGGGTAAAACAGAAATCGAAAGCTTCTACCCCAGAGAAAGAAAGCACTCCTCAGAGTCCTGGCGAGCCCAAATCCCTAGAAGACGAGACTCCCGAGTGGCTAAGCACGGCCAGCGAGGAGATCCAAACCCTGGTAGCCCAGCGCCACTTTGAAGACGCCCAAGAACTGATAAAGCGCACTCAGGACTTCTTGAAAAATGTTAACAGGAAGAAGATCCCACTGGCGGACGCCATTGAAACCAAGGTTAAGCAGCAGGAGCTGAAACTGGTCAATGTTCTGCTAAAGGAGTTGTCTAACAGTCATAACCGAAATCTGCAAATTGCTTTGAGGGCCGCCAAGCGACCGTTAAAAATCCTCGTGGAGATGGGACGCTACCGACAGGCAAGTGCCACTCTACTTAAGGTTTGTGCTGTCAGTTTACGGGTAGCACAAAGGGAGGCCCGCAGGAATAATGCCGATATATCGGAGCTGTTCTTCTGTGATCTGACGCAGGTGGCCTGTGATTTTCTCACAGCTTTCGAGAAACAACCTGCGTGTGTTAGTGGTGAGTGCCTTCTTGATGCAATAATACTTGTTAATCACAAACCAATCCTTTCAGCTCTGGTGGTTTGGTGCAACGCTGAACTGCAATACTTCGCCAGCCAGCTGATCAAACACTATCTGACCAAGGGAACCTCTTTGGAGTCGGTGGCCAAATGCGTGGAGCGTGTACGCAAGCCCTCGACGAAGCTCACGGAGATCGGCTTGGACATCAGCTACCATTTAGAGGGTCTGTTGCGCACCACGCTTGAGTCGCTGATCGAGGAGTCCAAGGAGCGATTGCTGGATTCGGTGGGACGCACTGAGGAGAGTTGGCAGCCGTACAACTTGCAAACCAAGTCGAATTTAAAGCGACTTTTACTGGAGTTGGATGTCTTGGGCATCGACGTGCGGGCGCAGGCCACCGGCGACACCTGGATGAATCTCAACCAATCCACGGTGGTCTTCATTCGCCATTTCCTGCAGCTCACCGAACACTGTGGCTGCCTGGCCAAGTGTGAAACCCTGCTGCAGAGTCTAGAACTTCTGCTGAAAGAACTGTTTATTGCCCAGCATTCCCTGAAGCCACCCAGCGATATGGCCGTGGATGTAAGTTTCCCAAAAAGTATGGTTTGTACCCTTTTTAACCTCTTCCTTTACAGCCCAACTTCGTGATGAAGAACAAGATATTTTTGGTGGACAATCTGCTGCCCATTGCCATCGAAAAGTTTCGGCAGATCTCAGGCCGCCAGTGCGAAGGACTGCGGGAGTTGCACTCGAAAATGTCCCGGCAACAAGGCGCTCCAATGCCGCGCCAGCGAAGCGTCTACACCACAGACGTGTTTTAATGAACATCCTGGAGATTTACTTTCGATTACATATAATTTTTTATTTTTTCGTTTTGCTTCAATTATTTATAATATAATTATATACATATATAACCACAATAATAATAATATTTGTAAAATTAAAAATCGAAGCGTGTGCTGCACTCTATCTCTTGCTTATTACAATTTCGCCGTTCGCATTATATATAGTTGTAAATATATATAAATCGATTCGTTTTTTTTTATTTACTCTAAACACTAAACAATTTAGCTGTGTTCTACTTTTCGGTTTCGGTTGTTGACGCGGCTCTTGTTGGGCTAAGCTGCTCAAAATATAGGATTTTACAGTTGGTTCTGAAGAGTTTGATTCACACAAGTAATTCCACATTTCCTCGTTACATATTTTCAAATTACATACAAGCAAAAGCTGACTGATCTTAGCTTTTTCTGACCCCCAATGCGAGTGAGTGTTTCAAAAGTTGTTTCCGTGTTTAATTTATAATGTAAAACTCTTAACTAAAATGCTTACTAAGTATATTCATTTATATTTATATATATATACCTTCTTTTATGCAAATGTGTTTGTGTATTTTGTGTGTATGCGTGTGTGGGGGGATGTTGGGAGGTAAGGAAACTGACAACTTAAAAGTACATTTGTTGTTGCATCCGCTGCCTGACTCGTCAGCTAAATTACAAAAACCGTTCACATAAAACAAACTAAAAGCACTCGCATCGAATTTAACTCTTTTGCTCAGCTGGTAATCATAATCTCAACGCTCCTGCAACTGCAATGACTATTCCACTTATCCTTCTATTTGTTTTTATGTTAAGATGAACGTAGGTAGGTATCGCCGACTGTTTCTGGTTTTAATTTGTTAATTTTACAACATATTCTTTTCTGTTGCTCGCATGCATTATCATTTTAATTCGATCTGGTTCTCATTTTACTTGTTTCTTTTTTCTTTCTTTTACTTGCAATTTGTGTGTTCAACTTGTTGGTTTGTTTTTATTTATTGGACTTAGCTTAGGCTTAGTAGCTACAAGTACGCTTAAAAATTTAGTTTTTCCTTTTTGTATATATATTATAGAATTTTTCCTTTTTGCTTCGCTTTTTGATGCGTTGCTACTGCTGCGTTCTCTTGTTGTTTTACTGCCGATACTGCTGGTGTTGTTTTTTTCTGTTTGTTATTTGCATGATTTCGAACATTTTGTTTGTTGTAGTTAATTGTTTTTGTTGTAATAAAAACTATACGAGCTTATTACAAAATGAAAAAACTGCTTGGTTTTGTGGATTTAATAAATAACTTCGTAGACAGTAGCCTTCTTATCGCCCGAACCCGTCACAATATATTTGTCGTCAGTTGATATGTCGCAGCTAAGTACGGATGATGTTTCCTTCGACTGGAACAAATCAACAAGCATTAAAGACTGGTCTAATTAAAGCAAATGGGATAAGCTTACCTGGAATATGCTGGCACCGTAGGGTGTTCGCCATGCGTTAAGCAGGTTGTCTTTGCCGGTGGAAACGAACCATTTGCCGCAGGCGGCAAAGCGCAGCGACAGAACGCAGCTCTCGTGCAGATGCAGTTGATACTTGTCCGGTTTTGATGCGTGCAGCACCTCTACATGCGAGTTCTCCATTCCCACAGCCAGCCAGTCGCCTAAAGAATATTGCAAAGCGTTAACATCAACTAACAACTTTTAAGAATAGCTTAAAGTTTTCTTACCTGTGGGGCAGTAGCCGAGCGAGAAGATTTGAGAGCTGAAGTCGTGCTGTTGCAGCTGGCGACCCTCGCGCAGATCCCAGGAGCGTACCGTATTGTCCAGGCCGCCCGTCCACAGCCTGGAGCCGTCCGGGCTGATGTCAATGCACGAGGCACCGTCGGTGTGTCCCTGGAACTGGCGCACCAGGATCTCGTTGTGCAGGTCCCACACGGCGATGTTGCCGTCGCTGCAGCACGAGAAGCACACCTTCGAGTCGGGACTGATGGCCAGGGCGTAGCAGGCGGGCGCCGCCGAGGTCAGCTCGGCCTTGATGCGCGGCGTCGGACTGGCCAGGTCCCAGATGGACAGGTTCGACGCCTCGCCGCCCACGATCAGCGTACGGCCGTCTGGCAGCAGCTTCACCGAGCGGATGTAGTTGTCGCGCTGCAGGCAATCCAGCTGGCTGACGGGATTCTTGTTGCCCGGCTGCGAGATGTCCCACACCTTGACGCAGCCCTTTCCGCCCGTGTACACGTATTTTGTGGGATTGGAGATGGTTACCGCGCAGACGACCTCTCCGTGCGACAGCGTGTTGATCTGACGGGCGTGCCGGGGTATCCCAACGCCTACCAACGCGTCCGGCGGGAACGGCACTGGCTGTAGGCTACCCTCGCCGTTCATATGGAAAGAGTATGCACTAAAAGTGGGAAAAAGATTTATTAATATTGTATTTAATTTCGTATATTGGTTAAACTGAATAAGGATTATTCAGTTAAGTAAGAAAAACAATATGAGGTATATTATTTCAGTCAGAAGTTGGAGTTACAACCAGGAAAAGAAAGGAAAGAATTGTTTATAATCTATCTCTTAAATAAGAACTTACGGCTTTCCACCCGTCAGGGCCGAAGGATGTGGAATGCCATTGGTTCGCACATGCGCGTGCGGATCGTACGGCATTGGTGGCGGTCGTCCATAGGCTGGATCCGATGGTGGACGCTGGTAGGGATCGGCCGGCCGTTGATACGGTGCACCCGGATATCCGGCTGGCGGTGGTCCCTGCGGCATCATTTGTTTAGGATTAACGCCTGGCGCCGGAGCAGCGGCGTTCGGTGTCGGTGTGCGTGCCTTGGCGCCCGGTGTTCCCGGCTTTTCCATCTAAACGAGAAAGATTATGTTAACATTGCATTATAGTTGATGTTTTCTCTCTTCTTACATCTTTTGTCTTGAGGCTGGGTGTGGAACGTGACGAGCTGGAGCCGGAGCGAGAGGGCGGACGTTCCTGCTTGATGCCACTACTGGTGGGCTTCTCGAGGCGCTCGCCGTTCAAGCTTTCCCGATCTCTGACCTCCATGGACACGTGCTCGCCGTTGGGGCGCGGTGAGTGGGATTCCTGCAAGGATTACGCATGTATTTAGTATTCATTTTAAGGCGGTTTCATAGAATAGCAAAGGTGTGGTTTTGGTTAAAGTTTTTTTTTCTGGATATTTTGGGAATGGTTGCATTGAATCTGGGCCGACACTCAACTCACCATTTCATTTGCAACATCTACGACTAAATCTTGATCGCTTTTCTCGCCTTCATCCTCCTGGAAATAATTTTGAAAAAAATACGAAAACAATATAAATCAAAATTCATACAAAAACCCACAAAGAACAATAGCAATAACAACAACCACAATAGCAATAATTAATAGCTAATTATGTATCCCTGTTCTGGCTTTCACTTATTTGGCTTGTTTTAAAATAAAACGAAAAAATACGTTTGGATAAAGCAGTTAAGAAAACAAAAACTGAACTTAATTATTTTTAGTTTCTAATTGAAGGTGTGGTTACATAAATTCAATTTCAACAAAATAGGTTAGTAATAATATGTGTAGAAACCCTTCTATACTACAAGAAAGTGAAAACCGGAACAGGCTCCCTTCAATCGTGATGTTAAGTTTTGGTATTGTTTTTTCTGTCATGTCTCTTATAAATAAGCAATATAGATTTTGTTTAGCATGATTTGAGAGTGTTAGCAGAATTAGACAACAACAATGAATAGACTACGAGGTTTTAATTTTTTTTTTTTTTTTTTTTTTTTTGGTGAGTTGAGAGACAGCAACAGCTCAGATGAGATGACAGTTATATCGGTTATGATGGAGATGATACTACCAGTGTATAATGCTAACACCGAATAAAGCTCGATACTCACTTGCAGTTTCTCATCTTTTCGACGCTTCGAGTCGTTCTCGATGTCCAGCGGCGAGCGTGTGCGGTACTTCTCACGATCAGCCGGCGAAACCGAATTGCGCTGCAACATCAGCATTAAAATGAGCTCCAACAATGCGGAATTATGATCTGTGCTGCACTCACCAATCGCTCCTCGGCGGCTGCTGGCCCCTCCAGACCCGTGGGCTTGATATCCGGCCTGTGGTGCTCGGGCGGTTTGTTCAGCAGACCCTGCGGTCCGTGTGGCAGGCCCATGGTGGCGCCCAGGGCGCCAAATGGATTCAGTGCACCCATCGGCTGTGGCGGTCCGCCCGGCACCTGCTGGGCGTGGATCTGTTGCTGCAATGGAACCATAAGATCGTATGAAATCGGGTGTGTGCGGCATGGCGGCTTTCCAAAATGAACATCGTGCTTAGTGAGATAATGGAAGCAGTGGAATGTGTGTAAACACAACAACACTAACACTAAATGGTCTTTGCATTCTAGTCAAAATAATTGCTTTAGCAACTGGGCTTTATTTACTTCTTATATAAATGACATTAAATTCGAATCAAGACCAAAGACCATCTGGGGTTAATAAGAACAGCAACAACAATTTGGCGGCGTTTGAAGCGTTATTGAAACAATTATAAAATGGACAAGAAGGAACAAGAGGGAGTGAGGCACTGTAGCTGTAGTTTTTGTTGTGGCAGTGGCACATTCGGCGGATGCAGCGGCAGACGGCAACAGTAAACAAACAATAAAATGAACTTGCAACGAAAGAAACTTACTAAAAGTTGCTGTATTCCATGTTGCTGCTGATGCTGCACAAAGTTGTTTGGTTTAGATTGGTCGAATGCGAAATCATAACAAATTAGGAAGTAGAAAAACAAACTCAAATCAAATATTGCCCAAAGAACGAACATAACTGAAACTATGTATACAGTTGCCACATTGTAAGACGAAATCTTTAGTTTAGTGACACTTCTTCTTTTCCTTGACTGATTTTATTTCGTCCAAGTGGCAACTGCATCCCCAATCCGCTCTGTTCCCTATTCGACTCTAGCTGATAATGGTTTAAACGCGTTGCTGCTGCTGTTGCCGCGGGATCCTTCGTCCGTTCTCGATACACTTACCCCAATGATCAGGTTGAGCTCCTGCATGGTCACCTGCTTCGCCCGCTCCACCGCTTGCAGCACTTGCTGCTGGTGGTCGGCCTGAAGGAATGGAAGTAGCTGGTTGATCAGTGTGTTCAGCCGCTTGGCGATCTCCGTCTGCTTGTGCATCTCCACATTAAGGCCATAGGACATCTCGTAGTACTGCGGATAGCAAGGGCAAGGCATTAGCTAAGTGACCTCGATAATTTGCGAATCATGCCGTCGACTTACCATAACATAATGGCGCTGCATCTCCGTCTTCTCGTTCGACAGCTTCTCGCACTCCAATTTGATGCTGGAATTCACAGGAAAAGTGATCAACGGGCAAATTAGTTGGGCGACGGAAGCGAACTGAATTTAAGAACGCAAGGAAGCGGCGATTGTGGAGCGTGGAGTTTGCGGCTGAGGCGGCGCAGGTTAATCCTATGACAGCGGCGCATATGGCGCGCCAAACCGGTTTGCTCAGCTTTTTGTTTTACTTTTCGCAAAGCGCAGACGCAGCATCCACACTCACACACTCGCACGATCCCATACGAAGGCGGTACAGCGAAGGCTTTAAAATGTGATTTCTTTGGGCCATGTTATTGTAAAAGGTTCTAAGCCCCAAATTCTAGGAACAATAACTTTTAATGAGGATAAAAGATGTCGGTCAGAAGAACGCCACTTGTTTGGTTAATTGGAAAACGTGTAAATCTCAATATACGAGGATTACATTTCAATTTAGAGAACTAATAATTAAGGTGTCTATTATTTTGATTATCTAATATACTAAGCCAGTTAACTAAAAATTATTATAAACGTTATTTTTTTAGACTAAAATATTTTGTTTTCATTTGCACTTCCACAGGATCAAAATATGATTTAAGATCCTAATCTAGATGTAGCACTTGGACTTAAAATTCGTATTTGACAGAGACTTCATATTTGGTTGTCAATGTTAAGATATCGTGGTTCCTAAAAGGCAGCCTTCACTGTGGAGTCCACCAATTATACTTGCCTGTGGTACTGCGCCTGCAGGAAGTTGAACTCCTCCTTGATGCGCTCCAATGTGTCGGCGATGGTGAACTTGATTGGACCCTGAGGAGGTGGTCCCTACGCGGATCCAAATGGGTGGGTGGTCGAGTAAGTGGGCGGCACACATGAGGCGACGGGGGAGAGAGGGAGAGAGGGAGAGAGGGAGAGACAGAAGCACAATTAGCACGGACTTGGGGTCAGAGGTTGGATTTATTTGCAAATAAACTTACCCCGGCGGCGGGGTGGCGCACCGGTGAGGGATACATGTTGTTGTTAGGCTGGTATGTTGCCGGCTAGAACAGTAGCGATAGTTCCGAGGTGGACACCTATTTCCGGGAGCGGAAGTCCTGCTGCTCCTCCTTCTTTCGCCGATTCCTCAGCTTCCGTCCGGTTACCCTTGAACACTCCACTCCTTGGAAACACCTCTCAAAACGTCGACTATATTCTTTTCCCAGAGTTCTATGGCTCTTGTTTTTTTCTTTTTCCTCTCTTCCTATATTTTCGATGGCAGTTTCTCTTTAGTTTTATTTTTCCGCAGGCGGAACCGGCACTTAGTGGAACTCCATTTTCGGACTACTTCGCATTTTGCATATCCTGAGAATGGAATTTTACAACATATTTGCTTAGTTATGCTTTTTCATATTTTTGCACCATTTTTTTTTCGATACGTTTGCACGCACGTACACACACTGGCACGCGGAGCCAGCGAGACACACGCACACAAGCACAGGAAACGGGAGCGAGGGTACGAGTGTGAGTGTTTACCGCCGAAAAATCAAGCGCACAGTTGCATGTGGCCTCTGAAATTGTTACGCAAAATCACTGTTCTCTTTTCGGGGGCCTTTGTGGGCAATAGCCCTGTTGTTCAGTCGAATTGGGCAGTATTTATCCTATGAAAATATATCACTTTTCTTTCGTAAAGACAGTACACTTCGCACAAACAACATGCGAACATATACAGACAGACTGCAATTAAACAGGGTTGCCATGCTGGCCGAAACACGCACTGGAGTTAACACACTCTTGAAAACATTTCACTGAATTCATTTTTTGATTTTTTTTAGATTTAGTTGAAGATTTGCCACTAGTCAAACCCTTTTTATTTATTTTAGTATAAAAGCAATGTGTTTTTCATAAACTGCATATCAGGCGGCAACTCTGTTAGATACGGGCACATACATAGAAACCAGCGAGTGGCAAATCACACACACACACACTCACGAGTACAGCGCAAAAGAAAAATTATACTGTGTCCTATACAAAAAATAAACAAAAGCAATTAAAAAAAGCGAGATAATGGCAGTACCAGTTTTATGCGCCCGGATTAGCACGTTTTATCGCCCGCTATTCCTTTTTTCGCTCAGTCCAATCGGGTTCTTTTGCACTTTGACGTGGTTCTGCCACATAAAAATTGGGTAAACTATTTTTTTGTAACTTTTCGCCCGTATAAAATTGCCTGTTTCTGCCGACCGACCGCGAAGTGTCTGACATTCGTGTATGTGTTGGGCAGCTTTGGCGGCGGCGCTCTCTCGCTCTCTCCGGCTCTACTACACGCGCACTCGCTGTACAAACGCGGCTTGTAAATGGCGTTCTCGCCTCAATATATTTTTGCAACAAACTTTGCACGCGGATTTTCACCTCGGTAACACTTTATATCCTCGCCGTTTGGGGCAGTTGGCAATCGGGGGGCTTTTGGGGCATCGGCAAGGCCCGTTTCTATTTATAATTTCTTATTTTCCTATCCGCGACACACAGACCGCGTCGGTCTCGCAATTTGATTTTTTTAGTGTGATTTTTTAGTGCCAAGGCTCTTAAAATCCCAAAACCCTTCGACATTGGTTGGGATCTCGGATCATAACATGAACTAAGCAGGCTTGCAATTTCGCCTATCGTTATCGAGCGCCACTCGCTTGGGCTGCACAGGGTTGAAGTAACCAGTGTTGGAAAAAATACGCGCTGTACAGCCTTTCAAACTAATTACACGTATCAAATAAAATATTAATTAAAATCCTTTTAAAAATACAATTTACTTATTAAGTTCCATTCATTATGTAAGATGAAATTTTAACAACTCCAAAATTACAAACAAATGCATACTTCATGAGGATTGAGGGAATCGTTTTTAAGTGTAGTTGGCGCGAAGTTTCAATCATAGGTTGATTTCAAGGGAATGTTTTTTTTATGTCCCGAAAAACCGTTACTAATTTTAAAACCCCTAATAAAAAAGAAGAAATAAACAATAAAAGTCATGCAAATTTTTTTGCATATGTAAATTGTACGTTAAATAAACATTAATATTATTAACACTTTATTGGAAAAATTCCAATTCCCAATTAGAAAGCTAAAGGAAATGCTGAAAAGTAATAGTTCCCCTCCCACAGACCCAAATAAATAAACTGTTATTATGTTCTTTTCAAATTGTTTTATATTTGTTTTAATTGGTTTGCTATTTGTTTTCATTTTGCTATTTTGTTGCCATCACAGTTGGGCTATCACAGATGCGTTGTTGGCTGGTCCTGCCACTCCACCGTCCTACCACTTAACCCCGTTTTTACCAGGGGCGCCACAGGGGCTGCTGCATGGGCTGTGGCGAGGGGGCGGGGCTGTCGCAGTCGCTGTGATATCCAGAGGAGGCGGGGCTGAGGGGTGCCTTGTCCATTGAGGAGTAGTCCATCGAGACCTGGAGGGACTCGCTGGCGGTCTGGGCCTCGTGGAACTGCTGCAGGTTCTTGTAGATGCGGCCGAGGTGAGTCATCACCGACTTTCCCAGGTCGACGCTCATGCCAGGTGTGGAGGCCATGACACGTGACACCTCGTTGACAGCGTTCATGTAACCGTTCTTGAAGCTGTCCAGGGGCAGGGATGGCTCCTCCTTGACCACCTTCTTCTGGGTCTTTTGCTGGCGCATGAAGACCACCGCCGACTCGAGCATCTCGGCCTTGTCCATCCGCAGGATGCCGTCGTCGCCGCGGAGTTCGGCGACAAGTGTTTTCAGGTTGTCCAGGCACTTGTTCATGCGGGCTCGTCGCTGGCGCTCCAGCAGTGGCTTCTTCACCTTCTGGTAGATCTGGGTCTTGGTGGTGTATTCCATTTTTGTTTTGGTTTATTTACGTAATTTCGGAAGAATGAAATTTTAGAAATTTTTCTTTCGTTTTAGGCTGGTTGTTGCCTGTTCGATGAAGGAATCGTGAGTGATACTCTGGTCCTCAGAGGTCCGACCTTTTATACTCGCTCCCTGGGCCCTGAAATCCACCCTCTGGTACGCACCTTTCGTGCCCTCTCTTTCGCTCGCACGGCGGAGCCCCGTTCGTGCCGTCTCTCTCGCAAGGAACAGCTGCAACTTCGTAGGACGGAGGACAATCCTTGTGGCTCGTGGCGTGGGAACCGAGCTGAAAGTAAGTTTCTCACACAATTTTTTCTCGTTTGTTTTCCCTTTTGGCCACATGCTTCGCTCCGCTCCGCTTCTCATTTTTTTTTTTTTTTTTGAGTTTAAGGATCAGGGCACATTTTTGCAGCTGTCGCTGTTTTTGGCTGTTCGCATTGCTTTCTGGGCCGGTGTTATTATCCTTAATGCATACTTCACTGCCTCATCCTGTCGGTTGGAATGGGAACGTATATGGGTACATGGGATCGGGAACCGAGATCGAGGAGTGGTGGGGGACTCTGGTTGTGCGTGGGCTGCCCTGGCATTGTTATCCTGCCGTGCCATCTACTCGCTTATTGTTTCATCAATGCCTGCAGACGATGATGGCATAATGCCCCTACTCCTGCCCCGATCTCCGAGCTGCAGATCTCCTCTTTCCGTTCCCACAGTGCCCCGTCGACGAGTGTTTATTGGACACAATTAGTGGATGTGGCATATTGGCTTCGTGCCGGGTCGCCTTGGTCGTTCGATCGCTCTTCGGTTTTCGATGGGTGGTGTGGCAGGGGGACGTGGGTCAAACGGGCGCAGAAAGTGTGCCCCGCGTGCTTGACTCGTGGTCGATGTTGAGTACTTATTATCCGGGGTGAGCAGTGTGCAGGAATGCTCACCTTTGGGATGAGATTGACTCCCTGCAACCCCCCTAATTGGCTTTTAATAGGTGAAAACTGCATTGAGTAATTGATGTTAGCACTTCTTTTATTGTTTTGGAAAAATTTAAATGATATATGTGGTGTCCGATGCAACCCACTAAAATTTAATGATATTTGATTGATTATATATGAAAATGCAGAAAGGATAAAAGACAAAGTCAGTCAATTAAGATAAATGATTGTAAACAGCCTACAAAAGAACGAAGGTAGAATGCTTACTTATCCGTAACATAATGTCAAGTAGGTACTATTAGATTCTTACTATTTTTCCATTGCTTATATCGAGTGGGCATTAGATATTTTTTTTGTGGGTTGTTTGATGATTTCTATAACAAATTAATGGTCCTTTGCATGTAAATTTTTCTCCCTTCTTTATACCCTCAAAAAGAAGTAGTGAAGTAGTTAATTACCCAAATGATAGGTAGAAATCTTTAAAGGTCAAAATAGGTAGTAATGTGAAATTTATTGCGTATGTCAAAGGGCAAGGGATGCTTACATTTTTAGAAGAGGGCTTGCGAAACTCCCAATATTCGACTGATTCATTGCAAAGAAAGTACTTTGAGGGGTGGTCAGATTTTCTCAATGGAATTTAAATAAATGGGATAGAATATGGGATAAGTAGTTTTGGCGTGTGCTGAAATGCTAACCTTTCGTTTACACCCTTATTGAAAATGTAAAGGTTGAGATATTAGTATTGACAGGGGGCATGCGGTTTTAGATTTTTTCAATAGTTCATCGGTCCTTTACAAAAGGGTACCATAGAGGATATTACAAATTGGTAAGACATGTTTTTCGATTATTACCTTTACGTAAGTGTAATTTTGCGGCTTTGCGTTGATAAATGAATGTCGTTTTATTGAGGGCCCATCAGTGCATCATGTTTTTCATATTATATTGAACTTGTTATTGGAAGCTGTTATTAATTTAACTTGTTAAAATAATGATGGCTTTTAAGATAATGAACATAATTCATAAAAAGTTCATTCCCATGAACATGTATTAATTTAACTAGTGCTTACTAGGTTTGTTTTTTATGGGATGAAAATTTGTTTGTTGTAGAGAAAAAAAGAAGATTTCGCTTTGTTTATCTGATTATTGATTATGAATGATATCTCTATACGTATGATCTTATTAGCCTCGTCTGGATTGTTGTTAATCAGATCCAAGATCCAATACTTCTTTAAAATAAAAAACACAAACAATAATCCCAATATTTTCTTATTGGAGAGAGCTGTAAAAGAATTATTCCCAAATAAGAAGATGGTCGTAAGGTTTCGTTTCATATGTTTTGTATTTAATTTCTTTTCATTTTTTATCTTTTGTTGTTGTATTCTTGAGATCTCTTAGCTGGTAAACATTTGTATATATGTAGAGTAAAAAAACAGACTTCTGCTCGATTGAGTTAAGACAAAAGTTAATAAAGCGTGCCCTATCACAGACTTAACTTAGAAACCTAAAACTTGGTAACGTAACAAATAAATGAGGATCATTGTAAAGCATTTTCTAAAGCTGCAGTTCCAATTGCGCGATTGCCCGTCGAGGGTATTTAGTCCTTTGATTTCGACCTGGTTTTTACCAGGGGCGCCACACCTGTCCAGGGCTGCTGATCTGGAGCAAGGATTCGTTGTCGCTGGCGTATCCACTGGAGACGGGACTGATGGAGGAGCAAGAGCTGGCACTAGAGCGGGAACTGAAGTTGGAGTTCGAGCTGGAGCCGCAGATGATGCTGAGTGGAGTGTTGACTGCTTGAGTTTGCTCCATGGGCTGCTCCAGTTGGTTGAGGCGCATGCCCAGGTGGGTCATCAAAGTGGTTCCGAAGGCGACATCCACTCGGGGAAGGGAGGCCAGAGCGCGGGACACTTCGTTAGCTGCCCTGATGTAACCGGCACGGAAACTCTGCTCGGGATTGGCTGGCACTTGCTTCTTTGCCTCCTTCAGCTTGCGGAGATGCTGCACGGTGACCTCCAGGATGTCGGCCTTCTCGAACTTGGCATCGCCAGTCTGCGAAACGCACTCGGCCATCAGGTCCTTAAGCTCGTCCAGGCACTTGTTGATCCTGGCACGACGCTTCCGCTCCAGCAGAGGCTTCATCACCTTGCGGTATTGGTAGGTTTTGGACATCTCGTATTTGGTGGCCATTGTTTATGTTTTGTTATTTGACTTCGGGTACTTGTAGAGCGACTTGTTGAAGAATTTCTTCACTGGCTTGGAGGACTGTATCCTGAGATGTTGACTGCTCAAAAAATGTTTGAAAATGTTTGCCTTCGTCTCCGGTTACCGCTGCTTATATAGTGCCAGAAAGTATAGGGTAGTATCTTCGGGTCCATCTGTCCGTTACAATAAAAGTCAGTGAAAGAGGGTTTACCAATAAGTTCGAAGGAAACAGCAATTGCAATTGCAATAGTTCTATGACTCAGGATTAAAAGCGCTCAAAAGTCCACCTAATGGATTTAGCACTCTTTTTCATCCGCTGCAGTTGCTTTCGCAAAGCTCCTGGACAACGTTTTCCCAATCACCTGTAAAAGTTTTCCCAAACCGTTGAGTTCTCCAAGCTGACCCGAGAGAGCCATCCGACCGTTAACGGACTGAACCCGAACGGGCAACTATGCTCGTGCTCAGCGCGCGCTGACGAAGAGAAAGAGAGCGTGAGCCACCACCTGCCGAGCAAATTACTCTTACTCAGTCACTGGGACACGATCCTCTCGCCTGAATTTTCGGTGGTGGGTTTTTCTCCAAAAACAAGTTTGGAGCACAGGCGAGGTAACAAATACAATACAATTTAAAATATACAATTTGGATACCTGCTATTAGATCAATGTTGGATGTTTAATCAAAAAGAAAATCATTGACATCGATATAAAAAAAATATTCCATAATAATTTTGTAATATGTACTTAAAAATTTTTAAGAGTTTCAAGAACAGTTGCTATAATTTTGACCGGAACTGTGGTTCTGTGTGCGTGTGCTTGGCAGGGGATGAAGATGCGATGGTGCAGTGGTGGTGGTGCCACGGTGGTTGCACATGCTGCTTCTCTGTTTTCCTTTCCACTGACATTCGAATCGTGGGAAACACTTTGCCCTCAAGTTTCCCACAAGATTTTTCTCGCTCGTTGGTGTTATAAGTTATAATCGGAGGTAGTCCGTGTGCGAGTCCCGAGTTTCGAGCCCTTATGCACATTGCACAGTGGGCCAAACCTACAAAACACATGCGTGAATTTTCGGGTGTGCCTTGCATGAATGAAGAATTCTTGGCTTTTCCAACTACGTGAAACTAAGGACTCGGATTTTACGAATTCTGCCATCTACTTGCTAAGGATACTTTTTCCACTTCCTTAGGAATCGTGGGAATGTGATTTTTGAAATGTCGGAAATGGGGTTTTCCAAATCGGAAATGTGTGAAATTGTAAGACTTGCAGGTTTTGAGTCGGGTACCTTACGGATTTTTCGTGTCCTGTTCCTAACTTGCTACGGTAAATTGTAGAAACTCGAATAGAGATCGTGGAAATGTGAATTCAGGGATGTGGTTCCTTGGGTTTTTCAACACCAAGATGTGTGCAGTTTTATAACTTTTGTGGAAGGTGTCCTTGCAGGTTTCAAACTCATGACATTCCGGATTGTTCGATACTTCTTTTCTACTTGATATGGTTAATTTCAGGGTCTATCTGTGCGTGGGAACCGACTTTTGGGTTTATTGTAAATTTGTGGAATTTCTAGGAGTCTATCGTAAAGGGAGTGGACTTTTGTGGAAGGTGTTTTGCGCAGGTTTGGTACCTTATGTTTTACGGATTTCCGTAGCCTGGTCTTTACTTGCTATGGATAATTTGGGATGCAATGACTGTGCGTGAGAACCTGCATCCTGGAAAAAAGGTATGATTCGTGAATGTTCGTACGGTATAATTTTTTGAGGATTTTTTTGTGCACAGGTATGCAAAATAAACACACTAAGCAGCTCAATAATGAGACTTTGCAGTTATGCGATTACAAATTTACAATTATTTAAAGAAAATAGTTAATGGTTCAATAAAAATCAGCCCTTATAGTTTTTTAACAGTTTTCCAATTCCACTTGAACCACTGTAAATCTGACCGAGCTGCTTGTGCGAGTCACGGGTAGTACTGAAAAAACTACCACCTGCCCTTTATTTTATTTAATTTTTTCTTGTCCATCGTGGGCCCTATAGCTGCCCTCTCCCTCGCACCCGCTGTTGTCAATTATGAATGCTGAATTGTAGCTTCTGTTGAACACTTGGGCCCTGGGATCGAATCGTATAGGATCGTACAGCGCTAAGTGGCATACATATACGCGTATGGTATTCCTGCTCACGTCGGGACATCATCATCGTGGGACCCAGAGCAAAAAAAGGGAAGGTTCGATGGATCGACGAGGGACATGCAAACTAAATGACTGTACGGCAAATTGACACACACTAAAGATTAAATGTATCGCATTCGTTAACTATATAAACAATATACGTGGCCGGTTTGAAGAACCCAGTAGTTGTTGTTGCTGTTGTTGTTGTCGTTGTGGTTGTTGTTGCTGGGGCAGGAAGTGTGTGTGCGCTGCGTGCTGAGAGTGTGCTGAACAACAAGCCGTTACAATTTTCTGGCGACTGTGAGAAAATTTTTCGAGCTGCACATGGCCAGCTCTGTGTTGTTTTTTCTCTCCTTTTTTTTTTATTAAATAGGGGCAACCATTTGGGCACGCAACGGGGTTGGCTTATTGTCAATGCATCGCTATAATCGCTGGTGTTGCTGCTGTGCTGATGATGTTGCTGCTGTGCGCCGATGTTGCTGCTGCCCTGCCGTTGCTGCTGCCGTGTAATTGAATATGTGTGCGCATGCTTGGCACGCCAAACGCGCGACAGACGCGAGCAGCTAAAAAACAAAAGCTGAAGGGCTCCAACAGAAGCTTGCTGCGCGCCACGCATGCGCAATAAAATCGAATAAAATGCAAAAAAAAAAAGTTGGATTTTTTTTTGCAAGCCCGAAGCTTGGGAATCGGCGACAGGAAATTATCATTTTGCTCGGAATGACAGGGCGGCGATTATCATTAGCTGCGATTAGCTTGATGCCCGGATATGCAGGGATATTGTCCGATTAAGTAATTTTAGCTTTGATTTGCATTTGGCTTCGAAAGAGATTTAAGTGGGGGATAATAGTTTTAATTGGCTTATTGCGTATAAGACTAAAATACCACATGGTTAAAAAAGTGGGTAATACCAAATTTAGAAGACGTGTCAAAAAAAGCTCTCACTTATAACAAACACCAATTAGTTAGTATTTTGAAGGTGACTTTATGTAACCAATAATAGGTTTAATTGAGGCTGGTTAAGTTGTCATTGATAAGCCCCTTAAAAGATATTTTAAAGGCATAATTTGGTGGCTTTATTTTCAAGCAGAATCCAATTGGCTTGGATATCCCATTAATTAATCAAACCAATTAATCAAATAGCAAACACTGATACTTTCAAATAATTTTTTTTTTATATTTAAGTTTCTTATAAGCTAATAACATTTACTCTACACTAACTAGCTGAGTTCATATCACAAATGTATTTAATGGTTTCCAACTGGAGAGGATGTCTGATTGCATCCTTCAGACTAGTTGGAGATTCATACTTGTTGCCGGCACGCAACTCGATTCGCACGATCTCTCGACAGCTCCATTCATTCATCGAATGATATGTTTTGTATTATCCATTCATTCATTCAGTCGTTTTGGTCGCATCTAACTACCGGTTTGTGGCCCATGTTGTTGCTGCTTTTGGTTGGTGTTGCTGCTGTAGTTTTCAGATTGTTGTGGTTGCTGGCTGTTGTTGTCATCGATGCTTTGATTTCTAGAGATGCTGCTACTGTTGACACTGCCGCAATTGTTGTAGTTCATTTGGCTGCTACTGTTTTTGCGGCTGATATTCTCGCGTTTTGACCAAGTTTCATTTGCGGTTGCCTCAGGGTTCGCTGTTATTGCTACTGGTGTTTTTATTTTGGCTTTTTGAGATGTTGCTGCAGGTTTAGCTGATGCCTTGATTCTTGCAATAATTGCTGCTGTTGACATTGCAATAAGAGTAATTGTAGTTTTCGTTACTGCTTCTGAGTCTTTCGAGTGCTCCTTTTGCAACTGAAGTTGCAGTACTTCTTATTGTTTTGGCTTTTGAGGTGTTGCTGTTGACATTGCAATAATAATTGCAGTTCGTGTTGCTGCTACTGTATCTTCTCTGTGGTGTTGCTACTGGAGTTGTCCGTTCCTCTTGACAGCAATTTGGATTGCTTTTGTTGCAGGTAATGATGCTGCCGCTCCTTCAAGTGTTGCTACTGCGAATGCCAATAGAAGCTGCCCGCTGAAGTCTCCAGGCAGATGACCAGGTGCTCCTCCATTCCGAAATGAGTTTCTCTCAACATCCTTTCGTTGGCCTGATTCTGGGCAATTTCCTCCAAGCTGTCGTACCGCTGACTATCGTTATGTGCGCTGCTTTTGCCGAAACGCTGCAGCATTTTGGCCAATAAGTTCTTTACTTTCGACATGGTTTTATGTAATTTTTTAAACTTCACTTTTCTGATTGGACTTCTTAACGCGTTGGTTTTCAAATCGCAACTGTTGTGGGCTGATGGCAAGGATCGCGCTTTTATAGGCTGACAGACAACCACCACCCAACGGTCCCACCACCCAAAACAACAAGTGCCACATGTGCCTGCCACATGTGCAAACTCCGCGCAAGTGCAGCAGCAACATCATCCCGAGTTTCAGCCCAACGTTGCGCCTGCCACGCTTTTAGCGCAAGGAACCCCGCAGCAAGCTCAACACGTGCAGGATAATCTCGTTTTCCCCCACTCCAGTGGTCCCTTCTTCTCTTTTTTTTTTTGTGTTGTCGAACCATCCTCGTTTTTTTCCGTTTCAATACAGAATAAATATTGAGAGCGTTGAGCAGTTGTGGTTCCCATGGATAAGGTTCGACAGCCAAGGGCCTTCCCCTATCCTGAGCGTATATCTCGATTTTTGAGGCTAGGGGAAAAAGTATCCCACGGTTCGAGTGGCAGCTGTTTGCAATTTAGGCCACAGCCCCGCTCATTTCGTTGCCTTGGTGGTGGTTGCTCCTTGTTGCCATCGTTGTTGTTGCTTTTGCTTTTGCTGTTGCTGTTACTGTTGCCCCTTTTGACACATATTGCACTTGCTGCTGATTTTGTTGCTGTGGTTGTTGTTGGTGGTGTTGCTGCCGAGTTGGTTCAACTTTGGTTAATTGCTTCGCCCGCCGTTGGGTCACGCGTTTGCTTTCCAATCGCTTTCCACCTGATTGATGTTTGCTTTTGGGCCTGGAAAGCTCAGCGGTTGGCCAAGCGCGTGGCGGAGGACAAGTGCTGCTCCGCTGATTGGGACGTGGGTCAGTCACGTGTTTGGGAGCCCGCCGCACTTTTAATCCTGGCTAGAGCAAGGTGCTTCTCATTTGTGGTCGTGTCTATGATAGCGATTTAATTCAACTTATGTGGGTTCATAATTTGAAGTGTTTGTTGTCTGTGGTCCATTGATTGGGAGGTGGGTTTTGCATGAGGGTTGTTCTTTGGCACGAGCTGCGAATAAAGTGGGTTGATGTTGATTGCTTTCGGGGAGTCAATTGTGTTTGAATGTTAAATGGCAAGGTCGATTTAATTAATTAAAGTGTAATGGAGAGATTACAAAGATTTTCAAGTTATTATTAAATATTTCTTAAGAGTCAGTAGATTTAGTTTGGTACCTAAAAATCTGTACTTGTTTTATAAAGAAGGGAAAGTGCTAATGTTGTTCCCTTTTCCACTAATTTCTTGACTATTTTCTCATGGCGTATTTAAGCCCAGAATAATCGCATTAACACCAGGAAGTGACCATTCTTCTTGAAGCTAACTCCGAGTTATTCTGAGCATCCCACGGATTGTGGGCTCTGAGCTAATGTCAGCCAACAATTGCCCACTTATCGTCTGACTAATTTATGGCTGCGCAAACATTTGCCAGCGACATTTACCTGACAAACCGACTGGTGGTCGGGCATAAATCCCTCAAAGGATTGGCAACATAAGTTGGCCGATTGGATCGTTGAAATCCATCCGGCGGCTGTCAGCTGGCAACTGGGGATTCTCACTCACCTTGGAGACATTAATGATTTGATTGCCCATTGACAAGCCAACGAGTACACCCCGACCTCTCCAAATCCCCCTCAACTTCCATTCGGATCAATGACAGACGGCTCGTTAAACTTCTTCTGCGGGTGCGTTCGTTCAATTAGCCCATGTCGTAAAGTACAAATAACTATTGCGTACAAGTTCCACGGAACTTGGATGAAAACTCTGGGACCGACTATAATCATTAAGCCCGCCGACTGGTAGCCGGCAATTTAAATTAAACAATCGTCAATGACGACGACAAGAGTGAAAAACTAAAGTAAAGCAGGCAGCAATCAGTCGGAAGGTTTGTCAGTCCGTCAGTCAGTCAACCAGTCAGCCAGTCAGTTGGGCAGTTAGTCAATCCGTCAATCCGTCAGTCCATCAGCCAGTCGCACGACGATTGCTACTTGGGCTGATAATAAGCGTCGCGCCGGCGCAATAAATGTGTGCCGACAGATAAATGTGTGCCCTCATCTGGTTGCTGCTTCTGTGTATTTGCAGCCAAGTGTTTGTCGGTGTGTTGGTGTATCTGTGTCTCGGTGGCTTTCCGTGTATCCGTGCCTGTAATCGTAACCATATAAGCGTCTTAAATGGCAGGTGTGCACATCGCGTGGGAAACACACGACGCGTCTCAAGCGGTTCTCACGATATGAAAATCGAGCAAAACAAACCGAAAGACCCCTCAAGACCTCGGCAACGGTGACTGCCACTTTCTCGGGATTCGAATTGGATCTGGGATAGGGATTGGGATTGGGGTTAGCTCTAAGGGATGTTGGAAGTGTGCAGGGGATCGACCCAACATTACGCCAAGATTTATGGGGAAACGCGGGGTTAAGGGGTCCCCAAAATATCGTGAATAGAAAATGTTTTTAAGTGCTTGTTTGTAATAATTTGGATATCAAAATTAAAAGGATTTTATTGTTACTTTTAAATATCTACAGAACTTAATTTTTCTTTGATAAAATATTGACTCACAAAAAATTGTATAATATTTTAATAACAAATAAAAGCATTAATATCATGTGCTGATTAATTTAAACCATTTAAGAAATTAAAGAAAATTATATAAAATTCTGGAAAGTTCCACAAAATATTTATTGAATTTTATGACACATTTACTACAATCTATAGTACTATCATAAGCCCATAGTTCGTAGGCAATGGTCCCATAAAGGATCTAAACGGTCCTCCTCCTTTCCTCTCAACAAGCCAAAGATCAGTAAGCCACAACAAGACAATTACAATTTCACCGAGTTTGATTTTCATTTGCTGGCCCAAACCGAATCAGTTTGTCGCAGACAATTGGGACCAATTCCGTGTACCACGTTCTCACGTCTTGGCCAGCATTTTACGGTTTAATTGCAGTTACAAAGCGTCGCCAGGACCCACACTCCTTGGCTAGACAATTGAAAGGAATAAACGCACAAAGGGAGCCCAAGAAAGGAGCCTGAAACTCATTCTTTGCACAGCGATTTCGGTTTCCTTTCCCACGCACGCACAGCAATAAGATTTCCAGATCTCCACGCTGCTCGCAGGTAGCAGGTCCTCCAGCCAGGACCTTCTCTTCCCGGCTGCGGGTATAAAAGCCGGTGCAGTCGACGAATCCAGCATCATTCGAGCAGCATCCTGCAAGCAGCACAGATCAGCTCAGCTCTTTCCTACTCAGCAACTACTATTACTGCAAAATGGCACCACAGACCAGCAACGAATCCGCTTTCGTCTCGAAAACCCAGCACTATTTGAAGGTGAAGAAGCCCCTTTTGGAGCGCCAGCGACGAGCCCGCATGAACAAGTGCTTGGACACGCTGAAGACTTTAGTGGCCGAGTTCCAGGGCGACGATGCCATCCTGCGAATGGACAAGGCCGAGATGCTGGAGGCGGCACTTGTCTTCATGCGCAAACAGGTCGTCAAGCAGCAGGCGCCTGTTTCCCCGCTCCCGATGGACAGCTTCAAGAATGGTTACATGAACGCCGTCAGCGAGATCTCCCGAGTGATGGCCTGCACCCCGGCCATGAGTGTTGACGTGGGCAAGACGGTGATGACCCACCTGGGAGTGGAGTTCCAACGGATGCTGCAGGCTGATCAGATCCAGACCTCGGTCGAATCCTCCGCCCCACGCCCACTCAGCCCCGCCTCTTCGGGATACCACAGCGATGTCGAGGACTCCGAGTCCGTTGCGAGCCCCAAGCCAGCACAAGAGACCATGTGGCGTCCGTGGTAATTCGTTCTGCAACTCCATCATCAGCAACGAGAACATCGAATCCAGTCTTCCAACTGCAAATCATGTCTTCCATCAGCAACTCCTGCTACAACGAATCATGTCTTCCAATTGTATCGATAACACTGTGATAACAGCTTTACCTAGATCATAAGAACCAATCAAGCTTTAATAGTTTACTAAGATTTAGTATTTAGGAAAAAACATCAACAGCTTTAATAGTTTTAAAATAAAAAACATACAAAATTAAATACTTTGGCTTATTTATTTCGCATTACAAAAAAGAGCTCCTTATACAGAATCAAAAATATTTTGATAAATACTTTTGTACGATAAAATGTTGTGCAATAATTTATAATTGGGTTGCATTTATTTTCTTTAAAAAATATCTGACTTAACTAGGATTTTCCAAAACTATAATAAAGACCTTTTCCCATACCATATTTCTTATATAAAGTTTCCAAGTATTCTATCACGGTATGGTTGAAATAAAAATTATTTGAAAAGTACAGTCGATAGAGGCATTCAGTTATGTGTTTATTTAAGGATGACAATATGAAGTGGAGTTGTTTTGTCCCAGTGTAAAATGTTTACCTTTCAAGGAATTTGAAAAGTGTTTACCCCTGTTGAATACATCAATTCATTAGAATAATTCCCCTGTTTAAGTGTAAAAGGCACACATTAAGCAATCCCTCCCCCACCTGACGATCGATCTAAACAAGATCTGCTGAGTGACACCCCAGCTGGGACCTCCTCGGCGGAGAATTAGGGTCCCCCGAGTCCAAGTAGGAGGTCCTCGGGCACTGAAGCCCAGACAAACCCCTGGCCAAGCGACGCCCCCGAGGGGCAGGGACACAATATAACTCGAGACCTGTCTACGCCTCGGTCGACAGCTTAACACTGCGGTGCACGTGTTGCTGGGTGTTATCGAATCTGCATATCCCTCGAACCCCTGGACAGCGATCACATATCGTTGTGGTCTTTTTTTTCCACAGGGGAGGTTCCGGGTTCATCGAGTTAACCGTCAATTACGACCCCTTTTGTGTCCTGCACGTGCGTGCTGAGTGATGGGCGGGGATCATCGTCGAACGGGACTCCTCGAGGCTCCGATGATATCCTAAACCAACAATGACAATGGCCTCTGCTTTCGTGGAACTCGCCTCCCGCATTTGCGACACACCATCGCACATACTAATTTGTAAACTAAAAAATAAATCCAAAAATAAAAGACATGTCGCGCTGTCTCGTGTCAAGTGCAACGTTCCTTCGCTGCAAAGTCTTTGTGTAATTCGATGATGTGCAGGACCCCACATGTGTGGTGCATCGCCACATTGATTACTGTCTGTGTTATTTTATCATTACAAAACCAAAGAAACCGCCACGTAGGTCCACCAGATCATATTCGTATTTACATAAGTACGGGCTGTACCCACTAGTTGGTTGGAAATATTCGACCAACTTAGGCTTTAGACTTTGCTTTATGATTACAACTTATAACATAATGACATAACTATAATATAATAACAATTTACCAAGCTGGAAGTTTTCTTTATTATCAATTATTCCTGAATTATTATTATTATTTTTCTGTATGGAAATTCAGCCATTAAAAAACTTATTTAAGATGTAAAGCTGCCTATGAACGATATCTCCCATTTTGTTCAAAGGACATCCGCAATTCGTGTTAGTTTTTTCCTTAGAATATACGAGTATTTACCGATACTTTGTTATTGTTATGCTAACTGTTGTGCACATGGGACTAACTATATCCCTCCAGCTCGTCTCATCCTCGCAGCTCAAGTGCAGATCGTCTTACGTTCAACGGAATTTTTCGCACGCCTCGTTTGATGTTCACGCTGCTGACCACGGAAAATGTAAACGGAAATACCGTAACAGAGTCGGCCAGTTAGCACATCCTCCGCACGGACCGTGTGGGTGTGGAAGGTCCTGTCCGGTGTAACCGGACCTGCGGCGTTCGGAGAGAGGGAAGACCTCGATGATCGGTGGGCTTTTCCCGCCGCCAATCGAACGCACATGTGTGAAATGTTCACGTCTGCAAGTTGCTCACGTTGCCGCATTTTGGCCGGAGATATATGGTTTCTGGATGGATAGTTTCGGCTAGGTGGATCGAGGGACGTGACGGGGTCGCAGTTTTGGACAGTCACACCCTGCTGTGAGCGAAACGAGGTCGTCACGTGTACAAACACGATCGTTCCCACCCCCCTTTGAACACTTGGCCGGGAGACAATGGACTGCCAGGGTCAGGTTGATTTTATTTTTATTTTTTGTAGTCTTTTCCCTGTCTCCGCCTTTGTGTGCGCCGGGCTAATCTACAGTTTTGGTACCTTAAATGATCGGGCGGCGATAAGAAATCAGTGCACGTGTTCGGCCAAAGATTTCCCTGGAAGATAGAAAAGTGATGGAGAAAAAGAAGGCACCACAGTAGTCACCTAAAACCCGAAAAAAACCACTGCAGGGGCAGCCAAAATTTAAGACCCCCAGCGGGGCTTTGGTTTCCCATCCAAATGGTTAACTATTTTTATTTGTTTTGCCCCTGCACGTGGGCACACAATAAAATGCTGGAAAAAAAAACATAGGCACACAAAAAATATCCATCAGAAAGGAAAACTGGGGGCAATGAGTCAACCGAAAAAATAAAGGACCAAAACACAATTAGATCGATACAATCCGTGCATAATAAGTCCGAATAATGCGGTAGCATGAGTCAACCAAAAGCGATACGAGGAACTGGGAGATTCGTCCAAGGCTATAGAGGTCAGTTCCAAGAAGTAATTCAATAATTTGGGACTGTTGATCCAGCAAAGGATATTGAAAAGATTGAGGGCAGCTCTTGTTGCGATAAAACACAGGGGATTTTATAGAAATATTCTACCGCTCAATCAAAGATATTTTGAAGCCTAATAAGAGGAGGGTCTTTATAGAAATGGCTTTAGCTCTTAATCCAGAATATGTGGCAGTTCATTTTCGGTTTTGTTTGCTTATTGTATCTTTTGAACGACTTCATTGGACTTGGGTACAATAAAAAAAATAAAGCCCTGATTACTTAATTTAGTAGACTAAATTAGTTTAATAGTATATATATTGGTGTTTTTTTTATATATCCAATGCACAGAATCACATTTTTAAGATACAAAAAAGCTTTGAAGAATGGATCTTTGACTTCGTGTTTAAAAAAATATTTCTAAGGCAATAATTTATTTGATATGTGAATCCAATCTAGCGTTTGATTGCTTTACACTCACATTATTTCCCATATTATTACCTTCAGGATGAACCCATCGATCGATAACCACACCCACCTAGCCAACAAAGGCAACCATGTAATCATCATCACCTCGACATGAGTTCAATAGATCCCAGAATCAGGACGCACTGTTAACGCCAGCCTACAACTTCTCACCGACCCGAAGATTCCTACTTAATTTGTCCCAACTCACACCGGGTTCCAAATATTTATGGTTAAGTCAAGGGACAATCCATTAAGTACGCCAGAGATATCCAAAGGGAGCCCAAAAAAAAAACAAAGGGCAGAAAGAAATCCTGGGAAACCTTGGCTTCAGCGCCTCACGCGCCATAAACGATCCACACACAAAAAAAGGAGAAGGAGCCGCACAAAAAAAGGACGGGCGCTCGCTGTGCGTGTGCTCCTCCAACGATGTCCTCGTGGTCCTGCTCCTCCTCCTCCTTCTTCGCTTACAGTTTTTTTACCCATCATAATGAGAATCGGTCCCCTGCTAATTGTGTGCCATCAGCAACAGAAATTAAAAGCAACTCCTTCGTCGACGATCCTTGTCCTCCATCTCCATCTCCATCCCCATCTCCATCTCGCTCCTTCGGGCAACGCCTCGCCTCCACGTACAATTTGATAAATTTCAAATTACAGCGCATTTAGAATCCTCCTTGGTCCTTTTTAAAGCCCCACCCCTCGTAATTCTCCGGATTGTTTGCCTATTGAGCTATGGAATCTTCTGGTTTTCGGGCATTAATTGTTCGCCTCCGTTCGAGCGTTGAAAATTGAAAATATTCTCCCACGTTCCCGAGCTGCACACGTGTTTGAGAAATGGAAAAGGGATTTCCCCCGCCCCCGGCTCCATCATCTTGCGTCCCGCTCGCACTGCCTACATAATAAGATAAGTGCACATAAAAACCAAAAGTGATCGGCAGTAAAAGGGAAAAAACGATTCTCCTTTTCAAAAAGGATCCTTTCGAGCAGCGAGACTGTGGGAACTGGTAGAAAGTCTCGTTTCTCACGATCCTGCAGCAGGATAAAATTGCCGGCACCTCCAACAGGTGCGAGCGGAGCGGCACTACATGCCGTCACACTCCGACGCACGCAGGTTAATGCCGATGCAGTCCCTTTTCGAAAAACACACCTGCCGTTTTTGTTGTTGCCTCGCCGGGTATCCGCACTCTGTGTATAGGATTTTTCGGGACACGTATCCTTGTAGTTTCCCACACTCGGTGTTTTGTGACCTGCTCGGCTTCGGGTTTCTCCCCATCCTGTGCGGGTATAAAAGGCCGCTCGGCCGCAGGATCAGACATCATTCGAGCTCAACGCTTCGTACAGTACACATCTCAGCTACACAGCAGCTAAGCAACTCAAACACATCATCATGTGCCAGAACAAGAGCAACACCAACCAAGCCATGACCATCAAGTCGAACAAGAAGCTGTCCTACAGCGTCAAGAAACTGCTGCAGAAGATCTTCAAGCAGCAGCAGCGCGTCGAGGAGGAGCAGAACCTGAAGAACGCCCTCAAGGCCAACTCCCTGGAGTCCCTCGAATCCATGGAGAACAGCCGCAACGCCGATCTCGAGTCCGCCTCCATCTGCGCCTCCTTGGAGTCCTGCGAGAACGAGGCCAACGAGCGCCTCTCCCAGTCCTGCGACATGGAGGACTACGAGTTCGAGCAACTGCCCACCGTTCCCGTTCACTTTGTCCGCACCGAGCACGGCACCTTCTTCTGGACCGCCGTCTCCGATCTGCCAGCCGACAACGACCTCATCGAGCCCCTCTACTGCAGCACCGCCAACGAGATCGCCATCCCCCAGGATCGTTGGGTTCAGGCCTAAGAAAAATCAGTGTCCTGCTACCTTCATCCTGCAACCAAGTCTTCCACGGGATCTCCAGCTTTAATCAACGTCTTCCGTTAATTTTTGACACCATTCCACAAAAATTAACACGCAAGCCGAACCACTCGAGAGCTTTACTCAAAAATTGTGATACATTTTACTTAACATTTACAAAAAAATCAAAATATATATACAATTCAAAAGAAACCTCAACTGTTTTTATTTCTACTTTCAATTCAATCATTTTCAGAAACAAAAAAAGGGAAGCAATCAAATTGGTCTTCCAAAAAACTGTTACATTTTACCAAAAAATTAATTTGAAAAGGAATCTTCATTCCTTTTGTTCCGACAATTTTCCGTTTACAAATCAACACAGAAAATAAATAGGGAGCGAAGTCCTTTGTTAATTGGCATGACTCATTTGAAAAACGAGCGGACCCTAATCCGATTCGATCCTGGACCTTTTTGGTCTTATTGTTGATCAATTTACCTGCCAGCAGGTAGTGGAGATCGTCGGGGGTTGTTTGGCCTGTTGATTTGGCTGCAATTCCAACCAGTTTTCGGGCAGGTAGAGAGGATCTGTTGGATGCCGATCAGATCGGTGGAACAAAACGAGCTCCAATTAGATGATCTGCTTATGAGAATGAATCAGAGCCATGTCGCAAATTTGTTGCATACACCAAGGCTGATGCATCTTCATGCTAATTAAAGGGTTATTTATGGGAGCAATAAATAAAATGGATCACTCGTGCCAATAAAACATTGTTGCTTGGTTATTGCGTAACCTTTAAATACATACGAACTCAATTTACATTTTTCGACTGTATTAAACCAGTACTTTAAAAACAGGATATGTTTAAAATTATATTTTAAAATTTAAACCAAAATGGTTTAATAATTATTTTATATGCTAAAAAAAATCCAGAAAAATCTGCTTCAGTAACTCTGAATCAAACATATTTCCCATCCCAACCAATTAAGAAGAGTTTCATATACTTTTGCAATTTTATTGATTTATTTTATTTGGGTAATGTATTTTTGATTCGTCTTTCTCAGCTAAACATAAATTAACATTTATAAACTATTTAAAGCTTAAAGTAGGCTAAACAATGAAGGAGGCGCGATGAACTAATGAACTTAGGAAACGTTTGCAGTAGGAAACAGCGCACTCGAATATATATGTTCACTGATTGATTGATCATCGTATTTTAGTTATATCACAGTTGAAACTAAACAATTTACAAACTACGATTATCGGAGCTAAAACTAAAAGTATTTCAAAACCAATTTGAAATCGATTAGCGAATCGACATCAATTAACTTAGGTTGTTATGATTTACTTTGGAAGACAACGGATCTTGTTGCAGAACGGTCATTAGCCATTTTTTGGGTTTGCGATTATAATGTTAGGGATAAGATCAATTGGGCAGGATATCGGGTCCGATTACCAGGGCCTCCAGACGGGCTCCGAGGCGCCGGACTCCTGCGAGCTGACCGACGCCGTTTCGGATAGTGCGTTGCCATCGACGGATGTCACATCGATCAGCTCGTCCTTGCTGCTCAGAAAGGAGCTGTAACTAATGGCGGCAGCGGCGGCCGCCGGTCCATATCCTCCCAGAAGCGGGAAGGCCAGTCGTCCTGAGGATTGCGGTATTTGTAGTGGCTGCTGCTGCTGTTGTTGTTGTTGTTGCTGCTGCTGCTGGAGTAACTGCGTCTGCAGCTCAATTAGTCGCGTCGATAGGAACTTCATTATCTTGCGGCCAATCTCATCGGTTTGCTGGGTCTGCAGCAGGACCTGCGTAATCTGATCGGCGGCATGAACGTATCCCGAGCGAAAGGACTCCACGTGGGCGGTGCTGGTCGAAGTGGGCGGGCTGTTGCCACCCGAAACGACTCCTTGAAGAGAGAGACCACCTCGCTGCTTGAGTTTCCTCATGTGATCCACCGTGAGCTCCAGGATATCCGCCTTCTCCAGCCGGGTGACATGCTCGCCCTCCTGCTGCAGGCACTCCACCATCAAATCCTTGAGATCGTCCAAACACTTGTTGATCCTGGCGCGTCGCTTGCGCTCCAGGAGCGGCTTCATCACCTTGCGGTACTGATACGTCTTGGACATCTCCATGACCATGATCGTTTGCTTTGTTTTATTGCTTCTAAGGATTGTTCTTTAGCCCTTCGTCTCTCAACTGCACATTATCACTTCTGAATTTGGTTGGGTTTACAAGTTTTCGGTTTAATTTTTCGAGCGTGTTGCGCGTGCGTTGCGCGTTCCACCGGTTGCGGTGCGTTCGACTGGCGGCAATTTTTCGAAATGAGTGGAAAACTAGTTCCCAGCCCTACTTTTATACGAGCCGTGTGGCAGGCGGACTCTCCCGGACCGGGGAGCTCACTCTCGCAGCCACAAAGCTCCCGCATGATCGCTCGCACACACGCTCCCAGGCACTCGGCCAAAATCGAGTTCCACTTCGGCTCTCCTCGGTCGCGGATCGGTAGCACCGCTCGGCAGCGGCACAAAGAGAGGCTACTGTGGGCCCTCGATGGGGGTTGGACGATCTGCAGAGGCACAGTGGGTTTAAAATTGTAATATGAAGTGGTAGGTTTACGGAAACTAAAATAGAATGCATAATAAGTAATAACACTATTCAAGAAATTTCTTGCGATCTGAAAAACACTTGTTTATTTTAATTGAAGGAACATAAAACTTAAATTCAAATATTAAATAATTGTAAATTATTGTAAATAGTTGTAAATATTTGTATATACCATAGCCCAGGTCCATATCCCATATGTACCACACCTACCCCATCTTCTAAACGCCCGGTTATGCTCAGATGGTCCTGAACGATTCCGGCGACAATAATAAATATCGCAAAAAAAAAAAAAAAAAAAAAAATTTTATATACACCTTATTTTCAATTTTAAGTGAGCCCCAAAAAATATGCTACAAAACTGGAAAGATGTTACAATGCTTATATATTCCCATAATACGCTTTTAACAATGCATTAGATGTTTCCAATTTTATAAATTCAAGCATTTAATAGGTAAAGCTCAAGAATAATGTCTTTTTGTTCAAAGCAACAAAAATATGTCAAATTTGCGAAGAAATTAAAAATGAATCGAGTTTATCCTTTTGACTCCCATAAGTATGCTATAAAAATACCTTTACCAAATATCAAACTCTGAATCCTGTCTTTTGAACCTAGTACTAATATTTTTTAAAAACTATATTAATCTTCAACCGATTTCATTGGATTCCTACCAAGGTGCCTGCCATGGGAGCGAGCGAGAGCGTGCCTCGCCGCAGATACAAATGTATCTGTATCCGTAACTGTGGCGGTGCTCTGGCGCGCGTCGTCTTCAATTGATTGCATGGCCAGAGGGAGCCCGAGCAGTCGGTAGTTGGCAGTCGGGTTTCGGATTGGATTGGATCTCATTCTCAGCGACTGCGCGTGGCTCTCAGACCGCTCCAGCCCCATCCATCCCCTCCCGATTCCCGCTTCCCTCCTTCCTATGTCATACTTATTGTCAATGATGACAGTGCTCGGCTCCCATTCGCTGTCGAAGTTCGGTGCTCCGCACCGCTCACACCAACAATGAGACACGAGGGAGCCTACGACTACCGCCTGTGTGTGATTGTGGGTCCCATGGCTCTGCGCGTGTGTGAGTGCGGTGAGTGCCTACTTTACGAGACCGTGGGAAACAGATTTGTCGTGTGTTTCCCACACGTTGGACGGATGGCTGGATTGTGATGCGATCCGATGGATTGCTGAAATGTTGTTGCTGTTGCTGCTGGTTGATTTCAAGCGGGCTGACTGTCGGCCGCCGATGGGGGGCAGTGGGCGAACTGGCGAGCGGGGCGAGTGGGGAGGGGCAGTTGGAGGGGCTGCCTTAACTCGCGCAATTATGTCGCATGCTTGGCTGATGATGATGACTGCGGCAACTGCACGGGGAGAAAATACAAGTCTAATTTGGGTAATTAACTAGAGTATTTTAAAGCAATTGAAAATAAACATGGAATAAATGCTAATTTTGTTGAGTTTATCTCGAATTATAATTGATGTCATAAAGAATTTTTTAAATTATATTATTGATCATGGGTTTTACAAAAATTATTTGAAATATCTCTAAGAATTGGAACAACAACATTTAAACATTTGTTTTTTTGTTTTAATATGTCATCCAGTTTAAGTATCTTGCAATTTAAATCATATCTTAAGGGCTTTTAAGTATAGTAACATTTTTAAAACATATTTTAGGTATTCATATTTTCTCTCAGTGCACCACCTCTATAATGCCTTTGGCTTTCGGTTGACTTTTCGTTGAAGCGTATCGATTAAGTGTAACAGTTTCGCTATCTCGGCGCATTGGGGGTTCCGAAAAAACAGTTTTTGCATAGTCCGATTGCCAACCCTTCGGCATTTGTCGCCGCTCATCATAAACTTTAACATCCGGTTGTCGTTCTAAGACTCGTATATGTATTTCTTTAATTCGCTGATCTCAGGGCTACTGGTCAGCACAGAGTGTACAAAATGTTGCCTGCCTGTTTTTATGCCCCTTTTATTCGCAGCTGCCGTTGGGCCGGCTTTATCACCATCGCATCGCAGCAATATGACACTTGTGGTTGGACGCCTCGGAGTTAGTTTTTGTGGCCGTGCTTTTTGCCTGGCTAAGCATTTCCCATGATGCTGCAGAATCGCTCTGTTTGTTTGTCTTCTGGCCCTGACTTCCGTTAGCCGTTTGGCTTGACTTCACTGGTCTTGGCTTTCTGCTGACTGGAGCCATAACAATTAAGCCTCTCAAGGCATTTCGATGGTTCGCCTTTCAAGATGCCTCAACTTTCAACTTGGCCGGCACACGTGGCGTATGAGTAATGCGAATATGCAAAATAATCACGAACGGAGCGACGGACAGAGGGACCGCAAAACCATTTTCGACTAACCTCAATGCACACTAATTGCTTGTCATATATGCCCCTCCGTGTGTCTGCCGATGTGTATATAGTTTTGCACAAAACTTGTTGCCATCGCCGGTCGTGTGAACCAAAAGCTTAAAAGCCAAATAGTTGCTGATGGGTAAAGACAGTGTTGAGGGGTCTACTGGTAGCGAATTCGCAATGCTCTTTATATATCTAATACCAATTAACAGATTAAAAAGGTTACCATTATCTTCGAATTTTCTTGAACAGCCTTGAATAACTTGAAACGGACAAAATTAAATAGTTTGTTCAAGAATTTTAATTAAAAAGGAATCGATAAACATATATAATATATTTTCGTGAATCTAAACATTTATTTTAATTAGGAGTGCTATTAAGTTTAATAATTCAGCTCCATTTTCGTGAATGTAAACATTAATTTTAATTATAACTTCTATTTAGCTTAATAACTTAGCTCCAATTGAGCTAATTAAGCTTAGGATATCTTAATCGGAAACTGGATTTTTTTCGGTACCCCCATTTTAAGGCATATCCTCTAACTAAAGCTCCCCTTATAAAAAAGTGTATAAGCCGCCTAACGACTCCTAGTATCTCTCTTCGAAAGGCGCAAGCCCAGGCACAAGCTGGCCTCAGTCGGAGCCGCGATCGCAATCGAAATCGCAGTCGGAGTTGGCTTGGAAGTCGGGCTTCGAGTTGGATTTTCAGCCGGTGTCCGTGTTGCCAAGTCAGTCGCTTTCAATTTGGCAAACGTGCAGTTCAAAGCCTAGACGCTGATTGGGGGCAAAGGTGCGCGGGTTGGGAGTTGCAGGCGGTGGTGTTTCAGCCAAGATTAATAGCGGCCAAAGGCAAGAGAGTCAAGTCGCTTCGAGAGATCTCTGGTGCGCAAGCGTGCGGTGCACACGCGATTGGCACGAGTTTTCGGCCACAAAATGAGGAAAAAACATAAAAGAAAAACAAACGAAAAAGAAAACCCGATTCGTAGCTGAGCTGGCCTAACTAGTTATGGCAGCTAACTCTGATTGTGCTGCAGTGTGGGAACCTGCGATCCGGCAAGGACTTGCTGCCTGAATGAGGTCACGGCCTCATTAGATCCCCATCCCCATGCCCCTTAGCCATGCCCCTTGGCCATGCCCACATCGTTTCCCGTTCCCAGTTGCTGGTTGCCAGGTTGCCAGTTTGCCAGAGCGTGTGAACCACAACATGTCATAATCCCCTCGTTGCGACTAGTCCCTTTTAAAATGAACTTATCAGCGCCGGGCTCTGCGAGCCTTGATTATAAATGACAACAAACAGGCCAACAAGTAGCAATAACAGCTGCTCAGCCCGAAACACAAAAATCACATCGAAAGGAAACAGAAATAACAGCGTCAGCAGCAGCAACAACAGCAACAGCAACAACAATAATAGTGCCCCGAAAAAAGCCGAAAACCCAAGTGAAATTCTTATAAGCCCTTTCCCACACTCGAAGACATCGACATCGAGCAGCGGCGACGCCTGCGCCTTTTGCCTTCGCCTGTTTCCACTGCCAGTTCCCCAGGACGGAAATGGCCAGCGTCTTAGTCCCACGCTCGCAGAAGGGAACAGGTGCTGTTCGTGCCCCTTCGACTACGGCCCTGTGGCGAGATGTGCCCCATCCCCTGCCTTATCCCCGAAGTCCCTGGCCCCGAAGAACCAAAGACCGGACAACTACCCATGTACTACTGGGCTCCGGGCCCTGGGTACCGTGTGAATGTGAAAACAAAGTCAGTCGTGCATAAATGACGAACAGGCGATGCGCACAGTGGTTCTAAATCTGCGGTAGCATTGGGTGACAAATAATTGGTAGGCAGTATTAACAGAAAATAGTAGGAGGATAGTAATAAAAATTTCTTAATTGTCTAAATATCTTATATTTAATATAAATACAAAGAATATTAATTCCCAATAGAAAACATGGTTTTTAAAGTATTTAATTCTAATATTTTATATAATAAAGTCTAATAATCATTTAATTTCACCAAATCCCAAGACACATTTACAATGTTGTGTATGGAAACTATTAATAAAGAAGGACTTAACCCTCTCAAATGTAAAAGAGTTAATAAAATTCTAAAAGGAAGACCCGTACAAAGTAGCTTTTATTATGGTAGCAATAAAACTGCAATAACAATAAGATTTACATTTGATTACCATTAACCAATAGTGCGAGGCCCACTGTGCGGCAGCGTCGTCTTCATCTACCTGCAGCCAAAACTCATCAAGCGGCCCTTGTCGATTGTACGTGCATGGGAAAAGTACACACACAGAAGACTGGAGCTTGTGGATTCCTGTTGGAATTTATTTGGGAAATACGCGCACATAAAAAGGCCTTTACCGAGCCGGGATCCCCTCCTCCTCCTGCTCCTCGTTTGCCGGGCTCACCTCTCACCCCGACTTTGGCTGTGTGTGAGAGTGCACTCAAATTTCGTACGGTGCTTGGGCCGTAGCTGCTCGTGAGATCAGCCGGCGTACGATTTCACTCTTGACTGGCCATCGGCAGCGCAGCAACCTCGCCTCATATATAAATATGAGCGACGCCGGCGCAGCAGCATCAGAAAACGACCAGCTCTCGCGAGGTGCGCACACGCAACGCTCGCTTAAAAAGAAGAAAAACTCACAAGAAAAAGCTCCACAACACACCGCAGCAACATGTATCTGGATACGAAAAACATGACGGCCAGCAACACTTCAGCTTTGACAGCGGCAACAACACCGTCGAACGAAAAGTCCGCACGGCACATGCGCAAAGTTTGGCAGCCGCTGCGTCGTCTGCTGAAAGTGGGTGGTGGCAAGGGTCGCACCGCCCAGCTGACCTTGGCCCATCCCAACAACGTGGATCTCAACAACACACAAATGCAGCAGCAGCAGCAGCAACCCGAGTTGCTCGTCGAAGATGAGCCTAAGTCAACGCCAGAGGAGTCTCTTCACAAGTACGGATTGGAGCTGAGGCAACTTCCCGAGGAGGAGGTGTCCCTCACCCAGCCGCCCAACACGCCCACCCTCATCAGCAGCGTTTACGTGGACAAGGTCAGTGCCCAAAGCTGTGGGAACTGCCAGCATGGACGTAATTGCCAGCACAGACATCACAGTAGCAGCAACAGCAACAGCAACACCAGCAGCAACATCAACTTGAACAGCAGCAACAGTGCAACACAGTTGCCCAGCAACCTCTGGGATCTGCAGTTGCCACTGCAGTACATCAGCACGGATAACGGCACCTTCTTCTGGGCCAACACCCAGGATCGCGTCGACGATGATCTCCTGCACGCCCTGCTCTGCCAGAGCTTCAGTCAAATGCCCGGAACCCTCTGTTAGCTTAAGTCCGCCCGCAAGAACCTCACCCCATCACCGAATAGATCTCAATCGCTTGGGGGTCACACCCCTAATTATCGTAATTTCACTTATTTATTTCCCCGCGCAATATTTACGTTGTTAATGTGATACTAATTTGCATGTAAAATAAAACATAATCACTCATTTTGTACCATACAAATGGAAGAACAAGAAAAGGAAACGTTTTATTATTGTTTTGGGTCTAAAAAAAGTAAATAATAAGGGGGATAATTCTTTTTAGGGTTTTGAGTTTTATGATCATTTTTATGGTTTTCCATTCTTTATGATGATGGTAACTTTGAGTTACTTTAAGGGAAGGGGCACTAGTTATATTAATCAAGTTGAAGACATGCGACACGCAACAATCATGGTTGATCGTTTAAATAGAGCTTCGTAAAGAATTAAAAATCAAAATATACAGAATCATCGATTTGGGATAATGACAACCATTACACCTATTCTGCCTTATCACGACTGGGGATCTGAGAGCAGAACCCGATCTTTTGGAGAACTGCCGTAACGGAAGAACGAAGATCGGAGCAAAGGATAACGGAAGCAGTGTTATGAGTGGAACCTAATGAGGCCTGACAGATGAGCGGTTTGAAAAGACGGGTTGGCCAACCGATAAACTGAAGATGCAGAGAGCGGGGGATGTGCAAACTGGTATCATCTTGCAGTGAATGTCACATCGATGCTCCCAGGCTATACATAAAAAAACTAAAGGGGGATGACCAAAGTTAACCTGGACACTTATTTCCTGTGTTAATGAACTGTGTCGAGTCAGTGGATTGTGAATTGAGTTGTGCCTTAAAGAGCTTATACCCTTGAAGAGTAAGGGTCACTAAAACCCTTGAGAACTAACCGCAAACATACATTGTATTTCACATTTATATGCTCTTGATTACGTTTTGTGGTTAAAAAAGAATGCTACTGATAAATTGGGGTACTGGAAACTGGTAACCAACCTCTAAAGATAAAACAAAATATATATATATTAAAAAAATACTAAAAGAGTACATAAATAGTGTAGTGTAAAGGACAAGTAAATGCAATGCTGACCATGTCAAATCTGACCAACTGCCCATGCCCTAAAATCATTTTCACTTTCGCCAACCTTTGCCTCCCACTGTGAACACCCTAATTAACAACTCGTTTACTCGTGTCTCATAAATTCGTGGGATTATATTTCGTTCAAAACAAAAGGATGACTATTTCGAACAAAGGATGTGTCTGTGTATTGTTCTGCTTTTACGACCGATCTCGTCTAGCATTTCTGCTCTCGCAAAAGACGGAAGAGCTCAGTTTGGGCGCCAGACGCCTGCAGGGCGCAGTTGAAGTTGTCCAGCAGGCAGGAGTTGGCCAACTCGGCACGATACTTGCCATTGGTAATGCACACCGGCTGGTAGATCATCGAGCAGGGCTTGAAGCACTCCTTGACCTCCAGCTTGAAGTTGCCCAACTTCTCGTGCAGATTCTCGACGAACTCGGAGCTGCACCAAGCGGCATCGGTGGCAGCATAGGCTAAAATAATATATTTTATTAAAAATCAAGTTCTAAACTAATTTCGATTTTTTTCAACTTACCCTGCTGGCTTGTCCTTTCGCGGCGACAGTTGTGGGACAGAAGGTTGCAGTCGCTGGCAAACTCCTTGAAGTTCAGGCCATCGGTGGCACACACTGGCTTGTAGATGCTGGCACAGAAAGAGGGGCAGGCAGTATCGTTGGTGGATACTGTGTTTCCGGATACGGTTGCCACCAGAACCAGGCAGCAGAGTGTAAGAATTTGGTTCACCATGTTGGGGTTTTCGTAACTTTTTGGGTTTTTACAGAAGAACGCGTTCTCTCTGAAGTAGTTATTGACTTGAATTGCCGTGAATGTCTGGGCTTTCATTGATTTTTATATATTTTTATGGCTCTGTGGAGCTACTATTAGATAGTATATCAGTTATACCGTGCTGATAAGACCGGTCTTCTTATCAGCAAACCAAACAAAAACTCGTTTATGTGTGCCACAAAGTTCTACGGTGTGCCAGCACTTTTTTGGGTGACTAACAAAATGTTTACCCTTATTAAAAGACTTCAAGTTTTGATAACAAGTTTGAAACATATTAAAGTACGTTGGAAAGGTTAAAAAAGACCAGTAACTTTATTGTTTTAAATTATAGCAAACGGGTATATAATTTACTGGGTATCTTTATATTTTACTTTGTTTTATTTGACAAGATCTTTACATTTTGCAATGTTGTAAGGGTATTAAAAGTACCTCAGCTAAGACTTTTTTCTTTGCGTCTTTTTGATTGATTGGCTCGTCTGCGGTCTTTGTAAAGTGTTGTTCTCAAAACAGCATCATCAAATTTCGATATACTATCTTGTTTATGGTTTAGAGTCTAAAAATATTGATAATATCGGGGAAGTATAATTTACTATGTTGCTGTTATCACTCTGATAACTGTGTTTACAGATTTCCAAGTTGAGGAAACTTTTTATTTGGGAGATGATTTATGTTTTTCTAGAACTGCGTAGTATTTTTTCCAATGGCCTTTAATTTTCATCAAATATTTAAGTGCAGGGTTTGGCTTAGTTTTGGGAAAAGCGTTTTTTCGGATTTTCGGCAAGGGGGTACATCATAAAAATGTCGAGAAAATAGATCAAAAAATCGAAATCGATGATGCAGTTCAATCATTTAGAGGAGTACTAATCTGAAATCGCACAAAATTTAGAAAAGTTATGGTTGTTTTTCAAACCAACCCTTTTTGTAAGATGTTTCGCAGTGCACATCATCAAAATAAAATCGACAATAAAATCTGGTTATTTGACAAATGATCTTAAAAATCTCCACACTTATTTTGGTCTATTTCGGTTACAACATTCTGACCGCCCACATTGTTCTACAGTTCATCGCAATCGCCTATCTCCATGGGGCACACTAGTAATTGAGGCCTCTCCACGAGTCGCACACACAAGTGTCGATGAGGAGGGGGAGGTGGAGGGGGAATTCCCGGCGGTGGCCAAGGGAGCGTGGTGGCCGGGCCTAATCACCGTTTAATGATGTTCACACACTTGTTGCTGACGGCGCCCCTCCGTAGAGAACTGGCCAAAACCAACAGGCCTGGCCAATCAATGACCGCTAAGCGAATGCTCGTCACGCACGCGAAGGCCGCTCCGCTGGTCGTCGGGAATTGGGTACACACGCGTACATTAAACCCACCGCTGAAGACAACCATCCCCATTCCCAGTCTCATTCCCATTCCAAATCCCAGTTCCAGAACTAAGACCCCAAGCCAAGACCGACCATAAAATACCACGGCGAAGACAGCTCGGCGCAGGATCAGGTTGGTGATTTGGTTGGTGATCGGTACTCGGTACTCGGCGATCAGTGCCCACTGCACAGGTATGCAAATGAGCCACGGCCCATCTAGATAGCCATCGGGTCTCGTTCCACGGAGTCCCGGACTCATCGCTATCACCGCCCAGTGACTCGAACAGTGTCATCAGCATTATCAACGGCATTCCGTGATGGGTTCTCTCTTCCAATTTTCAATTCTTTCGTGCAGACAAGCGTCGCTTTGCATACGAAATTAATTATGTGCTGTCAAAGGCAATTTAACAGAAACTTATATTGCTACTTAATTTACGTCACGGCGCTACCAGAACTTATCCATTCTCTTTCGAAGGGGTATTGCTGTATTGTTAAGAGAGTTAACAAATGGTATTCATATATTCATATAGAGAGAAAGTAAGTTTTTGTAGTATTTATGGATAAGTAATGGAAATGAAATAGTAAATCATAACTATCGCATACAGTATACTTAACTTTTTAGATCAAATTTTTTTACATGAATGTGAATTATTTAATTTGGATATCTTATAATTTTAATAAAATCATAATAGGTAAGATAATATAATAAAAGAGAGTATATGATTACCTAATATATACTCGAATCGTTCTCGATCTTTCTGGTTATTCATGTTGTTATGTTATTTTATTTTCTTTTTTTCCAACTCCTTCGCCTGCTTCTTCCCCGCTGTCAACATCAATTTGCATTTTTAGTGCTGGAGAAATGCGTTTGAGATTGATAGAGTGGGACAGTCGGAGTGTGCGAAAGAGTGGGAATCTTTTGAGGGACCTGCCTCGGATTGAGATTCCCTAGCCAAGGCGATTATCTTTTGCGGCAACTGTTTTTATGCCCAATTTCAACGTCCGCCTCGAGACGCCTTGGCATGTGATTCGATGTCTTGAGGTGTTGACGTCTACATGTTGCATTTTAATTGTGGTTTTCGGTGTTTGGTTTTTACTTCTCGGTTCTGGTATCTCTTACCAGGTTCTTGGGGTTTTCCCCGCCTTTCGGCCTTTCTCCACTCCCTCGCCGGATCGTAAATAAGTTGTGCGACAAGCGACAAGCAGCTCGCTGCCAGGAGTTGCCGTGAAGTTATGCGCACGACATCCATATTTGGCATCGCACAGGTGGCGATGGCGGCCTTAACCAAGGTGATAGCCATAACACTTGGCTCCGGGCCAACTTGGCTCCCGGCCATCTCTCCAGAGTGCGAGCACATCACACCTTCTGGCCACAATTGCCACAAGACAAGGCTGGCCACAAGGTTGTCCATTTTGGGACGCAGCCATCCCAAGAATTGACTTTCTTGTCGAGTGTGGGCTGGTTTGTTGCAGGATGCGATCTACCGCTCTTAACTGACCCAGTTATAGATGTATTTTAACTGCAGTCAATTATAGCATATTTTCTTAGATTTTAATAGAACAAGGTTGGAGAGAAGTACGCTATGCATTTCCTTGTTTAAAAATAACTTGTTACCAGAGTTAATTAATTATTAAATTATTTTGCGGTATTACGCTTAACATCATTTTAATTAATCTTTCTGAGAATTGGTTGGATATTAGTTTATCAATATTCAAAAGTTGAGTCATTGAATTTAATCATTATGAAATTACAATCATATACCTTTTAAACAGAATCCTAGAATTTGTTTTTGTTTTCTATTTCCCTTCTAACGTTCATCTCTTACTCGACAATCTTCCCAGAAATCATATACAACCGACTTTATGGGAAGTAATTCAAGTGTTTTCCTCCTTTTATCATGCTCTGGAAATAACTCGAAATATGTCTGCCAGTAGACGTTCTTATCTGGCACGTTGACTCCAGAACAACATTTTGCGTAGGACAACAAGCGATTCATTCATGTGGAATGCCAAAAGAATCACAACAAACTGAAAAGGGAGTTGTTTGCTTTCTTATGCTGAAACCCGAAACCCCTGTGCCCAATTACAAGATGAATGAATTTGATTTTGATATTTCTTGTTTTGTATTTTGTACGTTTGTTTTTAAAGCTCTCTTTTTCTATCACAATATCTTAACAACTAATGGAAGCGCTGGATCGCCGAGATTGTTGGGTAGTTAAAGCCGCTGATGCTATCACAATGTTTTTCGAGTTCTTAAAGCTTGAAGATTGAAGGGTGAGGCGATGGTGTTTCTAAGCCTGTGCCCAACGATCCTGGAACTGCATGGAGTAGCACATGGCGGGCTCGACGCTGGCGACTGGCTGAAGGTTGGTGGTCCAGAAGAAGGTGCCGGCGGTGGTGCGAGCGAAGCGAACGGGGACATAGACGTCCTCCTCGTCCTCCTGCTCCTCGGCGATCTCGAACTCCTGCGAGTGGGCCAACTGGGCCAGCTTCTCGTTGGCGGCGTTCTCATCGATCTCGGCGTAGTAGGCCTCCTCAACCTGGGCGTTGCGCAGATTGTCAACGGATTCCAGGGACTCCAGAGAGCCCTGAGGCTTCTGGTGCTGCTTCTGCTGCTTCTTGAAGAGCGTCTTCAGGACCTGCTTGATGCTGTAGCTGGTCTTCATCTTGTTGTTGGTGCTGGCGACAACGACGACTTGTTGGCACATATTGAAATTTGAAATTTGTTTTTTTTGGGTTGGTAGTGCGTGTGTTGCTTGAAAGGCTGACGATGTCAGAATGATTTCCCAACCGGCAAACTGTCGGCTTTTATAGCCGGCCCGGCTCGAAGTGCATTTCCTGTGCGCTCGAGCGACAGAGAGGGCGAGAACGGACCCCTGCCAAACGACACGCACCGCAGAAGGGGAGAAAGGGACGGGGAACACAAACAGAGACCAGAAACACAGACCGAAGCCACCAGAGACCCTCGCCCTCGAAGAGCAGAGATAATCGGGGCGGAGAACCTGAAATACGACGCTCGCCAGGAGCCGGGGGAAGTTCCAAGGAGCAGGTAGAGAGCGAGACGAGGAGGAGAAGAGTGCATCGGCGGTGGCGAAGGAAACAAACCCCTACAAAAACTGCAACTGTCCGTCGAGTGTGGGAAACAATTTTTCGTTGGCCTCAAAATTTTCGGAAACGTATTCAAGTGGCCCGAGAAATCCTCGCAGTGGCAGCAAAAAATCACCAACACATCGGCAATCCAGGACACACCGATACGGGGCAGGTGTTCCTTGGTAAAATTTCTCACGACACCGAAGGAAGCCCAGGATCAACAAGGGGATCACATCATGGAAAAGGAGTTGCAAATTGTATTCCTAATGGGCAATCAACATAAAGGCAGAGGGATAGGGGACCCTTTTGTTGGGTTCGGAGCGACCCCAGGACGAGACCATTCCCACGCATTCCCACACATTTTCGTCCTGGTTCGTCTGGTTTCGAATGAAATAAGAAGGGAATAAGGGCATAATCACTTGGGGTTGCATCTTCTATTTGTATAGGCATCCCGAATCACTTGTTATGGTGTTTTGATTTCCAACTTTCCCACAGGGCTCGATGCATCCATTTACCATTCTCCATTTACGATTTACCACGACCGAAACCACCACCAATAAAATGCGGACTTGCCACTTGTCTTCAATTTGGAAACACTCCCCAGGGGTGAACTGGAAATCTTATAGATATTTTAATTAATTCCCTTTCTTGCGGCCCAAGTGTGCTGAAAGTGTGGAGCGATAGGGAGGGATACTTTTTCGTTTTTCATTGTTTTTTCTGTTTTTTTTTTTCGAGGGAGAGGGATTACCCGATAAGGCGCAGGGAGAAAGTGTGTGCAAAGCGAGATACGAACACGTACTTGAAGATACGCTTTAATGACGAGGGGATCCTGTTTAATGGTTCTCCTTTTATCAGTGCCACTAATGGATCGTTCTGATTGCACCCCCTGCCAAGAATGGCGGACAGTGGATTTTTGGTGGGAACTAGGGATCCAAAGTGGGAGTCCCTCTATCTGGGGGCCTCCTGTCAAGGGGCCATTGACAGTTTACACTTGGCGGAGGCCTGGAATGATGATGCATCTCCATCTCGGCCCGCTGGTGGTGGTAATATGATATATGCACTCGAAATCTTCACAAAAAATAAAAGCCCCGGCCAGAGGCACAGCTTCAGTTCCAGTTCGAGTTTGAGTTGCCGAGCGAGATAATGGGCAACGTGCCAAGTGCCCGACCGTGTATACACAACAAACAGTGCATAAAAGCAGGCGGAGGAGCCATTCACAAGCTGGTGGTTAAAACCGAGGAGGGGGCAGGTTGCCAGTGGAGCGGGGGAGTGGAGCGGGGGAGTGGAGCGGGGGGAGTGGAGTGTGGAGCCGAGGCTGCAGTAGGAGGTGTGCCGGGTCTTTTATGTGATCTCCGAGTGGAGTATGTGTCGGCATCCCAGCAGCCACAGAGCGGAGTCCACTGGCTTTGGCGGATGGCAAACTGGTTTCTGGCTTTTTGGATCTTTACATACACCACGAGAGATGCCAATGCCAAAGTACACCAAGAAAAATATCGTGTTTAATGTTAAAGATGGTTAAAGGTATCTTATGATCTTCCTGGGGATATATGAAAAGATAAAAACATGTTTAAACTCAATTAATAAACTAAATGGATAATAAAGTTTTCTGAGAATAATTATTTTACAGTTTTGTCTAGAATCTAAAATCATAAAGCTATACATAAATAAATAATAACATTTGTTATTCAATGTTTTTTTTTTAATATCGAACTTAAAATGCATAATGCATCGTGCGCAAACCTAGATTAAGTAATTATTATTATAAATACGTATTTCGACAATTACCCATCTGACCCCAAGCCCAACTAACCAACCATCCAACCAACCGACTAACGATTTGATGACCCTTTTTTCCAAGTGCACACATGGACACACATACTTAACGCTCGGCTATGACGAACAAATGTGTAAAGCATTAAAAAAGAGATCTAAAAAATACGAAAAAAATGAGAAAAGCTGAATAAAAAAAACAAAAGCGTCGACCGCATCCTAAACAGCGGCAACCGTCGTCGGAGGAGGAGGAGGAGGCCAGAGGGGAGGGGGATCCGCAGCGGACCGAGCTCGGGCCCAAGCCCCAACCAATCTTTTCAAGTTGATCCCCATCAAGATATTATTTGACAGCAATGAAACGACTGGCACGAGTTTGTTTCCCACGGTCTGGCGTTGCCTTGGTGTGCGTTGTATCTGTGAGCTGGTGTATCTGTGGGTTTTTCAGAGGGGGGCTTTCGAGGGGCTTCCAAGGGGGGGCCCCCACCGACGACTGCTGACTTGGCTGGCTGCTTTTCGCGGCGCAATAAAGTTGAAAGCGCACTGTTGGATATAAATTAATTCAACAACACGCTATGGCCATACACTGGTGTTGTTGCTCTGGGTCTCCGTCGCCGTCTCCGAGTTTTGCACGCTCTCGTGCCCCGCCCCGTACCGCCCCACCCCCTTCGGCGATCGCCCGACTCCGCGGGGGCACTGAAATTCGCGCGTGCGTATGCCATCGATAAAAAAAATAAAATTGTTTAAAAAAAAAAAAAAAAAATATAGCAACCAAGAGAAATAATAAAGCGAGAGAAATGAGGTCTTCGGAGATATATGTATGTTTGTGTGTGAGTGTGTGTTTGTGAGCTTATATCTTTGGATGATTGGGTGTATAAAGACCAGTTGGTCTTAAGCGACTTGTGCCAATGCGCTACACCACAGCGAGCATTGCAGAATCTGATGAAATGGCACATATGATTCATGATTGGAGTCACTTCCTTGTTATTTGTTACTTGTTATTTTCGGAATTATTTCGTTGTGAGCCAGCAGATTGCGTTTCTGCATTTCAAATTACAATGCCACACTTGATTTAATCTATTAAGGGCACGTGCCTGTTCCCTTAATTACTGCAATTGTCATTAATGATACGAATTACCGCAGTGATTCTGAACTTGATAAGCTAGGAAACTTATTTGGGAACGTGCTCAGCCATTTGTTAACTGATTACACGCAAATTAGAACTTCCGAAAAAGTTATTTCTCAAAAGGGCAATCAAACCTTTACAAAATTTATTCGGTAACATTTTTTTTGTAAAATCCCAATAATATATACTTATTGGAAACCTGCGGAAATTAACAACTTTTCCACTATTGAATAACGATTTAAATGGAAACTATACACTTATGTAAACATTTAAAACAAATTACTCCATTTGGGAAAATTAACAAGAAATATTTAGCTAACAATCCAATAGGAAACAATTATTATTGCTATTATTATGGTGGAAAAGCCACCCCAAAAGTGCATGCAGCACCCTCCCCTCGTCATTTTGCAACACTCTCGACCCATAAATCCAATTAGCCGTTTCCGGAGCATTCAGCTTTTTGACAACCACAGTTTAGCTGTCCCGGTCCAGCGGACAAAACGTTTCGGTTAGATAAGTTGTTAACTGATTACCGTGTGTTGGCCCGTTTATCGCCGTCGCTGTTTATTTTTGTTTCGGCTAACTGTAGCTCATTTCGAATGCGTCGAGGGGCAATCTTAATTTGTCTTATTTGAGCTTGTCTTTTTTTTACTCACTGTATCTGCTGCCGACTGGCCTTTTTGTTATTTGTGTGCCAATGAGCCGGGCTCGTGTCATATTCAATGGACGCGAGCGATCGTCGTCGTCATCAACGCCGGCACTTCTAATTAAATGTTGTGAAATCTGAGCTTTGACTCTAAGATGTGTCAGATGCCGGCGGATGGGGCTCTAGCATCTCGAGCCGGTGAATCACGATCGTAAAAATAAATACCGAATGCGAATGTGCTAAATATACATACATATATCGTTTAAGCCCCACGAGCCATATAACATTTATAGCGTGTGCTGGCAACAACCATAGCGATTGTAACCGACTTTCGCGCACACGTCGATTTCAATCGGTTCCCAGCCGTCGCAACTGAGATGGTAATTGTCTACAAATAGTAGAGAGCAGCGAGCGACGACCCAAGATCCCCAAGCCAGGCAAAAGCCAAACCCAAAACCCCCAACCGACAATCAAGAATAATCATGTAAACGAAAAGCGTAATGCTCGTCCCACGAAGCCCACGACTACCACGATCCAATCAATGATCCATAAAGCGCTAACAAAAAAGCAAGAAACGCTGGCTGGCTGGCTGGATGGCTGGCCCGATGACGATTCCACAATTATCAGCGTGCCATAAGCTACTGCAAAAGGGTGAAGGCACATGGCAAGACTTCAGACCTCAGACCCCAGATCTCAGACTTCAGACCGAACCGCACCGAATTGAAGCCCAAAAGACCGGACCCCGGGCCGACCATACAAATGAATTGAAATGCAAACATCTTGTTATGGATGGAAGGCATGTGCTCGCCTCGCTCGCATCGTATCTGGGATCCCGAGTCGCACAGACCTCTTAAAGGCGGTCTGTCCGTCTCTTTGTCCGTCCGTTTGCCTGTCTGTCCGTTTGTCCGTCCGCCGAAAGACGGACGAGGGATCGTACAAGACCCCAAGCATGCACAATCAGAAGAAGTCAGGCCAGCCGTCGTCATCGTCGTCGTGGAAATCGGCTGCGAAACAGTTTCCCACGGTATAACAATCACAACACATACATAAGGAGGGAGGGAGAGCGAGCGAGAGAAGGCGCAGCTCAAGTCATTTTATTGCCCTCACATATACACAAAGAGGGAAAAAAGAAAAAAACAGAAGCCACCACCACCACCACTACCACCAGCACCGCTGAGCCATCTGAAAACCACCGCTGGCAACAGCAGCAGGCCGCGCACGAGGCAAAATGAGTGTCCCGCTCGCACTCGCTGCTCATATGCCCGGACGGCAGAGGCTATATAAAGCCGATCCCACAGCCAGCCGACTCATTCAAAGCTCCGACTTCGTTGCGTGCACACAGATACTCGCTCTATTCCGAGATCCAGTGGAACACTTCGTCTGTGGATTACGCGAGTTTACAACTTCTTACTTACTTACCCACCAACTAAACAACCAAACCAACCAAATCAACCATGGTTCTGGAGATGGAGATGTCCAAGACCTACCAGTACCGCAAGGTGATGAAGCCCATGCTGGAGCGCAAGCGCCGCGCCAGGATCAACAAGTGCCTGGACGAGCTGAAGGACATCATGGTGGAGTGCCTCACGCAGGAGGGCGAGCACATCACCCGCCTGGAGAAGGCCGACATCCTGGAGCTCACCGTGGAGCACATGAAGAAGCTTCGTGCCCAGAAGCAGCTGCGTCTTTCTAGTGTCTCCGGTGGAGCCGCATCCGCCGATCCCAAGCTCAGCATCGCCGAGAGTTTTCGCGCTGGTTACGTTCATGCCGCCAACGAGGTGTCCAAAACCCTGGCTGCTGTTCCCGGAGTGAGTGTGGATCTGGGCACCCAGCTGATGAGCCATCTGGGTCACCGGCTCAACTACCTGCAGGTGGTGGTTCCCTCGCTGCCCATCGGAGTGCCCCTCCAAGCTTCCGGCGAGGATCAGGCCATGGTCACCCCGCCGCCGTCGGAATGCGGCAGTCTGGAGAGCGGAGCCTGCAGCCCGGCGCCCAGCGAGGCCAGCTCCACTTCGGGTCCCATGTGGCGACCCTGGTGATCAGTGGACTCGGGATGAACCTCACCTGAATCGCCTTCGAGCGGAAGGCTTCTACAAATCGTCGCCCCAGAGGAGTGCTGGAACCGAAACCGCACCGAAACCTTTGGAGCTCTTCAATCGCTGCCCAGGATTAGCTTTCCCAGCAGCCCAATCTCTAGCAGAGCCTCAAATTCCGGCTATAGAGAGCGGAAGCTTCACCAGGAAATCACAAGAAAAAGAATTCCGAAAAGAAACTGATTTCAAAATTAAAATAAATGAAATTGCAACTTAAGAACCCCCGTGTTTACTTATTTCCCATAAAACTAGGGCTTCCACTGGTGGTGGTTACTCATGCCATCCAATTTTAGTAGGCATCCGAGCGCAAAAACACAGAAAAAAAAACCCTAAAACAAGAAACGAATTAGAGATAAACTCCGTGGCGAACCGAATCGCAGACCCCGCAGCCGGAAGTCGCTGAATTTTTTCCCACACTCGGACTATCGTCTGGCCTCATTATGCCCCGAGAATTCCGACCGGGGGATATGGCTATGCGGGGTCTTAAAAGGGGTACACAACCATACATACATATCTTTATATATGTATGTTTGTATATCTGCGGGAAGTTTTGCGCCGGCGCTGTCGCAATTAAATAATAAAATAAAGCAAAAAGTCAGTTCTAGGAAACGTCATTTATTATGAGGCCCGCCGAGTGTGAGAACCGCGGCTCCGCTGTCAATGGCTCAGCATTGTGGTCATTGTGTTTTGCTTTTGTTTTAGCTTTTTGCTTTATTTTTTTGTTGTCCAGGCTTTGACAGCTTTAACTGCGCTTGACCGCTTGGCACATGCGCGGCGGACCGGCGGTCAGACATTGCAAATTAAGCCCGCGACCGCGACCGTCTCGGCACTTAAGGCCCAAAACTTCGACTCTGTATGGGGTTCGATTACGGAACCTCGGACTCAGCGCCTTTGTCTGGCAGACAACTATGATGATGACTACTTACCGGGCCGTCTCGAGTCTGGGACCGTTCAAGCCGCCGCTGATTGCTGTTAATCTTCAGAAAATGTGATTAGTCACGTAACTTTGGCATGGAGACGGCCAAGTCTCGCGTTTTTAGCGCTTCTCCGCTCATTTTATTTATTTTTTTTCGGGTACAAAACGGCTATTTATAGGGCTCAACGGTAGTCAGCTGAAATGGGTGATCTATTTCGCGTTGGTCCAGTTGAAAAGCGATCGCTTCGCTTCGGAATTGATTGAGAGGGACAGTCTAGCCCAAAGCCGGCGGCTAATTGGGTGGCTTAGTTTGTGAAACCGATCTGGAGGGGTTCCCATTAAACCTGTCGGCTTTGGATTTCGTTTATTGCCGAAAAGTGCGTCACACTTAGGAGATTTATAAACCAGATCTTTGATGACTTCAGAGTACCATATCCGCGTATAGATAAGACTTTACTGGTGCCATTAATAAATAACCTTGCTTAAATAACACCTATTTTGTATGATATAACTATAATATTTTTCACGAAAATAAGACATAAAAAAAGCTCAAATGCCAATCGGGTAAGTTCAATGAGATTTAGTCTTCCATATATTTAAGATTTGCTTTTGACTTTTTTACATCCGTCCAGAGTGTGTAACTAAGTTCCATAAATTTCCAAAAATTAAGTAATTGTATTTGAAAATTCCCTAAAAATATTTATTTTATATTACGATTTGCTTCCATTTTTCGGACCTTGCCCAACCCTTTATCAGTCTTGTGACAGGAGGTACAGTAGAGTCCGCACGTCATCCATCACGTGACCTCTGTGTGGCGGGGGCCCCATCTCGAGCACCGCGGGTCCGGCCACCTACTTCAGTCATAATACTCCGCACGCCGCCGAGGTTTAATGCAGCCGTATTAAAGTGAGCGCAAGACCACCACTTAATAAAGGAGAGGCGGCGGCAAACCGGCCTGGCAATGGGTTGAGCTCGGTGGAAGGAGGTGGCTGGACGACGGAGGTTGCGACTGGACCACTCGTGCCTCGATCTCCGCCGCCTCACCCATTCCCATACCCATTCCCATACCGATACCCATTCCCATTCGCAGTCGAAATCCCATACAAACACAAGCGGTGGGCAGCTTGTCCAGTGGCAGCAAGAGCGTGTGCCAATGTAGTGTAACAACATCCCATATTAAAGATATTACAGAGTCAATAGCACACCATATAAGTGTGGTTGGGTGCCTCTCCAGCGCTCGGAGCGATCCCAACTCCCCAGCGACCGACCATCCCTCCCACTCCGATCCCCGATCTCCGCGCTCCTCGCTTTTTGGTCATAAACCAACTAAATTGAGTTCGTTCAACAAAACAGCGACGCATGCGCCGAGCTCGAATCCACAACCCCTTCCCCCTGACCATCCCCCCTCCCACTTTGGCCAGATCACACGGCGCGCTCTTAACGATCGTGTGTCCACAGTCATTACAAAGTTGGCCAATGCACAAAAGTTGAGGCTGAGCCAAACTGAGCCTTCCTTCGACTGAGACTGAGACTGAGACACACTTACCGCACGCTGCTTTTCTCTTTCATGTCGATCCATAGCCATATAGCCCATACTATTCAGCTCGAGTCGGTCGTGATCTTGCCCGTAAGTGGTCTTGTATCTTGAATTCGTAAAAATACACACACACACACATACATTCACAGGGAGCCCAGCCAGCCAGAAACACACACATAAAAAGGGCAGGTGTGTCGATCGTGTGAGAACCACGTTCCAAACCATTTTCTCACGATCTTCGCTTCTGATATTTCTTTTTTTTTTTTTTTGTTTTTTTTTCTGGCTACAGTCCCCGGTCTTCAGTCTTCAGTATTCGGAGTACGGTCCCTTCCCCGTCCCCTTCCCTACCTAAAAAACAGACCCTTTCTTTGGGCCTCGGTCGTCGTCGAGTGATTCGTATGCAGTTTGTGTATTGTAGTTTTTAATGACTTGGGCTTGCGTTCGAGCTCGATCGCCGGATTGCTGGATTGCTGGATTGTGGATTGCTGTATCGGGGGTTCGGTTACGTCGCCGCCGCCATTCGTTCATCATTCATCGGGTTTGCCTATAAGATTAAGTATCTTTTGTGCCTGCATTTCCTTTTGGCGTTTTGGGAGCGATGCCTTCGCATATCCCTGCGGCCGTAGTTTTCTTATTGTCCATTGTAACTGCGTCTGGTCGGATTGGTGTTGGTCCCTTATTGTCAGGCAGACAGTTATGTCGCCTGATCGGATCATCTGGGGATGGACAGGCCTTGAAAGTGAGCTACGATTTGGCACGGCTCTTAAGGAGTGTCCTTTACTTCAAGGGTATAAAGTTATCTTGGGGTGGAAGTGGTATCGAAACTTGTTGTACGATGACCTTGGCTAGATTACCAGTTCAATCAAAGAGATTTAATCGGTAGCTTATGGATGATTACTAGCACTTATTCAATGAGTCATAAATGACATAAAGAGCTTCCCAGTTATTATTTAAGATCTTTTTTTAATACTTCTTCTAATTAAATTCAATTTAAACGCTTGGAGAATTTCCATAAATAATTGCCGGCACCAAAGAACATTTAACGAACGGAAATGTAAAATTAAGCATGAGCACTTAAGTGTAGCTGTTGTAAAGCTGATCTCCTTAAGATAATCTACTTTCGGCCCTAACAAGTTAACAGATTGTTAATCAGCCGAGGAATCTCTATAAATTTAGTTCTTTTGAATTTATTATGCCCCTACAATAGCATACCATCCCTAGTCCCAAGGCGATCCCGATTTCGATACAGATCTCGTTGACTATTCCCTCGTCGCGCCCTCTGTCGATTTCGAAGACAGAGGCGTCTGGGGATCGGCTACTGGTCTTGGCACGCAGATAAGCAAATGATGCTGGGTCAGCCAAATCAAAAAACGAAACCAAAAAAACCGAATCGAAGACCCAAGGCAGAACCCATAAAAAAAGAAACAAAAAACGATATCCTGTCCCGGGCTGAGGCTCCATCTTAAAGTTGCCCTAGGGCAACTCATTTACCTGATCCGAAGCAATTATGTGCCCTTAGCTTGCCTTGACCATTGTGCACACGATTTTCTAGCCGAGTGGCCAGGGAGAGTCTCGGCATAAAAAAGGAGGAAAACAAAGGAAAATCAGGATGGATGCGGGATGAATGATGACTCGATCCCTTTTCGGGTTCCACCTCGGCTTAATTCCCATTTATTTTCGCTCTAAGTCTGAGCGACATTGTCGTAACTCGATTAGACACGCCAAGATAAATCCCTAATTTTTTGTGTTACCTCCGCTTATTGTCCGCACACGTGTTCAAGATTCGAGATTCGGCCATGTAGCCCATGGACCATCGGTAGCCCCGACTTTGGGTCGCTTCTTTCTCCTTCTTCTGCTTAATTTTTCTTGTTTCGGCCTTGGCATTGTTTTCGCTTTCTTTTGTCCACCGATTGCTTGTGCATCCGTGGGGCGATCGAATAGTTTCGTTGGACAAACTGAGGTGCAGTTGCGCTTCTAGCATTTCCGTTCTAGACCGCAAATTACTGCGAAGTGTTTGGAAATGGGGAGTGTCCCACCAATTTGCATAAACGTTTCAAAGTGATTCAGAGAAAAAGTCGTGATCATTAAATTTTATATATATAATTTATTATTTATTTAGTTATCACATGAACTGCGCGTCCTCATCTAAAGCTTTGTTGTGGTGTGGTGTTGACTTAAAACTAGGTGGGGAGTCGACTGGGAAATCCCAGTGACTCGGAAGACTTTTACTTTCTATAATCTCTCCTTGTATCTTGTATCTTTTCTTGGTGGATTGAAGAAAACCCCTTTACCAGGGACGCCAGACGTTCTCCTCGTCCTCGCTGTCGTCCTCCATTTTGGTCACATCGATGGTGGTCAACAGGGAGTGGCTGACCGAGCTGACATTGGAGTTAGGACTGCCGGCGAAGCTGGAGACTGGCGAGATGGGCACGGAGTAGGCGTCCCGGGAGGCGATCTGAACGGAGAGCGGAGCGGTCACGGGCAGGACCTCCTTTTCAGCTGGCTGGATCTGGTTGAGGCGCTGACCCAGGTGGGTCATCAGCTGGGTGCCCAGGCTGACGTTCATGCCGGGCAGTTGGGACAGCGAGCGGGAGACCTCGTTCACGGCGTGGATGTAGCCGGAACGGAATCCCTCGGCCGGAGTTAAGCTCTCGTCGCCGGAAGCCCGCTTGTGCTGGCGCTGCTGCTTCATCTTCTGCAAGTGGGTGACGGTCAGCTCGAGGATGTCGGCCTTCTCCAGCCGGGTGACGTGCTCGCCCTCGGACTCCAAGGTGGCCACCATCAGATCCTTGAGCTCGTCCAGGCACTTGTTGATCCTGGCACGACGCTTCCGCTCCAGCATGGGCTTCATCACCTTGCGGTACTGGTAGGTCTTGGACATCTCAGACATTTGAAGCGACGACATTTTGTGTCTGTGTGTGTGTGTGTATGTTATTTTTGGTGTAAGTACAGGTTCTTGAGCTCTGGCTGCTCTGACGGTCGAAGACGTTGTGTGTTGTCAGACCTTCGGGGCCGGGCCTTTTATAGCCGTCCAGAAAACAACCCCCAAAATGGGCCAAAGGCATTGGGATCGGGATCGGAATCGGGATCCGAGTGTCGTGTGTGTGCTGGCATTCAAAAGGAGCAAAAGGAGCAAGAGGGATGGCGACACGCTTCGTGTGCTGGCATGAGGGTTGCTCGACCGACGACCACGACCCTTCCGCTTCTTGAGACCGCTGCTCCTTATTGTTCGGGCGATTTCTTATTGTTGCCCCGGCACCCTTATCAAGGCAACCAGGGAGCAGGATCGCTGCCAGGATCGTGGGAAACACTTTCCAGCTCGGTTTCTCACATCGCCTCGCTCACCTGCCCGCAAAAAGCAGCCGAGCATGGCTATACCATTCCATACTATATGTGTGTATGGGCATGGCTATATGGACATGAATATGGGCATGGGAATTTGCAGAACGAACAGCTGCCGTTTCTAGATTTGTGTGTTATGATTTGACTATGGCAGGGAGGGGAGAATGGCGGGGTAGGGGGGAATAAGGATAATGAACTGCCAGCTCATCGGGGACCTCTGCGTTTCCCACGCTGGCGAGGACCTCCGTCGGGGGTTGGGGATAGGGATAGGGATAAGGACAAGGACAAGGCGTTGCGATTCCTCGACGACGACTTCCTGTTTACCTTTGGCATTCCAAATTGGATCGGCAGAGGAAGGGATCGGGCAGAGGCATCCTGCACTTGTTGGTCGGTTGTTATGATCCTGTGGGAACCTTGCTCGTGTGCGTCGAGTGTGCTTAATGTGTGTTCGACTTCCCCGCTGCCCGTGGCCCGGCAGGACCTCTCCGACTCCCTCCATCCGAGATGTAAAAGGGGCCAGCGACGCTGATCCTGGATCGCTGCTCGCGTGTGGCTCGCGATGGACACACTTTAGGCTGTAAGCTGCTCGCGTTCCAGGACCTTTGTAACGGATCGATGGGTGGTGCATGACTTGGATTTGTAACTCGAGTGGGGTTTCGAATGGGGGCATCTCGTGACTTCAAGGGAAGACTGAAGCTCCCAAAACGATAGTTTTTAACGGGTTCGCGAATTCTGCATATGATTTTTATATTAATTTTAGCCTCTGTGACAAATCAAAGTAAAGGTGGGCCATAAGTTGAAGTTTAGTTTATTTTTTTGCTATAATGCGAAACTTAAATTATGTAAATAAAACAGTCAAAATCTTGCATTCAATTACCTTAGAAATAAGTCTTAGAAAACACATTCATTTCTAGTAATGGAAAAACAGTACCAGTTTGCAAAATAAATACTTGACAATAAGACTGATTTAAATTTTTTTGACAATCACAAAAAGCAGTAGGGCAATAATGGCTTTATTATTTCAAAATCCATTTACGAATGTTTTAAACGTAACCAGTTTCTAAACCCAACCCGCTTTATACATTCCAAATAAAATTAGAGTCATAAAAATTCAGTTTTTATTCTTTTTATTATTTAAGTGGTCATGGCTTAGATTAAATGTTGTAAAGCAGAAATGCAAATTTAAAGCATGAAAAAAATGTGTTTCCTTAATGAATCTAAGTGGAAGCTCGGTGGGGAAGCTCTTTGTTATGTTGATAAAATAAATTATAACCAATTAAATACATGAATCGTAAGGCCTATGGGAGATCAAATACAAAATACGAACTTAAGAACTATCACAGGAACATCACATCATATCAAATCAACTACCAACTAAATACGATTCTGAGGCAAATGTTTACACTAGACCTTGGAAAACTTGGATCGTTTCTAAATGAAATCGACTGGTAAAGCTATCAATGTTAATTGGTTGCGTGTATTTGGGATGCTCTTCACCAGGGACGCCAGACATCCTCGCCGTTGGGGATATCCTGTTTCTGCGGAGACCTGGAGCGCCTTTCGGGTGAATGATCATATGATTTACGATCGGATAGGTTAACTGGTTCCTCTCCCATATCGGGGCACTCTTCTTCCTGCTTAAGGTCCTTGAGCTGGTGACCCAACTGCTTCATCAGGTGGGTGCCGAAGTTGAGATCCAGGCCGGGAACGGTGGAGAATATGTGCGAGACCTCGTAGGCAGCCTGGGTGTAACCAGCCCGGAATTTGTCCAAGTTGACCTGGGAGACTGGTGGGGATTGCGGACTGGCCACTCGCTGCTGCTGCTGAGCCTTCAGATAGTTCACGGTGAGCTCCAGGATGTCCGCCTTCTCCAGCTTGCTGACCTGCTCGCCCTGTGCGTCCATCGTATCCACAATGAGATCCTTGAGTTCGTCCAGATACAGATTCATCCGAGCGCGTCTCTTGCGCTCCAGCAGAGGTTTGGTGACCTTGCGGTAATGCTGAGTCTTGGTCATAAATCTCTGACCCTGCACGGCCATTGTGTCCAATGTGTTTTGGTTTTGGTTTGGCTTGAACCTTGTTTGTAAATAAAGTTGCGATGTTTCGATGTTGCGACGTTGCTGCTGCCGCTCCGCACTGCACGGTAGTCACTTGAGAAATGATCTTGCCGCAAGGTAAGCTGATCCTTTTTGTAGCTGCCACACAGCGTCGTAGCTGCCGGTGCCGTGCACTTGCGAAATCGAAATCCTCCCCTAACTGCCACCACGCACTGCGATCACAGCGGTCCCATCGCTCCTACACGCCGACGATCACCACGAAGCATCAATCGGGTCACTCTCTGCTTGTGGCAAGATTCCCTCGGCGCTGCACGTGTGCAACATCAAAAAAAATTGGATCGGGCGGAAGCCGCCGTGGCTCTCTCTTTGCACTGAGAAAGATCGGAGATCTTTGCTGAAAATGGTAAGCAATTTTTGAAATCCAATATACACATATCTTATTTTGAATACCAGAAGTTATCAAAAATATTTCTTTACTAGATTAAAGAGATTTTAAGGTGTTAATTTCGAATATTTTTTTTTTAACTATTAGTCTCTTGAAAGTGTGCTATAAAACTATATTCTTGAACTCACTGAACTATATTCTTGAATGGGCGCTTATTTCAATGTTTAGTCAAAACATAAGTACAAATTTTATTTTTATATATTTTTTAACATCCTTATTACTACCTTTGTTTTACAAAAGTATTATTTATTTATTATTTATAGATATTTTCAGTGCATTTCCTAGGGCCCAATAACACGTTCTTCGGAGTAGCTCGCTCTCTTCGGGCGTCTCTCTTCCTCGTGCTGTTGCCGTGCGCCGGCGCAACAGTCGCACACACTTTAACGGAGGATGGGGGATGAGGAGCCAGAGGAAGAGCCGAGCAAGACGAGAGCCGGAGCAATCAACCACCACCACCAGCAGCGCACCACACGCACACACGCCAGCGTCGTCGACATCGACATGACCTCGACCTGCCTGCCAGCCATCCGTGCCACTCTCCGCGCTCCGCGCTCCTCGCTCCCTGCTCCCTATTTCCCACTCCTCCCAAGAAAAGAGAGCCGTGCCCCATGCGTGCCGTCCTCACTTAAGCCAAAGAGCCAATCTCGTCAAGCGATGGCATTGTTGCACACGAGTGCTGGTCTTTAAATGTGTGCGTGCAGGGACACTGAGGGAAAAATGGAAAAAAGTTTACTTTACTATTTGGTATTGGTTTGTTTATGATGTTTACAAATTCATAAGCTCCAATACATTTATTTCCTTTTAATTTGACTTTATACTGAATTATTCTGGACTTCGAAATATAAAACTTCATAATTTTCTAGTGATTTGAAAATTCACTTTAAATTCGTAATATAAAACATTTCAATTTTAATGTTTAAAAATGATGGCTTTAATTTAAGTGAAGTAGTTCTATTTAAAACATACACTAATTTTTTAACTTCCTTTACCATTTCCGCGACAATGAATATTTAAACACATTTTTGTAGCAGTGTGGGCTCTTCCCTTTTGGCGCACAGTCACACAGACCTCATTTCCTCTTTGGCGCGACATTGCGTTACACTTACGGGCACAGCAGAAGTAGCAACCACCGCAGCAACCACCACCAGCGGCATGAGCACCACCCAGGCAAGCGGCAAACAGCCGGTGTTCCGATGGGTCGGTGCATGTGCATCGTGAGAAAGTTTACTGGAGACATTCCCACAAGTATTGGGATTGTGCCGCACTCCTGCTCCCGGTTTCTCGGCATCGGCCTCGGCCTCGGTCAGCTGTGACACTTGTTTGGCGCATTTCGGCGAGATTGGCTCTTGGGATTGGGCCATTGACGAAATCCACCTGCCCGAGGGTGAGTTCCAGTTCGGATTCAAGACCAGGGGTCGCTGCAATCGCAGCCATGAAATCGAGAAGTTAACAAACAGAAACGGCAAACGGCACCAGTGACATCGTTGACATCTGATGGCACTGATTTCATACTTTTCGTTTCCAGTTTTCTTCGTGGGGGAGGTTTTTGAGATCATCAGCGTAGCAATGTTTGGATATGGGTTTCTGGATGACTGAAGAATGACGGCCATATGCAAAAACAAAGATTTCGATTGCGGCAATTTGCATGAACGGCAGGAGATTTAAAAAGCGGGATAATCTTTTGACAATGATGAATCGTCTCAAATAGGGGGGTTTGTTTTGAAATATTTTGTTCAATGTGCTCGCTGTTTAAATATTTTTTCGAATAAGGGAAGATCACTTATAATTATTGCATAACCAGGGACTTTAAGTAAAGAAAGGTTATAAACGCTTTTAACCACTTCAGAAGATCAAATTCCCAATAAAACAAGAGTACTTTTCATTAAACATTTGAATTGAAAGTATATTAATTTGTTCGATATTCTTGTACATTGATAAATTTGGGACATTAACATTTTATAAATATCTTCAAGTGGCTGTAATATACAAAGATACATATTTAATACACATATAGCAACACACACATATACATTAAGATTATTAATGATGGATCCTGTTCCATTTGCTCATCTAGTTAAAAAAAAATATCTGGTAACGCCAAATACAGTTTAAAATCCATGTGCTAGAAAGTAAGTGTAACGGACTAATTTGTTGCGTTTATTGTTTAATAAGAGGTACAAATGTGTAACGTTCGTAAGGTTTTATTTTGGTTCGATTCTTTTCGCTTATCAACTCTATTTCGTTTAAAATCTTGGATTGTGCTTAAAACTAAATTATCATTAAGCGGACTGGGTCGTTTTAAGCTTACATTCGATTAGTTTTTGGTGTTTTACAATTTGCTTGCAGAATGTGCTCATGAAATAAATTAGTAAGGAATCATGATATATGAACATTAAAAAAAAAATAATAGTAATTAGAATAAAAAAATAAATGCCATCTGATACATTTTCTGCGGGGGAGATTCTTTTATAATACAAAACAATGCAAACGACATGCGGAGCACGCCGTTTTGTTAAAGCTTTAAGTTCTTTAATTCGTTTCGTTTGATTTTGCCTTTAATCGCTTTCTGGTTAACTCCGATTTGCCTGGTCGTGGTCATCTTTTCAGGAACTGGTGGACTTGGTGTGTATACTTTCAGTTGCGGATTGCAAACTTTAAAGCTTACAATCGATAATCGTTTAAAAATATTTCGTTCGATATCTTCTTCTATTGTGATTACAGTATCAGCGATCCACTCCCTTCTACACATACATTATATACATTCATTTTTACACATATCGTTTCTCGCGTTCATTTCCTCCTTTCGCATTTAGTGGACATGGCTTCTGGACATTCTATACATGTATCAATATATAAATATTCTATGTTTTTGTACGACATTCTGTGGGGGTTTTCACGTTCTCTAAAAGCACTTTTTAAACAGATTTAGGAAACGCATTACTTTTGCGATTAGTGTGGTACGTCTAGTGCGCGGGTTTGTAGTTGTTATTCATGCAGCTGAAAGTAAGACAAAAATTGCATAAACACATCGAGGGAAGGAATAGGTGGGCTGAAAGGAATATCTGGGCAATAAAGCGGTAAAGAAGACTAAATTTACTTATATTTTACTTTCATTATCTATTTGCTTGTATAAAATATGGTCTTTAATGAAAATATATAAAATCTTGATGTTTTTTTGTTTTTGGCTAAATATTTAGCTACTGAACCGAATCTTGTACAGGGTGACGGTTTTTTTTCAACATTTTTAAAAATTTTAGGCATGCATTTATCAGAAATATATTTTGGTACTCTGTTACAATTAAGCTGTAGTGAATTTCGGTTCTTGTCTCTTGGATCAGCAAATATTTGTGGCAACACTACACTACGCTATAAAAGGTGCATTCAATTCACCCACATGATATCGAAAATATGTTTTAAATGCTTCAAGGTACCAGATATATCATCAATATAATTCCTAATTTTTCAACATCAATTTGCTAATGCTTGTACGGTTAAGTGCATTATCAAGTGGTTGTCTTTGGATTTTTGTTTTGTGTTTAACAATTTGCATTTTTCAAGGTGGTGTCCGCAATTACAAAATGAACCGTATTAAATGTGGGGACAATAATTCCATTTGGCAAAGCTTAGATAACTACAAAGTACATATTTGTTTCCAATAATGGTGTTATTCTGTGGCATTGTTTTCAGCTATTCTTATTTTGTCTTTAGTTGCAGTTTTAAATATTTTTTTTTTTGTAATTTACTTGTGGAACGTTCAATGTGATGGACTGTCGTTAATTCGATGTTTGGCGCGTGATTTGCTGTGTGAGGCGCGTCGCAGGCTGCTGACGCTGCCTGGGCAATTGTCATAAAAATCTAATGATTCCGATGAGAATGCTATATATCGCAATTGGTGTGATATAAAGAAAAGGATAAATTTGAATAAATACTGTTTGTACAATTCTGTGTTCATTCAATGGGGATTGCTATTGAAAAGTAAACGCTCTAGATTAAAGCAATGTAATATATTTGGGTAATAACTTACGAAAAGTCTTTTGGATACTAACCTTTGTCCGTGGGGGAGCCCAAGGTCAGGCTACTCAAACTAGAGCTCAGATTATAGGGACGTGGCGACGGTGGCACCGGGGCAGATTCATCGCCTGGCAAACAGGTCTCAACCATGGCCTCCAAACAGTTGACAAACAGTTCCGATGATTCACCCATCATGTTGTACTGCAAGTACATTTCAGTTTAATTTTTTTTTTTAATTTCGTATAATTTAAAGACGCACCTTGGTGAAGGGACCAGCAAACCTCCAGAGGCCGCCAAATCCGCAACTCTGGAGAAAGTGCAGCTGTTGTTGCGATGGATCTTCGCTGGCCAGCATATTTTGTATGATATTCTGCACCGAGTTCAGCACCACTTGATCGTGGGACACTGACAAAATATTGTTGATCTTCTGATCCAGCAACGAATGACTGAAATATAAAAGTTCGTATTATCCTCTTTTAAAGGAAATTTTATTATAGATACTGACATAACTGGAAACACCTTGGGAAAGACCACAGATCCTTCGGCCAAATACTGATACAAGACACGCGTTTCGCCCTCATCCGAGGAATACTTGACCAAAGTGGCCAAAACAGTCAACACCAGGGCTTGTATGGACAAGTCAGGAAGGACTTCGGGATCCAGCAGGACATTCGACTCGTTGGACACCGAAGAACGCGAGCCGCGTTCCTGTTCAAAAACATATTGTGAGGTGTTAATTGGTTTACTTTTAAAAGGAAATCTTTTTACACACAGATATGGTTTAAAAAAAAACAAGTGAAGATGGAAAACTACGAAGAGTACGGAATGTGCATTTCGGCCATTGCTTTTGGGCTGCTTTCATTCAGTGCCATGCAGAATAATTAAATAAAATGACATTGCAGCGAAACATCAATGTTGTTTTAAGAGGCTTTAGTAGCGAACTTATACTAAGAATTAGTGGGGTTAGCTAAGAGATAAGTTTTGTTGAGCAATACCTGACGTTCTTCGATGCCGGTTGCATTGTTCGGATCTTTGGTCGTCGGCACCGAGAATGAGCGTTGAGTTTTGAACAAAACCCGCGCGTTCTACGGATTTTTAATTAAATGTTCGTGGTGTTGTCACAGTGTTGATGTTGGAGTTGTATTTTTAGCGGGTTTCGGTAACCAAATCAAACGTAAACCAAATTACAATGTTCATGCGTAGTAGTAGTAGGAGTGGCAGGTGGTAGTTACAGTTTATAGTTGATATAGGACAAATAGTAATATTGATATTGATGATATTGAATTACAAGCACCAATAAGATGTTATATTCGGCAGGCAGATTATGGCATAAATACGGTTTTAACGAGTATACATTGTGATTTTATATGTAACGTTTTTTTTTCATTTTCAAATCAAACATAAAAAGAGAAAAGAAAAAATCATTGAACGATTATTAGTTATGCAACGGCTGATCTCGATAGATAGTTGATATTACATAGTAGGTGGAATATATAGACTGTATAGGTTTGAATATATAAACTCAAATAGATAGCCAAAAGTTACTATAGCAGATGGTTATAACAACTTTTGCACAGCGAATTTCAAACGATTAGGGAACACAGCTCGGCTCGAGCAATTTAATTAAAAAGCTCACCTGAAGAGTAGGAACCTTATGCTGGCGAGCAAATTGCAGAGCCGACTGATCTAGGATGTCCCAACTTTTCTGACGCCGCGATAGGGTCAGGCCAATCTAATGGGGATAGTTATATTAAAATAAATATAAAAGAAATCACCCTTTTGCAATCTTACGGCTTGCACTCCACTGGGTGCCTCCCCATTCTCCACACTGCCACTGAGATCAGCAGGCCAGCGGGGCAGGGCGTGCTTTACATGGCACCTGGAACGGACTTCCTCGGAAACAGCCACCAGAGCCGTCAAGTAGGCTACGCTTTCGGGGGTGACCTCGAATTTGTCTCGATGCAACGGCTTGGCTATGATGCCTAACAGCATGGTCAGGACTCGAGAAGTTCGGGAAACTGTGGTAGGTGTTGGATGACGGAAGCCCTAAGAAATGAAATAAAGGGGTATAACAACAAACCACCTTCTAGAAGATAATGACTTCGTTCTCACCTTAATTAAATGGCCCACCAGGGCAAAGTGGAAATTGCTGCGGAACGAAAGTCCTACGGCGTGATCCAGTTGCTTGAAGTGCCACTCCAGCTTTTCCCTCGTTTTCATCATCACCTCGGCTATGGTCTCCTTCTTGTCGAAACAGCCCTGTGACTTTAGTGTGTGAAGGTTCTGCTCGAGCAAAGCCAGACCTGCACCATACAGGGTAATCTCGTCCAGCTGCAATACCGAAATGGCCACCCAAAAAAGGGCTCGATGGATGGGCGACTCCGGACGCAGAAGCGGTTGAATGCGAGTCAAACACATGACCAGCGCCTCGATCAGAATGAGATCGTTGAACGATTCAAGGGCTTTCACCAGGATGCGCAGCAACTGCTTCACCTCGTGGTCCGTAACACTCTTGCTGATGCAACCGTAGACTATCAGAGCTCTGGGCTGCAGTGCTGGATTATAGCAGAAGGCGAAACTGCGAGCCAAGGATGTCCAGGTGTTGAGCCACTCGCAATCAGGAACGTCGCGCATGCAAGCCTCCATGATTTCAAGAAGAGCATCCGTAATGACTTCCAACGAGGGCAACGACAAACGTTCCCGGTCCGCGGGGAGAGGTTGAGTAACTCTCTCATTTCCTAGCCACTTATCTGTGGGATGGCGGCAGCTGGAGCGGAATGCAGTCACTGCTGCCGACTTGACTTTGCTGATGCCGAAGAGCAGATAGAACTTGGGCAGCGAGAACTCATCCAGGGACAGTCGAAGCACTCGCTGCGCCTCCTCCGAGAAGGAGGGGTTGGTGCAGGTGCACAGCGAGTGGATGATGTTGATCACCAGGCCATGGGTGGAGGCCCGCATAGACAGCGATCCCGAGCAGACCAAAAACGTTATGGTGTGGAATAAGTAGGGCACCGAGGTGGCCACATCCAAACAGTTGTTGAACGACAACATGAGCAGATAGCGTCCCAGGATGGCAATGTCATCCCACATCATGTGTTGCTCCAGATACTGCGTAGGATTCGTGCAGGATTTGTCCATTACTCGGCACATCCGAGTGATAACCTTCTTGGATACCAATTGAACGTTGGCGGAAGCAAGAGCCACTGCAGTATCCGCCATGATTTCCACTTGCGGTGAGCCCAAGCCGTATGTAATCGATTTGTGCAAGAAGTTGTCCAACACCATGTCAATGAGCTCGGGAATCTGCCCAATCGATCCCCAAATTTTTGCCTGCACTGAGGGATACATTTCCTTTTGGTCAATGGTTAGGTTGATAAGCTTGTCCAAAATTTGTGAGACTTTAAGCTTCTTGGAATCGTCATTGGATTTGCAAAACTTGACGAGGTTCTTAAGCCACGGCGTCATATACTCCAAGCACAAATGTTTCAACTCGATGGTACTGCGTTGAAAGCCCTGAATAGATTCCTCGAGGAACTCCAGGGTCAAGTGCGGTTCGTTGGTGGCAAGCTTCTCGCTCACTGACTTAATAAATATTGTATTATTAGAGGGAATACAAAGACCTTGCGTCTCGAGCAATTGACCCTCGATCTTCAGGTCAAAAGTGGCGGTCAAAGCACATAGCAAATTGTAGGCAGCAGTCCTCAGATTGGGATCACATGAGCCAAGATTGAGCAAAGCCATGTTTAATAGGGTTCCCGGCACGTCCTTTGGTCTGATTTTTTGGTGCACCGTCACTGAATCGGGCTGACTAAGTTCCCAGCGATTTCGGATGTGGATAATGGCCTGGACAATATTATCGCAATCATTGTGAATGAAGCTCAGCTGACCACTTTCGTTGGTTATGGACAAGGTGAACTGGTTGTCGTCCACCAGGCACACCTCCTCAATCTCCGAGGCGTAGTAAACATCGTTCAGAAGCACAGAGTGAGCCAGTACCTTTGTCTTTTCAGCAGACGTGATCTGCAGGGCAGTTGGACCCACCTTGATGGCCACCTTGGTGTCTTTGTGGCTGAGTTTCAGCGCGTTGCTAAACACCTTGAGATCCTCGTCCAACGAAAGAGTGGCTCCCGGCAACTTCTGCTGCTCCGCATCAATGAAATCTGTGAGTTTGTTGGGCGACTCCAGAAAGAGTAGCTTGCGGTTTCCCTTCAAAGGTGCTAGGATGCGATCGTGGAATTTGGTGTATTCGCGTACCCACGAGTTGCAGTTGTAAATATAGACTGCATGCACATTTTCGTAGGCTACCGTGGGCAAAACATAGAACCATTTCTGGAGAAACTCTGTTCGGAATCGATTGTCCGAACAGGTGTGCGTAAAATCAATGACTACCTCGAAGGGCGAGTGGCAGAAGGGCTTCAGGGTGAGTATAACGTGGTAAATCAACAGATCGCCGTTCGTTTCTCCAATCCTTAAGAAATGCAAAGTTAATAAGCTTGTTAAAATAATCATCTTAAATAGACTTACTTATATCTTCTTGCAATGTAGTAGAAGACAGGATAACCAGATTTGCTGGTTCCCGCTTGATAGAAAATGTTCATCGACTTGAGGGTCTTAAACTCCTCCTTTTCGTGCATTTGGTGCTTCACCATAATCTCTTCAAAGTTGGTCGAGGACATGTCAATGGAGCTCCACCGTGCATATGAGCTGAACATCATGTGTGAATCGACTGGCTTGTGCTCGGGCGGACCCAAGTAGGCTAGCAACGTGGCCATTTTGTCGAAGGGTCGCCTTCCCACAGCTTTGTGGTCCCGGCTGCTGGACAAGTAGTCGCCGATCTTTTCCTGGTGCGTCCACAGCAAGCGATGCAGAGCCAGAACGTTTGCATCGGAAATGAAACTCATGCTGTGCGAAGTCTGATCCACTGTTTCGCAATCCGAGGCAATCTGGATGAAGAACCTTCGACCGGCTTCAAAGTGATCGCGCAGAAAGTCATTGAAGCAGAGCATGTGCTGTTCCTTGGAGAACTCGACGTGGTTTGCAATATTTTGCAGGATCTTCGACATCAACATCAGCCCTCGTTTAGCCGAGCTGTGCACTTGTTTGTCAACGATTCCAAGTTCTTGCGGGGAAACTGAAGTAACGAAAGTGAAATTAAACAGGGGGTTTTTTGATGTGTATATTTATATGGTTTTACCTATGGCAGGGTTAATGAAGCGCAAAAAGATGACCGTGCCGACTGCACCAATGTTGTTCTGGAGCAGATTTGGGAAGCGTTTGCTTAACACCTGATAGAGGCAATGGCACATCGAACGCAGCTGCGGAGGAAAGCGATCTGACGAGTTGATGATGGCATCAAACACCTTCTGGGTAAGCGCGATCAGATTATTCCTGTGATGCTCAATGTCCTCGGTGGGATCAAGACGAGCTGGATCCACTTCAAAGCAGGTCTCCTCCTCTTCGTCCAGCAGTGGACGAATCAGCGGCTCCAAAAGCATCTGCAGGTAACTAGCGCCGTAGATCTTGAAGCAGAAGGCCATGATCTTGCTGCCGAGGGAATTTCCACGGAAAAGCGTCTGCATGCAGTCGGAGACCTCCACCTCGCGATAGAACATGTTCCACAGCAGGGGCGACAACAAATGCTTGGCATCAAACAGAGTGACCAGGACTCTTGCTAACTCGTCCATCTGCGAAGTGGTCACCACGTTAGCCAGTGCCATGGCAATGGGTAGTTCCCCCTTGTCACTTATCATTGTAACCAGCTGGACCAATTGCTCGAATCGATCTGCTAGCACAGTTTCAGCCAGGGTATCGAATTCTGTGCCTTGCTGCAGGATTTGTGTGAGCACCTCCATGAAAGCGGCACGGGTCTGCAAATCGGGATTATAGCCCAGATCGATAGAGTGCATTAAGCCCGAGTCGATGTTGGCGCCTAGCAAATTGGACATAGCCAGAATGGTAGCATTCCGTAGGGCGGTAAGCTTTCCAGCTGCCATGCGAGGGCGTGGTGGCAACAATGGAGTATTGTTCATTTCCTTTTCCGCCTCAGAGCTGTCAATGCAGTCGTTTAGCAGGTTCATAAAAAGCGTGAAGTACTTCAAGAAGAGCGCACTCTTTGCGTCCATCAAATCGCCACGATCCGATTCCTCCGGTTGCAGGGGAAGACCCCGAAGCAGGGCTGCCACTGCCTCCATGCAGGCTTGATCCAGGTCTCGAAAGATGAGGGATGTGTTGGTGAGGATAGCGGCATCTGCTGAGCTTGGCGGCGCAATTTGATGCGAGGTGCCCATCACCCAGTCGGTCAGGTACTCGACCAGCTTATTTCGAAACTTCATCTCTTGGCGGAAGGCCAGATCGTCGCGGCGTTTCATCATCACCTCCACCAGCTGACATAATTTAGTCTTAATCCGGATGGCATAGACTGTCATGTCCAGGTGGCGAACGTATCGCACAATACCCAGCATCATGCCTTCGATGCTTGTAACTCCCAAATGTTCCGATGGCGAAGGCTGATCGTTGTTGGGATCTTTGCTAGCCTTGGGGTCGAGGATCGACTTCATTATGTAGATTGTGTGCTCGATGAACTGCGTGTTGATGTCGGTCACATTGACGTTCACCTGGCCCTGTTGGTCGAAGAACTTTTCCACTATGGCTCTAACCTGGTCGAAGAGTATGGGATACAGCTGGGTAGACATCTCCTCGCCCACCAGTTCCTTAACGTTTTTCTGGATATTAAGACCAATTTTCTCGTTGCTGCAGACTAGAAGACGTAGTAGTTGCCCAACGAATCTGTAGAACAAATTTAACGTAATCACAACTGCAACTTAAACCAATTAAATCCCGAGTTCGATCTTACTGTGTTACAGGGCAATAGCTGACATCTTGTGGCGGTGCTGGCGGAAGCGTGGATAGCGAAACCGTACTGGGATGCAGAGACCCATGTCCGGAACTTGTGGAGCTCGAGTACAGTGAATTTTGCGCAAGTGATCCCAGCGAAGCATTGTTCTGTGATTGCTGCAGCAGCATTTGTCGGCTACTGCTGCGTTTGTGAAGGCAGACACCGCCCAGGGCCAATAAGAACCAGGTCATGTTGGCCCACTCGTTGATCTGCTCCTCAAGATCGTGCTCTGAACTTTGGTGACTTGCTCGCCGCTTGCCCATGCCTCGATGAAAGACCTCCGCCTGGCCGTCTTCGCCCTTGCATTTGGGGTAAGTTTGCAAAACCTTGCTGGACACCTCCCAGTTGCGAAAGGTCTCCTCCCAAGCGGGTTGAACACCATGGACGCAGTGCTCAATTTTGCGCAATAGGGTCATTATTCGCTTTTGGAGTGTGAGGCGGCTAAGCACATTGCCATGGGTGTTGTCAAAGAAACAGATGCGGGAGTCCGTTGCAGCTAAATTGTAAAGATACAAATTAATCACTTGAGGAAAGGGCTTTGTTGAATAAACTCACATGTTGACAACTGAGCGAGCTCTTGGTAAATGTGATAATTCGGCATAATGAAGCCCACCGTCAGCTCGTCGGAACTGCAGCAGATCTCTGCTTCCTCGCATAGTAATCCAAAACAGGAAAGAGATGTCAGGACTGCGTCCAAATCAACGCTCCACAGGTACATAAAGAAAACCACTTCCATCTTAATGTGAGCCTGCTTGCAAATAGCGATTTGACTCCCCACGTGCGCGTAATCCTTGTGGCGCTGGAGAAACGTATTCCGGCATATAAGGATCTCGCGAAGCCATTTTAATACATCCGTATAATTGGCTATTTGGTGCTGGATGAGCTTTTGAGAAATGGAGAACAAAACCTGGGAGCTCACGTCCCAGAATGTGTTGATGGGAGCCTCTGGATTCCAAACCTCAATTTTTTCCGGGGCGTGCAGTGCAAGCAGCGCTTCCATAGCCTCCTGGGCCACATCGGGCATTGTCGTTTGATGCACTAAGCTAACCAACCCGTTGATCAGCTCCAAAGTCGAGCTTTGCACTTCGTGAGCCACTTTTCCTTGGGTCTGCAATATGAAATCTATAAAGGCTCTGCTTATCAAATACATTTCTCATCAACTCACATTCAATAAAAGCGTGGGATCAGCATGAATAAGCCGCACTAGCAGCAGCAACAGCATTTTGTGGGCCGGACCTTCTTCAGCCCGGGTTAAACCCTTCTGGGTGTCTTTGGATTTGAGTGTCAGTGATGTTATGTACCGCAGTGGGGTATGAGCGATATAACCCTGTGTGGCTTTGTTTAGAGTATCTGTAAAGAGAGCCCTTAGCTCAGCGGAGCGGTAATGAACCACATCTGTTTGTGGCCACCAGGACAATCTTGGTTGGTTGACAATCCGGAAGGGATTCTTGTTTTGCAAGCGAAAGTCTACATATATGTGTGCCAACCTGGGAAAAAACAATATGGCAGTTTAAGAAACATAAAATTAATACAAAATGTTACCTTAAAAGGGAGCAAACTATGACGAAGTGATACGCCTGCGGAGACGATAAATTCAGGCAGACTTTCAGCGCTTCGATGTTGTGGGGATTTATCCGGAAACAGGAAACCCAACAGTCAATCATCAGCTCGATATCCGCAAAGTTATAGCCCTGACCGCGGGAGAAGGGCTTTGCCGGATTAAAGAGCAACGCCTTGAGATCGTTAATAAAAAACTGCACTAATTTAAAGACCACATTATTGGAGTCGGTGTTGTTGATGTAGGTTGATGCTTTGCAGAGTTTTACACAGGCAATGGCAGAGGATTCGGTGACCTGCTTGGAGGGCGAGTGCTGGCCCAGACCTCTTTTGATGCTCTCAATGAATTGCTTGGCCGAAAAGTCCTTGTCCCGGGATGTGGATTGACCCGACTTAGACGCAACCTTTTCTTTTTCCTTGTCCTTTTCTTTCTCTTTCTCGGACTGTTGCAACTCGTTGACGACGGCCTCAAGGCAAGAGGGGTTTAATATCAGCAGAAGCATTTGCAGTGGCCACACGAGGGTTTTGCTTTTCTTGTTCTCTGTTTTGAAGTACTCCACAAAGTCCATTAGAGGTTCCCAGCATCTAAAAAAGTAAAAAATAATCTAATTTTGTTTTAATAAACTTTAAATTAGAATCCTACGTGGATATATCTCTATTGGTGCCTCGCTGCAAGTCCTGAAACTCCTGGGGATGGTACTCAATCCAGTTCCAAATAGCCTTCTCCAGCGAGTAAAGCAAAATCAACGGCGGAGCACGCTTTGATCGAAATTTTGTGATGGTTTCTGAAATACAACTACTTAAAAAAGCTTTTTTATATAAAGAGCGTGTCAAACCTTGCAGCAGTTTGGTAAGCTTAATCATATCCATGTCGATGTGTTGAATTAATTCGATGTCGTTGTAATCCGGATTTTCCTCAGAGCAGGATGTCAGCTCCTGGATCCTGGCTGAAATGCGATTAAAGACCGCCGAGAAGTGATTCTGGGACAGCGCAAAGAGCACCTTTGATGCCAGAGCCTTAAGCTGGGCGGCATTTGGATTATTGTCGCTTTGGACGTCCACAAATTGGGAGATTTCGCGCAGCAGCAACTTTACATTCATAGCCTCCTCGAAGCGCGCAGTATCCTTGGTCTGATTGGTTAAGCATCGCTCCAGGGTGGTCAGTATAATGACGAGGGACTCAAAGTAGCATCTTTCAGGTTCATGTCGGTTTTGAAGAGCCTGCAATATTTTGTGATATTTTCAGTAGTTCTAGACAATTTTGTGGGAAACCCACCGCTTCATTAACCCTCTGCAGCATCTTGGTTAGCCCGGAAATTACCAGGGAGAATCGGTATCTCGATATCTGGATCAAACAGGCCACTAGTTGGTCCTGACTCATCCTGGCTTGCGTTCCATAGGCTCCAATCCTGTTCGGCAACTGAAAGGATACCAATTGATTCATTATTTTTCACTTCATTCATGCGGATCTCAATGTTATTGTTATTGTTGTTGTCTCGCTCTCTCTAGCATTTTATTGAGAGCATATACATATAGGGTGTCTGAGGCACATGCATTTGAAGGCACAGTAAGCATGTGTGAGTGGGAAAGAAGCAGAGCAGCAGGTACATTTTTTCGCCTGGGAAAACGCAGCTGCGAAAAAGACATGGAAAAAGACTTGCCTGATCCTCAAAGCGGGCCAAAAGGGCACTTGCCCATTCGCCTGGCTTTTGGGTGGCCATTCTGAGTTGTATTCACAAGATTTTGTTGGTTTTTTACTGCATTTTGTTTGGTGAAAAGCGAACTAATTGGTTGGTGGGCAGGGGGAAAGCCAATGGCAGGTTTTCCATGTTTTGTGGTCCTTCTCTGTTTGTTACGTTTACTTATTTTGCTTCCTGGACCGCTAAGTTTCCGTTTTTTAAGCAAATTTTCTCCACACAGCTTTTGTTTAACTTTTTTTCTTGGAGGCTGCCGTTCCGTCGCGTACTTAATGGAGATGGTCACTTGTTAGCTAGAGATGGTCAGACGCTCGCGATAGTATCGGTTACTATTAAATTACCGGCAAAAGTCCCTGAGCCTGATTCCAAAGAACCAGTGAACCAGTGCTCGCGTCTAAGAAGCCCGCATTATTTCAAATCGTTTTCTTATCAAAGACCTTATTGGTATCCTTCAAAATTACAAAAACCAAATTTAAGATTTAAACTTTTTTTTGCATCTGAATAAACAAGAAAGTAAGCTGCTTCGGCGAGCCGAAGCGTATATACCCTTGCAGTTGTAAAAATCTTGTAATATCGTAATGAATTGCTAAATGTCAAGCAAAATACATATACCTATATAACTTTCAATAAGAAGCAAAAGCTGGTGAAATCGAAAAGTTCGCTTGGGATCCAATTAGATCATAGGAAAGTCCTTTAGCTGATTATCAACCGAACCGCCCTCAAGCCCCAATTTTTTCTTTGTAAATCTTTGCTTTCAAAGAAACAATGAAAAATTCGACAGCAACACCATCACCTAATTCTCATTAATTTATTTAATGTGGTTGTTTATGCATTATATTTTTATCCATATTGAATATTTTTTTAGATGTAACTATCTTGCTTTTCTGCTAATCAAAAGAATTTTTCGCCGTTTCGGAACCACATTAAAAATTCTACGGTAATCAAAATGTTGTAATTAAAATTATATCCGCTGATTTAGCAGCTGTATTTAAGGCAAATTGCTTGGTCGAGTTGAGTTGGTCGTCCTAAGCACAAGGCTTTAACATGAAGGTCTTGTTCGGAATATTAGCTGTCCTGGCTGTGGCTCTTTTAGGTGCCGAAGCCAGCACTCCAAGAAGGATTGGTGAAACTGAAAGTGATATATTTAAATCAATGTTTGGGAACTAGAACTATTCCCCTCAAATAAAAATTCTTAAGCAAGAAATGTTTTTAACTATTATTAATTTATTTGATGTGGTTGTTTATGATTTACACTTTATTGATATTGAATATTTAGATGGTTTTTCTTTCTCGTAGTTGGAGTTGGGGTTGACTCGTGTTTATTGGCCACTTTTGTCAGTTATTTACTTCATCTATTCCAGAATAATTAAATCGTGCACGTAAACAGGTAAAAATAGGTTAAAATAGATGCAGCTGAAAGGGCAGCATTGCTTTTCATTTAATGCACTTCATTCATGTGAATATCAGTAATATTGTTATTATTTCTCTCTTTTCTGCTAATCAAAAAAAAATTGTTCGCCGTTACGGAACCACATGAAAAATTCTACGGTAATCAAAATGTTGTAATTTAAATTATATCCGCTGATTTAGCAGCTGTATTTAAGGCAAATTGCTTGGTCGAGTTGAGTTGGTCGTCCTAAGCACAAGGCTTTAACATGAAGGTCTTGTTCGGAATATTAGCTGTCCTGGCTGTGGCTCTTTTAGGTGCCGAAGCCGATGATCGACCATTGATTCGTGTAAAGAGGTATACAACTTTCAAGTTGTAATAAAATTATATTTGCAAAGGATCCCTCTAGAAGTAAAAAACAAAAACTTAACTATTATTAGTTTATTTTGTATACTTTATCGATATTAAATATTAAGATGGTATTTCTTACTCGTAGTTGGGGTTCTTGTTTCATTTTGAGATGAGTTGGGTTGTGTGCTAGGAGGACTTTGTGAAAATTGTAAATAGGCTTATGTTATACTCGTGTTTATTGGCCGTATTTGTCAGTTATTTTTTTGGTCTATTCGTGGAAAAGTCGTGCACGTACACAGGTGAAAAAATAGAAGGAAATTAGTTATGTCCATAGGGTCCAATCTTATTCCATAGTTGAAAGATCAGTATTGTTTCAATTTAATGCCCTTCATTCATGCGAACATCCGTATTATTGTTATTTTTGTTGTCTCAGTCATTTGATTGAGAGCATACACACATAGAGTGTGTGAGACCCACATGATTGAAGTCACAGTAAGTATGTGTAAATAGGAAAGAAGCAGACCAGCAGGTCTGTAACTACCTCCCTTTTCTGCTAATCAAAAGAATTTTTTCGCCGTTTCGGAACCACATTAAAAATTCTACATCCGCTGATTTAGCAGCTCTATTTAAGGCAAGTTGGCTGAGTTGAGTTGGTCGTCCTAAGCACAACGCTTTAACATGAAGGTCTTGTTCGGAATATTAGCTGTCCTGGCTGTGGCTCTTTTAGGTGCCGAAGCCAGCACTCCAAGAAGGATTGGTGAACCTGAAAATGATATATTTAAATCAATGTTTGGGAACTAGAACTATTCCTCTCAAATAAAAATTCTTAAGCAAGAAATGTTTTTAACTATTATTAATTTATTTGATGTGGTTGTTTATGATTTACACTTTATCGATATTGAATATTTAGATGTTCGCTTGGGATCCAATTAGATCATAGGAAAGTCCTTTCGCTGATTATCAACCAAACCGCCCTCAAGCCCCAATGTTTTATTTGTAAATCTTTGCTTTCAAAGAAACAATAAAAAATACGACAGCAACAGCATCACCTAATTCTCATTAGTTTATTTAATGTGGTTGTGTATGCATTATATTTTTCTCCATATTGAATATTTTTTACATGTAACTATCTTCCTTTTCTGCTAATCAAAAGAATTTTTCGCCGTTACGGAACCACATTAAAAATTCAACGCTTTAAAAATGTTGTAATTAAAATTATATCCGCTGGATTACCAGCTGTATTTAAGGCAAGTTGGCTGAGTTGAGTTGGTCGTCCTAAGTACAACGCTTTAAGATGAAGGTCTTGTTCGGAATATTAGCTGTCCTGGCTGTAGCTTTTGTAGGTGCCCAAGTAGGGAAAAACAGAGAGTATGGGGGTCACCTCCACCTTACACGGGAGCGCAGACTTCCATGAATGTTAAGGGATTAGAACTACTTATTCTTCTCAAAGCAAAAATAAAAATTATAAGAAAATCTTTTAACTATTATTAATTTATTTGATATTAAATATTTAAATGGTTTTTCTCTCTCGTAGTTGGAGTTGGGGTTGACTCGTGTTTATTGGCCATTTTTGTCAGTTATTTACTTCATCTATTCCGGAAAATTCGTGCACGTCAACAGGTAAAAATAGGTAAAAATAGAAGCAGCATTGCTTTTAATTTAATGCACTTCATTCATGTGAATATCAGTAATATTGTTTTTTTAGTTGTTAAAATGGAAAGAAGCAGAGCAGCAGGTCTGTTCTCTCTTTTCTGCTAATCAAAAGAATTTTTCGCCGTTACCGAACCACATGAAAAATTCAACGGTTTTCAAAATGTTGTAATTAAAATTATTCCGCTGATTTAGCAGCTCTATTTAAGGCAAGTTGGCTGAGTTGAGTTGGTCATCCTAAGCACAACGCTTTAACATGAAGGTCTTGTTCGGAATATTAGCTGTCCTGGCTGTGGCTCTTTTAGGTGCCGAAGCCAGCACTCCAAGAAGGATTGGTGAACGTGAAAATGATATATTTAAATCAATGTTAAGGAACTAGAACTATTCCTCTCAAACAAAAATTCTTAAGCAAGAAATTTTTTTAACTATTATTAGTTTATTTGATGTGGTTGTTTATGATTTACACTTTATCGATATTGAATACTTAGATGTTCGCTTGGGATCCAATTAGATCATAGGAAAGTCCTTTCGCTGATTATCAACCAAACCGCCCTCAAGCCCCAATTTTTTCTTTGAAAATCTTTGCTTTCAAAGAAACAATAAAAAATTCGACAGCAACACCATCACCTAATTCTCATTAGTTTATTTAATGTGGTTGTTTATGCATTATATTTTTATCCATATTGAATATTTTTTAGATGTAACTATCTTCCTTTTCTGCTAATCAAAAGAATTTTTCGCCGTTACGGAACCACATTAAAAATTTTACGGTAATCAAAATGTTGTAATTAAAATTACATCCGCTGATTTAGCAGCTGTATTTAAGGCAAATTGCTTGGTTGAGTTTAGTTGGTCGTCCTAAGTACAACGCTTTAAGATGAAGGTCTTGTTCGGAATATTAGCTGTCCTGGCTGTGGCTCTTTTAGGTGCCGAAGCCAGCACTCCAAGAAGGATTGGTGAACCTGAAAATGATATATTTAAATCAATGTTTGGGAACTATAACTATTACTCTCAAATAAAAATTCTTAAGCAAGAAATGTTTTTAACTATTATTAATTTATTTGATGTGGTTGTTTATGATTTACACTTTATTGATATTGAATATTTAGATGGTTTTTCTTTCTCGTAGTTAGGGTTCTTGTGTCATTCTGGAATGTGCAGGGTTTCGGGATGTAAGCTTGGTGGACTTAGTGAAAATGTAAAATTTTTTCCAGCAATACTTAGTTTATATAATGATTCAGCATTTCTATCTGCAACGATTTAGTGATGCGTCCAACTTTAGATAGTGTTTATTCGATTTTTCTATTATTTTACGGTATAAAGTTAGTTTAGCTAGCTAAAAAACACATTTACAGTCGTATTAGGGTATATATTGTATTAAAAATTATAGCGTTATTTTTTAAATAACTGTCCTTAAGTTGACAAAAAAAAAAACACAATTAAACAAAGGCTTATGTTACAGTCGTCTTTATTGGCCGTTTTTCTCAGTTATTAACTTTATTTATTTAAGGAAAACAAATCGTGCACGCAAAAAGGTGAAAGTAAATATTGAAAATAGTTAGAAAGGAGCTTTTTAAACTGTTGCGAATATTCTTTTGATTTATCTTGCCACTGATATATGTACGATTCTCTCATAGTTTTAAATGCAGTTATTGATATTTATTAGTTAGAGGGTTCTATTAACTTTTGCAGCGTTAAGAAGTGCATATATGAATTGGCTATATTAATTTTCCAGCGATATATCTCATATTTGGTATTTACCTATGGTTAATTGGTATATCTTCGTATGTTTAAATGGACGTTTGATGATTATTCGCTTCAAATGATAGTTTGAGGTGCATGGAACTTAGTCTGAAGATAGCACAGGATACAAACTGATGCTCGTTGTAAATAGAATATACTCGTATAATTAGTAAAATTTGTATTTAGCTAGCGTTGTTTCGTTATCGTATTCGATTCCATTTCTTTCGATCTTAGAACTAGGTTTATCATTTGAAATTGGATTTCAATGTTGTGCAATCCTGCGGTTGCGTCCTTGAGCAGGCCTGCTAACAATAAATTAGTGCTGGACTTAGGGACGGGCCTTCCCCGCCCCTTAAACGTCAGCCGACTAGAGTAATAGACTTAATTTAACAATTCCTTTGGGGGCATCAGATAGAGACTACGACTACAAATGGGATTTAATAAGCAGGGATTCAAAATCGAGACGGTGTAGCATAAAAAACACTAAATTCTTAGGTATCAAGAAAACATAATTAACATAGGAATTGAATAATCTTTTATAAACTTCTTAATGGTTATGAAAATTACGTACAATTGTTTGAGGTATTCCGGAAATCATCTAGGGTTTGGTTATTTTAAAAGATCACATTAGTGTAAAATAAATGTTGCAGTTTAGCCTTGCAATTGAGATCAACTTTTCCTAAATAGGCTACAAAGCTTTTTACTAAGCATTTTTACAAATTAAATACAAATTGTTTGCCTTTCTCAAAACAAGTAGAAAAAAAGACCTTCTGGCTTTGGTATACATAGTTTTACCCCATCAACATCAGCACTCGATTTGAATCCCCTTTATCGGGAGCGGGGTGCTTAGATGGTCCACACCTGGACCTTTTCGGCCACCACACACCAGCTGGCCCGCTCGTAGTAGGAGCTGACGATGTGCAGGCTGGCCACGTGGTGGTTGATCAGTGCGTCCAGCTCGCCCTCGCGGAACACGTGGTAGTAGCGGTGGTGGGTGCTGGCTCCCCCTGCGAGGGGCTGTCCAGGGAGTTGGTGGAGCTGTTCGAGTGCTCCAGGGATTCGTTGGAGGGTCGCTGCTGCAGGTTCGCAGCCGCCTGGCTCGGCTCCTGCGGCGGTTTCTGCTGCGTCGCAGGTGGTTGCACCTTCAGGGCGGCCATGTTGCGCCTACGTTGACCGTAGTCCGACATTCCCTCGCCCAACTGGTCGCCGCCACGGGCCTCCAGAGCCTCCGCCTCGGCGTCCGCGTCCTGCTCCTCTTGCTCGTCCTGCTCCTCCTCCTCGGGTATCACATCGTCCTCGTCCTCCCGCACATCGCTGTCCCCGTCGTCCTGCAGCAGATAGGCTGTCTCCGGGTTGAGCTGGTAGTGCCGGTTCCGCTTGTAGCTGAACTTCGAGATCTTACAGTGCTCGTAGACGCCCAGCGAGTAGCTGGACTCGTTCTCCTCTTCCTCCTCCTCCTCGCCATCCTCCTCCTGGATGGTGAAGCTGCGCGTCTGCGAGGACAGCGACGAGGTGGAGGAGCTCACGGGCGATTGCTGGAGACTTGGCTGCGTTGAGAGATTCGCGAGCATCAGGCGCCGTTCCCTTAGCTCGTCCCGGAATGCACTCAGGTCACCATTGGATCGCTTCTTGCCGCCGCCCAGGATCTCGGAGAGATCGCCCATTCCGATCCCGTCCAGGTAGCGGCACTCGGTGCGATTGCTCTTGTCCTCCAGTTCCCGCTGCAGTTGCGCAGTCAGTTGTTCCGCGAACTCCGCACAGTCCTGCTTCTGGGTGGCCTCCCTCTTCTCGGGCAGCAGAGGAGCACTGTCCGCGTTCAGGATGATGTCGTCCTCGGCCTGCGATCGGGAGCTATTGATCTGCAGCTCGCCCTTGTGGTACTGCTCCTGCTGCAGGCTGATCATCTGGGCCAAACTGGCTTCGCCTTCGTCCTGCGAGGCGGAGTTGGAGTTGGCGGAGGCAGCTCCTCCTTCGTCGCTGCCCGAGGGCACCTTCGCCGATCTCGGAGCACTGATCACACTGTCGATGGAGTCGGGCGAAGAGGGTTCACTGGAGTCGCTGTCCAGGTCGTCGGTGGCCGGATTGAAGAGCTCCAGAGAGAGTAGCTTGCTGGCCAGCGAGGTGGTCGATGCCGAGGTGGACACGCCCGAACCGGAGGCTCTCCGCACGATCGGAAAACTCTGGCGCTGCAGCTGCAGGGATTGCTGCTTCCGGAACTTGGGGATGGGCGGAAGATCCCTGATGGCCTGGCGGGTGATCCTGCGCACGGGTGGCGACTCCTTGAGCGGTTCCCTTGGGGCCTCCTTCTTCTCCTGCAGGTTCAACTGCTGCTCCTTCTGCTGCTCTTTCTGCTGCTCCTTCTGCTGCTCATTCTGCTGCTCCTTCTGCTGCTCCTTCTGCTGCACTTTCTGCTGCACCTTCAGCTGCTCCTTCTGCTGCTCCTTCTGCTGCTTGATGTGCGCCTCGTCGAAGCTGAAACGAGCCGGCTTCGAGGGAGGAGTCAGGATGGCCATCGCCGCGGAAACGGCCGACGTGGATTGCGGCGGCGAGGTGACCGTGCCCTGGATGGCGGCCGGCGAGTGGGCCGGAGTGGGCGGGCAGGGCATGATGAGCGGCGACGTTGGCACTGAGTGAGTGGGCGGCAGTCGGGAGCCGGGAGTCACGCCCTGATCCCGGCCAGCGGCCGAGCCCTGGGCCCGCTGCCCGTTGCTCGAGGAGGAGTTGCTCGAGCTGGAGTTGGAGTTCTGGTGCTGCTGCTGGTAGTTCAGCTGCTGCTGGTGCTGCTCCGGCTTCGGAATGAAGATCACCGAGGCGAAGCTGTCCTCCGACTCGATGCTCGTGTCCGACTGCAGGCTGCTGTCCTTGGAGGAGTCCGATCCGGACTCCCGCGAGTGCCGCCGCGCCTTGTCGCCCTGACCGCCGTCCGCACAGGCGGGACACTCCTGCTGGTACTGGCTGCAGTGGCACAGGTTGCCCATCGTGCACTCCACGCTGCTGCAGTACGTCACGGGTCCACTCGTCGAGGATGCCGGCAGGATCAGGTGGGACAGGTGGTGCACGGGGTGGTGGTGGTGGTGATGGTGGTGCTGGTGTGCCCCCGCCGTTGCTGACTGCTTGTTGTTGTTGTTCAGCGTGGCGTTCTTGTCCACTTGAGTCTGGGGATTCTGGGCAGGATTCGGCTGCGCCTGGGGGCCGCTCTTGATGTTCTGGATCAGCTTGCTGATGCCCGTCTTGGTCACCCGCTCCAGGCTACCCGTCGAGCTCTTGATCTTGGTGGTGAAGCCCTCGCGGATCACCTGCAGCCTTTTGGAGAACAACGCCGATCTGCAGAGGAAGGCTTCGTTCAGCGAGGTCTGCTTCTGGATGCGCTTGCGCACCCGCTCCTTCTCCCTCAGCCGATTGCAGGCCATCAGGTCCTCGTTCAGGGAGCTCTGCTTCCTCAGGAACGTGGGTGCTCCCGATCCACCCGCTGCTCCGCCCTCGCCAGTTCCTCCCGAAGGAGGCGTGGCCATCGACGAGGAGACGTGCTGGTGGAAGTTCCCGGCGTAGCAGCCACTCCTCGTGTACAAGCTACTGCTCACTCCTCCGTTCACTCCGCCGTTCAGGGTGCTCACCATTTGGAAGGACTCGGGGGGCGGGGGGCGTGGCAGCGTCGTCCTCGCACAGGGACTGCTTCTGCTTGATGAGCTTGGGCCTGCGACTCAAAGTGTTCCCTGCACTGGCAGTTGTGGTGGGCGAATGCCTGCCATTCAGTTGGAGTTGCAGCTGCAGTTGCTGACTTTCCGGGGCATTCAGTAAAAGAGCCGCCGCCGTGGCCTTCGTCTCGCCAGGAATCAAAGGACCTCCCAGGCTGGGAACACTGGAACGCGAGCGGACAATCTGGCGAGGAGGCGGCTGCAGGATACTTCCCAAGCTGCGGGATTTGAGTCCAGCCGATAAAGGTGGATCGGGAAAGTCCTCAAAGTCTTCAAGGCGACGCAGCTCGATGGGCAGGTCCTTGGCGTCCTCGTAGTCCAGGCTGCTATCGTTTTTGGTGTCCTTCGAGGACCACGAGTCCATAAACCACGCATGTCGCCTTCCGCGAGCCAGTTTCTAAGGTATAAATAAATATTAATATTACTTAAATTTTATTAATTAATATTTAACTTAGGAAATACCTGAATGGCTCGGCGAACGAAGCTGTAGCAGGACTCCCCCGGCGAGGACGAACTCAGGCTGGAACTGTCTCCATCTCCGGCCGATCGACTGGAGTTCGTGGAGTCCTCAGTGTAGGCGTGGTAGGGCGGCTGGAAGTTGTCGTCGTCCTCCTCGTCAGAGTACGAATAGTTCCTATTCTTGGGCGGCTGCCAGGGTATCAGTACGTCCTGCGACTCAAAGCGACGATGGCGCTGCTCCAGTGCCCACACTGTGATCACAACCCTTCCGCCGATCCTCAGGATCCTGGCCAGCTCCCTTAGCGCCTGAACCCGTCGCTCCGTGGTGGCAAAGTGGTGCACCACCGCCAGCGATAAAACCGCATCGAAGCTGTCGTTTCGAAAAGGCAGCTCCAGATTGTCACATAAAGCCACCTGGAAACAGATTATAAATAAAAACAATAATTAGTTATGAAAGTATGATAAGTTTAAGAAACTTTATTAGTATTTCACGGGTCAAATTTTAATTTTAAATGACTTCCTTTTCTGTAAACCTAAAATTAATTCAACTTATCCCTGAAGTGTTGAAAGTATGCACTTTGTAATACGTAAGCTCTTAGGTAATTTAACTTTTGCTGCAAGCTTATTAATTTGATTGATTTACTGACTTAATAATTTCCCAAGGTGATGGCCCAACACTACAGAATCCCAGCCAACCAGCGTTCCCCTTGGGAAGCCATGCCAATTAAGCTGTGTCAAAGATAAGTCCTCGCCGGCGACTCTTTGTGGGGTCACGACTGCCGACATCCCTTGGGTCCTGCCCGCAAAAGTATGCAATTGAAATAGTGTAAGCTGCACAAAGTAAAACGAGATGATGCAATTTAAAGCCCTTGATAGGACCATCAATCGCCTTTGAGGAGAGTTCAACTTTCATTTCCATATCAAAGGAATGCAGCTTGATTGAATAATCCGGTAACCCTTTCGCTTGGCTACATCATTTTGCAATTAGGAACTTCTGGGAAAACAAAGTTATCGGTTCGGTTGGCTGATTGGAAGTTGGCCTCGACGATTTGTCATTCTAATATTCGCCGGGGGAAAAGTCCTGTTAGAAAGTTGGCCATTTGGCCACAACTGACCTACGGACTTTGGCAAATGCACGTTCGGACGTATGCACGCCATTTATATTCATTTTTGCGTCATGGCCAGAAAGAATGGTGTCAATTACGATGGCTGGGATAAGGGGCGTTATCCAAGCATCGGTGTTTTTCTATGGGCCAACACACAGGTGACAAATGGCAGGGCAAGTCAAAAGAAAAATCTAATATCGATTCAGGCTCTTCCAGGAAATGCAATTCAAAGCCAACACACATTTTCCAATTTACCATTTTCCGAGAAAATTCACTGCTGTCAATTGTCGTTTGCCGAATCAAATTTACATTGCCCGAGCAAGTGCTAAATTAAATATTGAATAAAAGCCATGTATTATGTTTCGACATTCTCGTTTTTATCTGCTGCAATTTCGTATTTCCGATTCGGGCTCTACTATTATGGCAAATGTCTGTGTATTTCGGCTCTCTCTATCTGTGGGTGTGCTCGTCTGCAGAAATAAAAGTCCTTGACCCGCCAAGCCTTACACTTTGGCCAGAGTTTTTCGCTTCAGGTGCAGCCCACCTTGTAGAAATTCAGGCTGTGCCATTACAGGCTCGAAGTCTTCAGCAAATATCAATTAACATAAGTGTTTTTCGGTCCCTGAACTTTCGATGGGCATCGATCGAAGCACTTGGCTCGGTTAAGTAAAATGCAATTTTTGATTTCAATTCATTTTTGCCATCGAAGAGCTATAGCTATTTCTGTGGCTCCAGCAAAAAGCAGGCCAAGAAACATAAACCATAAATAAATCATTGTTTTGTCGTTGTGGAAACGCCCATGCAAACAAACAGAATCTCTTGCATTTTAGGTGAGCAAGCCTTTGTTCCTGCTTATGAGCATGACTCCTAATGCACGGGGCTGCAGGACCCATTCATCTGATCCCCACACCGCGTCCTGTGCAACTCGGATTCTCCTTTCGATGTCCACCCTGCGATGAATGCGCACGCTGACAGCTCGCCTTTATTTTCCTTGTTTTTCTAGTGCGCTATACAAATCGTATTTATAGCAGTTGCCATTTTTCACATGAGGGGCTTTTGTGGGTGTGCAGCGGGCATACGGAGTGTGTGTGGTACAGTGTGTATAGTGTCACGCGGGTCGGGCACATGACGCCTTTGAAATTTATGTTGACAGCGCTTCCAGGCGGAGAGTGTCAGGTGAAAGTGAAACACGTAACGCATACGCCACGTTGCACGCTAATGAGGCCAAAGTGCAGAGCACAAGCCTTTCCACTTTCCACTCTTCTACTTCTTAACGTCTTTTCGCATGTTTCGGTATGGATACTGAAAATGATCCGATTTTAAATTGTTTAATAGCCATTAGATTCTTTTAATTAGCAGCTGTACATAAAAAGGCTGTACTTCTCCGCTTCAACATAAAGATTCTTGTGTTACATAATAAATAGTCGGCCTACATAAATGTCGCTTTTGCCAAAAAAAAAAAGGGGCCTCAGGCCTGCGGAAAATTGCAGGTTTCAGGTGGCCCAGAAAAACCACTCTGCACCTGCCATTATTGAGTTTCAGTTTATTCGTTTCTGCGGTCCTGTTGCCCATTTGTATGCGCCATTTTCGGGGCGGGCCAAGATTTACGAGGAGTCTGGCTTTCAGTTGCTTGTGTGGCTGCTCCACTTGCCGGGTTTATTGCATTTACAAAATTATTGAAAATCAGGCCATGCACGAGCTGCAGAAATCAAAGTTGCAACTTTCTGTCCGGACCAAGTTAAATTGGTTTTGCATAAAGTTTGCCGTTGCGCAGCAAAAGTTGCATTCGCTTGCATGTCACGTGCGCATTTTGTGCATTTGCTGTTGGGTTTATTTTAAACACATTAGGCAAATAGAAATAAACACCGATCGAATCCGCTTTGCTATGCCAGTTATGGGGGTAAAGTGATTAGAAACACATGCGGACAATCAGCGACTTGGCCAGCGCTAAATGTCAAGGACTCGCCGGCAAATAATTGGAGGGAATAAGCTGCCCCCGTTCGTTCGCGATAATGTGGTGTGTTATTAAATAAATTAAGCCGCTTATAGTAAATGGAATGGTGGTGGAAATGGGAGGTGATTGCAGCAGTTTCTGCTGCAACTTTGCTGTCAATCCCACGCGAAAGCAATTTAAATGCGAAGAATGCGTGTTGTCGATTACGGCGGAGTGGCAAATGGAAAGCAAATGAAAAGCTCGGGAAAGGCATTCTCCACTCTCCATTCTCCGCTCCTTGGGAAATGGTACTCCGCCGCCTGGAAATGACACCATAAATAAGCGCCGAGCGTTAGTAATAGATTATGGCAAAAAGCATTGCATACCTCGGGCAGACTTGCCGCTGAATAACGGTCGCTATACACTATATACTATATAGTCGGTTGGGGGGATCGCAATTTATTGTTGTTCGCTGTAAAAGGAAATGTTGGAGGTTGCCAGCAGCAACAGCGGGACAAAAGAAAATGGGGAAAACTATGCAGCAGAGTTGTGTCATTGTTAAGGAAATATTGTTAGGGGGCAAGCTAAGTGCGCTGTTCTTCATGTTCATTATGACATAGTCGAGCGTATCACTTAATTGTGCCCAGAAGTTCGAGGCGTGCCCTTCCACCCCATAATCTTTATGATATTTAGGTGCATAATTTGTGATTAACACAATTTTTTAAACAACTAATAAAAATCGGTACAATAACTGACTTATCATTTCTGAAGACTCATTATTTATTTCGAGTTTCATGGTTTATTTAATGCCTTTAATGTGGTTATATTTAATGCATAAACCCGTTTTCCCATCAAACATGCAACCGGAATTCATTTATAATGCATACAGTTTTGGTGCTCTAAACGGTAAGTGAAAACTTCTGTGACTCCAACTGCATTCATTTCAATTGGCGATTATGCATCCCTTTTGGCTGCCAACCATCTGCAGTTTATTGGATCTGGCTGGCTGGTTTCCCCTCTAAATGACTCGTTTAACGGCACCGATGTGGACCATTGCAACTAGGAGGCATTAAGAACTCCCAATGCAAAAGGGCGAGTGGAACATGTGCAAATAATTCCCAATGATAAGCATAATTTATGCGTGCCGCTAATGGCAAACTTTAGTGGAGCAACCGGCATTTGAATCTGGCGAATGCTTTACGGCTCTCCCTGTGCGGCTTGTTAGCGGAAAATGGAAAATGGGTCAATTGCATGGCCAAGAGAACTACGAGGAACACGACCGCACCAAACACATGCAATTAGCAGGCTGCAATTAGATTGCACACACACACTTGGTGTGTTCATGCGAGGCTCATTAAAAAATTCAGCTAATCAAGAACACTCGTGGTAACTTTGAGCAAAACGAGCTTATCCTCTCCTTAAGTCGTGTGACCTTTAAAATGGGAAAATTAAGTTGTAACAAGAACATCGAGAGGAACAAAGGGAAGGCCAGTTAAAATAAATAAAACTGATACGGGTATCAAAGCTTGAAAATAGTTTTTGTTTAAAAAAACTATTTTAATTTACATTAGTTCCATTCAAAGTGCCGTGTATATAAGAAGAAGTGGTTGGGACTGTCTTAACAAGCATCAGCAGTAACTTATTCAAAGATGAAGCTCTATTTAGGAATTGTGGCCTTACTACTTGTTGGAAGCCGTTACAAAGCACCTGGTTGGGGGAATTCAAGACATACCGGTTAAAATTAAAAAAATAAATAAAATCCTCCCAAACTATTCACAAATCGTATGGAGGGTGGGCCGGTAAAAAATAAATAAATAAATAAAATAAACGAAAAAATATTGAACATTACTTTTCGGGTTTTTTTTTATACCCTTGCAAAGCAAAGGGGTATTATACATAAGTTCAGTCAGACGCAGTTAAGGAGACATCTCAGACCCCATAAAGTATATATAATATATTCTTGATCAGCATCACCATCTGAATCGAAACTATATCGGATAGCTCCCATACGAGAGAATGAAATAAAAAATTCTTCCTGCAATTGCATAAGCGGTTCTAATCAATTTCAGTACAATAAAAATATTTGCATTCCTGTTGGCATTAGTTCCATCTAAAAACATCTAAAAACACCTATACCTCCTCAACCTTGAGCCAAAGGAACTTAAAAACATTAAAATCTTAATTTGATCAAAGATGATAATCGTTTCATTAAATTTCTCTCCTTGAATTCTGAAACGGTTTTAGTTCAAGAAGCTGACTCTTTGATACATTTTGAACTTAGTGGGGAAGAAGGACTTCTGCTTCAGGACTCACCTCGCCACCCTTCGCGTGGGCCACCTTGCTCAGGCGGTAGCACCGCTCCACGCCGATGGTGCAGATGGCCGGGTTGCACTGGGTGAGGTACCGCCCGCTGCCGCAGCCCACGTCGCAGACTACGGAGCCCGGATCGAGTCCGCTGAGGAAGTGGGCCATCCGGGGTCGCACCGGACCCGTTGGCTCCTCGCAGTGCTCGTAGACATCGTGCACGTAGGCCCGCTCCAGAGCCGCCGACCTGCCGCTGGCATCGCTGCTCGATGGCTTCTCCTCGGCCACCGGTTTCGCGGACTGCGGCAAAACCTTTGTTGTTGTCTCGCCGACAGGTGAAGTGGTGCCACCTGGTCCTGCCGCTCCTGCCCCTGCTCCTGCTCCCGGAGCTCCTGCTGTCTCGAGTGTGGTGACTGCCGTTGGGGATATAACTGTGGGCGCCAAATCCCCCGCTTGTCCAATGCTGGATGCCGCATTCGTCGCCGTTGCCGTTGTCAATTGCTTGGTCATTGTGGCTGCCGCTACTGCAATTGTTGCTGCTGCTCCTGATGTCGCTCCTGTCGTTCTGTAGCACTTGTCGTATGTTGTCGAGGGGCACACTTCATCTGCAACACATAAAAATAGGTGGCGGAAGTCAGAAACTGCATTCCACACGGACTTCGTGTCAAAAACAAGACTCTTGAGTGATATGCAGTATAATCCTTCAGCAAAAAAGAGAATCTAGGTATCTAGTTTTTTCAATTGATTAAAATCTAGGCTTTAAAATGTTCTTTTATATTCAAAAAGAAAGAACTTATTTCTTTCTGCCTTGCTAATTGCTAGTTCCCTGAGGACTTTCCCTTTAAGGACCTACATGTAAAGCTATTTCTAAGCCTTTCTATCGAGTTCTAGGAAATGCCCCCTTCACCTCCTTCGTTATGCAAACTGCAGTGTAATTTATAATCCGCCAAACAATTTGTATAATTAAGCCAATTGCCTGGCTGAATGCGGGCCATAAAGCCAATTTCAGCGCGACTCCTTGTTGCATGCCGCTGGAAGTTCTGGGAAAAAAGGAAGGAGGTCTACGGTGCATGACATCTAGTCGTAAAATCGTTAGAGAAACGTCAGCAAGGCCCACACACAAAGACAGAGGCGAGTTGCATACCGGATGTGTGGCAATTGTTTTGGGTTAGCATTGTTGTTGACATTTTATAACCCCACTTCCGGTGGCACTTTGAATGGAAATTTTAACGCCTTCGGCGCAGGCAACTGGCCATTGTCAGATCCAATAAATTGCATTAAAATGCCGTTGCACAAAGGGAAATTACTCCGAGTGGGCGGCTTCAGGTGGGCGGTGGCAAATGGAAGTAGGTAGTGGGTGATGGTGGGTGGCACATGGTGGATGGTAGATGGTGGATAGTGGGTGCCCTAAGGCCATTTCCAGGGAGCCACAGCAGCCGACAGTGGGCGCCAAACGACATTAGTGCAGTAAAATGGAATTATAATTGAAATCTGATTAAAAGCAGTTGTAGTGCCAACAATGACGCAGCATTCGGGTTGCTGGTGGGGGATAGCTCTGTGAACCATGTCCTGGGGGCGTTAATGAGTTGCCGCCCGTTCTGTGTATGTGTTAATAAGCACTGTAAATGAGTTATAAATGTATTTTATGACATTTTGATGGAAATTAAAGAAGGGCAGGGAGAACGAGTGGGCTTGAAGGCTTCACATATGGAGAACTGAGAATAAATCTTGGGAACAAAACTATTTGTTTGGAGGAATATAAAAGACTTTAAAAAACTATAACAATTGAAATAATTGTTTATTAATGCTGTTGCAAGTGTGATCTGTATGTTATAATTACTACCATTTTTAGATTTTCCTCTTTTTCTTCTTACGAAAGCGGCTTACCCAAGATATTTAATAGAAAACCCGCTCAAGCAGCTTATAACCAATAGCTTCCTTTCTTTCCTTAACATTTCCTGAGCCTGATGAGCGCTTATTAATATCGCTTGCCCTCCGCCCGTCGAGTATCTTAATCAATAAAGTGCTTTCCCATTACCCATACGCCGTGTGGTCCGGGCGGATGCTTACCTTTTGTGGGGCCGTTGCTGCGCTGATAACTCGCATTCAACAAAGCCGTCGACGACGCCAGTTCCGCTGATAACATGCGACAACAAAGCCGATGGGCTGGTGATATAGATGATGGGGATATAACGATGCCAACAACAACAACAACAACAAGGGGGCCGTGGTCGGAAAATCAATGTGCATGCATAATTTAAAGTCAGTTGCGGCACTTTGGACCCTTCGACATCCAGTTGGCTGGTTGGTTTGTTGGTTGGTTAGTTGGTTGGCTGGCTATTCCTTCCTTTTTTGCCCGATGATGGGGAACTTGGGGCTCTCGACAAGTTGGCGACGCGCGGCGTGGGCTCGAGTATTTTTAGACTTTCGAAGCGGGGCACGTTCTATACGATAATTTGCTCAATTTATTTTTGAAATCTATCATTATGGCAACTACACGATGTAATTGCTGTGCTTGTTTTTGTTTCTGCTGGCCACTAAGGCTGAGGACACGCTCTCCTGGCGCTGCCACACAAAATAGGATACACAAAATGCTTTTCCACGGGCTCCTGTCAATGCCTCTGGCATATGACGTTTCCTTTGTGTGTGTCTGTCCGTGTGTGCGTGTGTGTGAGCTGGTGTGTGAGTGTATGATTTTCTGCTTCTTACAGGCACTTTTCACTTGCACTTTTCCTTTCACTCCATTCGCACTGCTTCAACCACGAGCCTTACCAATTAATTTTCCATTATCGCCTTCGATTTTGCTTGATTCTCGGATTGTGTTTAATTTCTAGGACACTGGCACTTGGCGCTTCACTTGTATATGTATACAGCAGAGTGTACTCGTGTGTGTGTGTGTGTGAGTGCGCGTGTGTGAGAGGTCCTGTCTCAGCGAATTTCCCGTTGCGATTGCCGTTTGTTAGCCCTCGTGTCCGTTCTCTCGGAGTCAACGTCGCGTACTAAAGCGAAAGCCCGTGGACTGCGATGCGTTTGTTCAAGGATGTTGCTCCTGCTGCTGTGGATCGCATTGGAAAAGCTCGACCGACTTGACGAAAGCTTTCCGGAGCACCGGAAAGGGGCCACCAGCTCACAGCTGTTCGCAGAGAGGGAAAGTGATGCGGAGAAATGGAGCGGAGAAATGGAGCGGGAGAATTCGCCAGTCTTTGAATAATGGTTGCATTGTCTTCTGAAAAGGATTCTCGAAATACAATATCAACTTTAAGTTCATATCAAAATTATTATTTTTTTTAAAGGTTATTGTATTAGATAGTATTCATTATAGATGAAGTACTATATAAGTGTGTTATATATTTATTTATTAATTATATCCTCTACTTAAATATTACCTTTTTAAGTTAAATGGTATCGAGAATACTTATTAAAGCTAATATATTCTTATATTTTCATGACCCCAAAGCCAGTTTTTCAATTTAAAAGTTCTATGACCTCCAAGCCATATAAAATATATTTTATATCGGCAAAAACCCAATCAAGGGCTCAATCACAATCCAAATATAGCCAGCCCAGGGCAATTAAAATGACAAAAGAAAGAAAAGCTCGAAACTCGTCTTTGTTTGCCCAACGCAAGTCGGCTTGTCAAATTTCATGAATGAACCCCAAAGCGCAATTGAAGAAGTCAAAAAGTGAAAAATGGGAAAAAGCAACAACCGCATATGAAAAGCCAGTGCACAGAAATAGAAGCTTCGTCGAGTTGGCCATCGAAATGTGTCGAAAATAGCAAGGAGCCAGCCACGAAATAGGCAAAAAATAGCTCCTCGAGCTGCCTAATGGCGCAAACTCTAACCAGAGTCCGTCCCTTTTCCGTCAAACATGTCCGTCTCCCTCGCACTCGATTACTTTTGATGAATGAAAAGCTTTTTGTTTTGGCATTGCCGCTATCTGCGAGTCGCGTGTAAAAATGTGCGAGTACGGGGGGAAAACTCCCTCTGCCTCGTATCTCTGTAGTTGTAAAGTAGCGCCATCCTCTGACGTCCCCGCATAGTAAAAAGCTTGTAAGCTGGGGGATCCCGGGTCCTCGGGAGTGGGTGGCGTCCCGAGCGTCACATGTCTTTTTTGGGCCGCATGACTAATATAGGCAAATGGCAAGCGCGTCGCAGGATGTGGCGCACATTTGGCGACATGCCAGAGCAGATACGCATTCTTAAGCAAAATGTTCCTTGACTTGGAGAAATATTTCAGTGGGATTTTAGATAATGTATTTAGAGGAACATTTTGTATACTTAAGAACCAAGATATTGTTGTGTTTCGGATTAAAGTCAAAGAGTAACCAAGTCCAAGCCCAATTAAAACATAAATTTTAACTACTTTAATACACTTTGTTTAAAGATATCATAACATCTATCAAGGCCATCTAAGCGCTTTTTATTTAATACGAGAAAATTGTATAGGAAACTTTTTCTTTCAGTGCAATCTGTAAACTGGTAATGCCTGATTTGTACCGGTAGGTGAGCATGATGTCGTCACTGAATCGATGGCTACGCAGTTGAATGATTCACAAGCGAGTGCAAGGAGTGGGCGTCTTACGGCATGTTTCGACAAAAGAAAACTTTCCCTCCGCCAGATTGAACTAAAAGTAGAAGTTTACAAGTGAAGCAACTTTTATGATTGTTTTGGTCTATCTTTAGCGTGGGTTGCAAACGTCACAGCCGGTGACGCTTGACTTGAATTTTTAAGGGCGAAGGAAACATCCCAAAGCAGACTCCTACATACATATTGGATCATATAAATAAACAGATATCCCCGTTCCATCGGATCCGTTTTCTCGCCTTGGGCGCACGCCTAGCAGCCAACGAATGTGGCATCATTAGTTCTGTCATAGCCATAAATCATACGCCCCGTAGCCGGCAGCACGCCGAGGAGGCAAGGACGAAGGATGTTGCGGCGGGACTGCATTGCTAATAATGTCACGTAGCACAGCTTTTGACAGTCAAGTGTCACACACACTCCCGCCGGAATCCCAGATTAGGGGAAGCTCGACATGGCCAATTATGAGGGTAGTTGCAGGGATCTGCGGTGTGGCAAATAGTCCCCGAACATTTGCATCTTTCCTAATCTCGCACGGAAGCGCAGAATTTAATTACGAAAACGGTTCGGGAAATTATGCCAAAACATACGCTGCCAGGCCAAAAATAAACAGGAAAAGTGGCAAGAGGAAAAACTCATTTCGCAGCGCGCTATCGCCGCCCAGCAATCAGACAAACCGCCCACGAGCGAATCCTTATCCTCGTCCTTGGCGGGCCAAGACATTTCCTTTTTGTGTGTCGGCAAATGAAGTGCAAATTATGCCAACGGCCAGTGCGGAGAAAAGCGCGAAAACAAAGCGCTTTTCACGTTGCCCCAAAAAGTATGCCATATACACGAGTGCGCGCGGGGAATTTGTGGGGGATTTGGGGCGAGATTACATGAGCAGAGCATAACTTTATTGAGGTTGGCCCGGATCCTGCCGCCCCATCTTACCCCCCACTCCCCCCTCCATCCCCCCCGGCTTAACCCTCTAATGCTCCGCGCGTGGCATTGTCAGCAGAATCGGCGCCATGCGAAATGGTCGCGTGTAGTCGGTAGTTGGTGGCAACCTCGCTTTTTTCGCCGGCCTTTGTGGCGGCTCGATAGCACATCTTGTTGCGCATTTGTCCATGTACCACGGTCAATGTTCTTGCCCCGGCCAGTGTCACCCTGACGTCAGCGTCCTCCAGCGAGCCCTTTCCCCTCCCCCTCCCCTTCCCCTCCCCTTGCCCCGCCCTTATAAACACCGCCCCTTTCCAAGGCCAAACAAACGCTCGTCCAATGTCGCGTGACGCACAAGGATATCGAGTCCTGTGATTGTCGTCGTCGCCGTTCTGCCTTAGCTGATTTTTCCTTAGCCCATCTAGCTTTCGTTGTTTGCCCTGTCACGTGTTTGCCCAGCCAATTAGAGTTATAGCCCGATAAAGAGAGAGCGAGGGAGAGAAAGCCGGCGAGCTTGGCGAGCTTTCACTCAGCGGGTACACGAACCACTTTTCGAAACCCATTTTTGGAAAGCAAACTCTACAGGAGCGGATTTATAAGGTGAGGACTTGCCAGGACCTGCACTTCAGCTGATATAGCTCCTCTAAATGATGACAGATTTTGGATTGGTATATCCAAAATGATTGCGATGATGGCCTCTAAGAAACTGCATCACTAGTTTGGTTTCCATTTTTTGGTCGATTTTCTTGATATTTTTTGCCAAATTCCTGCACTTTAAACCCATAACTTATAATTGTGATGATGTCCTCTAAGATCATCATCATTAGCATAATTAGTTTGGTTTCGATAGATTTTTTCGCAGATTTTCTTGTTTTTTCGAAAGAATTTAAAAATATACAGATTTCTAGAAATGAATTAAGATACAAATTTGATTATTTAAATCGGTTTATTATCTTAACTTCCATAAGATCTTGGTTCGTCAGTGATTCAAAATGTTGGACAGTTTTAGGTGAATTCACGTTCTGGGAGCTTTGACTAGAAGTGCCTCATCACACGCACGGGATTACTGGAGGGGTTAGAATCGGGTGATCTTGTTGTGGTCGGGTGTGGGTGGCAGCGAGGACACCGAGGAGCGGGAAGGACTCTGTTGGGGCCGCGGAGGCGGACGTTGCGGATTGATGTTGGCATTGGCCTGGCGGAGATTGGCGAAGAACTGCTGGCGACGGGGGCCTCCTCCTCGCAGGGGTAACGTGGGAATCTCGCTGGGCGACTGGTGGTTCACCTCCTCCTGCGAACAGTGGCGCATGGCGGGGTTCACGCACTCATAGACACTCTGCAAAATAAGATTTTAAAATTAATTATAATCTATAAATAGATTTTATTAAGTTACCAACCTGCTCCGAGGAGTACTGATTGTTCTGGGCAAAAGCCAGAGAGGTGAGCGAGGGCAAAGCCTGGGCGATATCCGACCGCTCGATACCCCTTACAATGAGAAAAGTACGCGGTATAAGGATGCCCACGAGTACCGCCCAGCCGGAGGCCTGCAATCCCAGCGGAATGGCTGCATCGCGCCACTCGTCCCCGAACATGGACAACGCAATCCAGGCGACCCAAATCACCATGATTAGCACCGCTCCGATGACAATGAGTATTCCCTCGCGGTAGTTCCGCTGCGATCGGTAAATAGAGGGTATCAGAGCGCCCACACAGCAGAGGAGCACAAAGTCGTAGGCCAGGAGGCCCCACAACCAGCGCCCGTAGTAGATATTCTCGCAGGACACCGCCTCCGAGGCGACGTGCATCACCACCAGGAGTTGCACGGACATGCCCACCTGGGCGACGACACTGAAGGCGCAAATCACCGCCTGGATGTAGCCATTCACGTGGGACAGGAAGCCGCCCTCGGAGCCAATCGAAGCCAGCATGACGGCCCGGCAAAGGAGCAGGGAAAAGACAAAGCAGTAGACCAGGGTCATAATGAAAACCCGCACCGCACACAGGGTATTCAGAGTTTGGGCGTCCTCGAAGGTCACATGCGAGTTGCGCTGCTCGCCCACGTATTCAATGGAAAAGGGCACAAAGGAGCAGAAGACCAGGATGAGGGACAACAGGAGCAGAATCGAGGTGGCCGGATTGCCCTCGAAGACGTCGCCCAACGAGATGCGCACCACAATGAACACCAGGATGGCCAGCGTGGCAATCAGGCCGAGAATGGCGGCCGTCAGCCCAGTTGCCACCCACGTGTCCATCTTGATGCGCCAGAACATCACCGATTCGCCGTCGAAGAGGAAGGGATAGCGCCTATTGTCACCCGCACTGTACTGGCAGTTGAACACCTGGCCGAACTTGGTCTTCAGCTCCAAAGTGGTGTGATTGTCCCGATTGTAATGGTAGTAGGTCGTCACATTGGTCTCGAAGTTCTGCGAGGCAATCTCACGCAGTTCGGTTCGCGAATCCCCCGTAATCTTGTCCAGCATTTGCACCTTCTTCTGGTACATCTGGAAGTTCATGGCGGTGCCCATTTTGCGCATCACCAAAAGTGAGAGGATCTCAGCCGTGCTGCGAATCTGACGGTATTCCGATGTCCGCCAATCCTCGATGAAGTTCAGGAAATTGAAGCAGCTCTCCAGCACATACAAATCCTGTTCCTCATCCCGCTTGCAATGTCTGGACAAGGATCCGCGCAGCCAGTTCATCAGGTCGATGATGGAACCGGCAAAACTCAGGACTCGCGAGGGCACCACACTTTTTCCAATCAAAACCTCGTCGAGAACGGTTGGCGTGATGTCCAGTTCGACTGTTGTGCTCAGTTCAATTTCATTCTCCATCAGGACGAAGGCTTTGTTCGGAAGATCTAAGAAGAATATAATTATAATAGATATAGGTATATACTTCTCAAAGATTCTACTTAATTAATTATACAGCTTTGTGTATCCTCAATCTCTTCAAGTTTGAAATTTCGCTCACCTGCCAAAAACTCATCATCCGTTCGATCGGTGGGCACGGAAAACAGAGTGCCGTTCTCCTTGAAGTGGCTGGCCAGCTTATTACCGAACATGATGTAAACGTTCTCATCGCTTTTGAAGTGCATCAAGCACATGTGCTCCTGGCGGGCAGCTTCCATGAACTCGTTGTACATCTCGAGGGTTTCCGTAGTTATTTCCACGGAGGCGATTTTCTCGCCCCACGGCATTTGGTGCAGCAAATGCGCCACTTTGGGAAAGAGATGGGCTCGGGTTCCCGGTATTGGCCAAATATTGTACTCGAGATCCTTGATAACCGACTCTAGTTGTCTGTACAGCTCCCAGTCGAGGAAAATACCCATCGAAAACGGAGCGCACTGCTGCAGAAACTGAACTTCCTGGAGGAGCAAGTTTTCGGCCAAGGTCACGTTGTCGACATTGATGGCGCGGATTCCTGCAAATCATATTAAATATTAAATGAACCATAAATGTATATATTTCTGGTATAGGTAAGACAACAAAGAATAATTAAAATGATGAAACAAAACTGAAAATAATAAAAATGAACTTTAAAACTTAATAAAAGTAAGAATACCCTATATATTTGAGGAGAACTTTCAAGAAGCCTCAAAGAAATCATTCGAGTGGAAGTCAAGTACCAACCAATTTCAAAGTCAGCCATTATGAGATTCGCCTGGTTCACTCGATTGATTACGAAGAGCGCTGAGACGGGATCCTTGGTCAGGACACTGAGCATCACATCGCCCTCGAGTATCGTGAGGAACTCATCCTGCTTTTGCACCACCGTTCCCTCATCCGCGCTACTGATGGTTAACTGTAGGCCATTCCGACAGATATCCGCCTGCAAACCAGACGTTGTTCCACTGCTGCTCCCCTCAGTCGTGGACGAGATGAGTGGGGCCAGTTGGCCATCCACGGAGCTGGAGACTCCGTCATCGGTGCTGGTGGTTTGAGCCACCGTCGTTGGGGCCTTTGTGGTAATACTGGTGGGCTTGGCCTGTTGACTTGTGGGCTGCGGTTTGGTTATTCGAAGGGGAGCGGACTTCTTGGTGGGAGATGTCAAGTCTACTCCATGACAGTCCAAAATGCAGAGCAGAGTGAGTAGCACGCACAGCAGAACTGGAAATTAAAGAATACATTTAAACTAAGCAATTTATTAAGTTAGCTTTGCTGACAAATCGATAGACCATAGAATTAAAGAAAAAAACAAAAACCGTAGGAATAATTCAAACAGACAACGCAATTGTCAAACTTAAATGCGGTTGAAAAGAATAAATTAAGTCCCTGAAATATGACCAGAATAAATATAAGAAATCCCCTCAAGTTGCTATTCATTCCATTGCATTTCACTTGGACTTACAACATTTACTGAGCACTTACCCACTGGAAATGGCTTCCTCCGGCCAGACTGCCACGAACCCATGACCTTCCCTTAAAGTTGAATGCTTTTTAATTATACAAAAAATGTACGTTGATAATAAAACGATTTCACTGTCTCTTTTTTTAACATGCACGGATAATTGGTAGCATTTTAAAAGCACTCTGGAGCACAAAAAGAAAACTGTAAGTGGGATATTAACAATTGGAGGCGACAACTTTGAACCGGGCTTTGAATCGTTATGCGAATGCGAACTTCTGCACAATTTCAATTTTAGCTTCTGCGATTTTTCCTGGTCACTTCAACCATTCGCCGACTGCGTGGAGAGTGTTGCACTTTAATCGCATTAAAAATTGTCACACTAACACAGACTTGGGCTTGGCACAGTTTCCACTTTCGCATGCCCGTTTCTTCGTGATTTTCCCCACTATCACTGCAAAGTAATGCGGTGGAAAATATTTCTGTTTCGCATATTCTCTCCCTTTGGGAAAATCAATAGAATTTTTTTTAAGGCGAATTGCGGAATTTATGGCACCGCGATTATAACACAGATTTACGCACTGAGCCCTTTGACAGTCTGAGCCGCAATAGTTGGGGTTTCGGCCATGGGTGCGCAATGGTAAAACACAAACTGAACGCCTCACTGGTTTTAGGGTCAATTAAACGATTCTCGTTTTATATTTGCCCACTGATGTACGCAGCACTCAGGCCATATATTTTGTCTGTCCGCGAACGAGCAATTTGATTTGTAAGCCCCTGTGTTAACGGGTGCAGTATTGCAGTGGCCCGAACAATGCAATTATGTTCTATTCGATTTTTTTAGTCAGTCGGCCGCCTTTATTTAGTTTTTTCTTTCTGTTGTGGAACCCACCCCCGGGGAAAAGCGAACGCGGAACACTGATGTGGCAATGCTTTTGCACCTGTTTTTGGCCGTTTTGTTTTGACTAACTTGGCTTTGGCCGGGCAATCGCTGGTTGTTATGGTTATGGGCTCAAACTGTCACTCACACCCATTGAGTGCTTTTCGCTTCGGTTCGAGTGTACATTTTCCCATAATTATACAAATAAATATGTACCCGTGTACCCTCGAAGCCAGTTCAAATATTGGTCATTGCAATTAGCCGGACTGGTTGGTTGGTTGGTTGGTAAAAGTTTCAGCTTTCAGGTTTCAGTTTCAGGGTGGAAAAGGGTGGCCTGTCAAAAGTGCCGATCAGTAATTGCAATTTCGGCCACTTCCAACGCTGAGCACTTGACAGCCTGCACAATATTTGTTATCGGTTGGGCTTATCAAAATGTTTCATTTAATTTTGTGGCTATGCAATCTAAACGGATTCCCCGTGGAGAGTGTTCTGTGGAATATCCTTGAAAACAGAAACGACAGCCGGGCCTTGGGCAGTGACATTCGCAGGGCGCTTTTCCGGGTTTCGGGGCTTTTGCATAACACTTTTAATTAATGTCAAAGGCAACGGCAGTCGAAAAACAGCCAACTGCATTTGACTGCATTGCATAAGTTTAATTTGAACTCTTCTCCTCTGGGTTTTTATAACTTTTATTGCGTTAGGAACTATTTCGGGCTTCACTTGTTGGTCTTTTTTCGGCTTTGTGGTATTTCATTAAAAAATTTGCACTATGTTTCGGGCACACACGCATCAATATGTCACCGCCGGACCTCGTTCACGTTTAAACTGTTTTCTGAAACTAAACTGGCGGTAGAACCAACGATAGCGCCTCACTCGTAAGCCCATAAAAATGCAGCTGCTTTTTAGGGTTAGAGGGGGTGGTCTTAGGCCTTATTTTCCACTCGACTCACGCTCACCTGCTCGGGGGTGATGCCTTGTTTCGGCCAGCTCAGTTGGTCTTGCCTCGCAGTCAATATAATATGCAGTTATTAGTGACACCAATGGGCAATTTTCAGCCGGATTGGGATTGCCAAGGGCCAAATAGGTCACTTCTGCTTTCACCTTGTTCTAAGACATTTCCAGTTTTTATGCAATTTCAAAAGTATTTTAATTCTGATCGCCAAGACAAATTACATAAATACTTGTACGCAAGGTACAAACAATAATTTTTTTTCGTACTAAATAGCCTAAAACTGAAAGGGTTTTGGTGTTCATGGCTTACGTTGTCTGGAAAAATTTCGTACAATTTTGATATGAAATATTCATTGAAATGAAATATTGAGATGAATAATGGTGTTTGGTTTCTCGTGCTTCGATGTTACTTCATTTTACTGATCTGGAATGAATCCAGTCCCCTTATTGACCATCTCCCGCTCCTTTGTTGGCCGTCCTCCGAATGGATTTGGGTGGCCCACGAGCGGTGACTGATCCACTTGGGTACTTGATCCCACAGTCATCGTCCTCGCTGCAGGACGAGATTTCCGAGGAAAAACGGATGTCATCGGTGTAGGTCTCATCCATGCTGTCAATGGGCGTTTCCACCTCGGTGTCATCATCCTTTTTATCCCCCTGACAGCCGGCGATGTTGCGGGGATTCTTGATTACCCTCTCACAAAGTCCGCTTTTGGAAAGTTTGTTTTGAATCAAAATGTCATCGAGATCGGGCATCTGCTCGCTCACAGGCTGGCCATTCATTTCATTTTGCTGCACCTGAGTGCAGAAGCGCTGTAGTTGGCCCAGAAGTTCCCGCATTCCCATTTCGGAGGACTTGACTGCCAGACTGTGATCCGAGGAGGATTTCTGGGCCTCAGGGCTCTGCGGCAGTGGCTTAGAGGTGCTGTGATAAGCCGCGGAGTTCTTGGGAGTCACGTTCAGATCCTTTTTGTTGGCACCGCCCACTTTGCCGTGGCTCTTGACTCCTTTTGCAACAGAATGTTTCAAGTTCTGCGATGGCTGGTAGTCAAGATTCTTGCTCGCCGAGGCAGCTGCCGCTAAATTTGCCTTCGAAAGACTGATCATCTCCGGTGTTGGCTTGCCGGACATCAGAGATTGGTGCTGGTAGAACATCTTGTCGTACTCGGACTTCATGCACAAATAGCGAAAGTGTCGCGAGTTCTCCTCCCCGTAGTAAATAACCTCTGTTGGGTTTAAAATTTTAAAAGTAGTTGAGGGTAATTATTAGTTATAGTTTATAAGAACCTACTGCTGGTAACGTGTTCTTGCAGCTTCTCCAGTTGCTCATTTGTCTGCTTCAATTCGCCGGAGAACCTTTCGATTTTGTGGCCCAGATCTCGTAAGTTCTTCACAAGAGCATCCGAGATGGTGTTCTAGGTAGAGATAAAAAATTGTTGTTTTGTAGGATATTATATAATTTAATATCTATGTATTAACAAAATATGTTTTTCGAACCGAGCCATCATTAATACTAAAATAAAAACTATACATGTTGTTCTTCTAATTTTTAGAAATTAAATAATAGCTCTTACCCCTACGGCAGTTTGGACGGTCTGGCGGATCAGCTCGAAGAACTCCTCGGGATCGTCGTCCTTCTCTCCATCTTCATCGGCGGTACTCACGTGCACCTTGCCCGTCGGAATCGGCTGCCGCCCACGCGAGTGCTTCTGATGCGGATGCGGATGCGAATGTGCTTGAGGATGCGGATGCTGATGCTGATGCTGATGCTGTTGGTGGTGCAGCTGCTGTTGGTGATGGTGGTGCTGTTGCTGCTGCTGTTGCTTCAAGTGGCTGTGGTTCGACATCTGCTGCTGGTGGAGCTGGTGCTGCGGCGGATGTTGCATCACTCCCGTTTGCGTCTGCATTTGCATTTGCATTTGGTGGACGTGGGAGTGCTGGTTGTGCCGCCGCCTGTTGCCATGATTTACCGGCTGTGGAGCCATTACCTCCTTGTCGGAGGAGTCGGCGTTATCATCTATGGGATAGTTGCTCCTCTGGGTGTTGCCCTTTCCGTGGTGCTGCATCCGATGCGTCTCCTTCGGCTTCGCCATGCTGTAGACACTTTGGTTCACCTTGCCCTCGGCCAGATTAAAATGCGGCATCTTGTTCATCTGCGGCTGACGGCCGGTGGCCTTGTTGGCCATATTCTGCCGCCTCGAGGACATGGCGTTGTAGGGCGACGGGTGGGCGTGGCCGGGAATCATTTGCGAAGGCGATGGCTGATTTAATGTGCTCGGGGCATTTCTCAAATTGGCCGCCGTCAGCGGAAGATTGGTGGTGATGTAGTAATCGTTTTCTGTCACAAAACTGCGCTGAGTTCGAGAATCGTTTGGCCGAGAGCTAATGGTTCCGGGTCCGCCTCCAATTCCCGATCTTTCAGTTCGCATTGTCGTGGTTTTGGTCATACCTGCATGCGAAATAGCCACCGACTTCACTGGATGCAATGCATCCAGCTTGGATCCGTACACCTCCTCGATTCCCTTGCGACGACTCGGGCGCACCATTTTCATTGAAGCGATTCCGATCACTCAACTAAAAAACCTCGGTTCGGTTCGGCCTTCGATTTCGATGGCCTCGATTTCTACCAATTAACGCAAATTCACAAGAAAGTATAAACTGTATTTTGAATGTTTTACATCTATATATGTTCCTGGGGTGACTTAGCTTAAATGAATGGAGTATATGGGGTACTGTTCGAAGTAATTACAAGAGTCTACTTGGATGATGAATTTGTTAAATTAGAAATATGTATTAAACAAAATTGTTCCGTCACATTTTTATTAACTTTCCTGTAAAAGCAGAGTGGGCTTAATATTCGCCGGAGAATGATTTCTGAGTAGAAATCCCATTTAAATTGCTTACTCACTCCACTGCTTGACTGGCAACCACATACAATTTCACACCTCCTCATCATTCAAGCCGCAGGTAGTGAGAGAGTTTTCCCGTAAATTTGTTTACCTTTTGCCGCTCAACTAACCACAAATGGCAATGACACAGACCAAAGGTTCAATGTTTGTCCGCTTTGCCGGAAATATTTGCTCGCTCCGACGCCAAATCAAATGCTAATGAGCTGCATCCGATGGTGGGTGCCACTTGCTTCTCGCTTGGAAGTGGTTCATCGCTCGGCAAAATTATTACCAATATTTATCCGATTATTTACCTTTGAACCGCCCAGAGCGGCTGTGTATCCACGGCGAGTTATTCGACAGCCGGGCCACGTTGGCTGAATCCTTAAGCAGGCAACTGGCTTTAAGGCCTTGTCTGGACTACTGCTGAAAATAGACCGCTTAGCCTCAGGTTACAGACACTCAAGACATAAAGGGAATTTAAGGCGAAAAGGATTCAAGGAGGGGCACACAATAAACTGCTGAAGGACCCTTAAAAATTGGGTCATCTGTCTGTGGGGACTGCGCTCTGAAACGGAAAACCCAAGGCACCCGGCCCAACTGCCTTCCTCATGTCTTCATTATGCAAATTGCGTATACGACGCGTGTGCTGCGGGCCACTGCAGGAGACCTTCCCCCTTTCCTCTTTCCGCCAGCAAATCATTTTGTTGACAATCTGTTGCATGCGAAACTTATTAGGAACGAGATGCTATCTGCAGCTATAATTTTCATTTAATGCACACCCTTTTCATTTCCCCTAAACGACCTCAAGTACTTTCCATTTAATTCGTTTTGCGACTGTCTGCTCTAGTCATAAATATAAATGAACCATGAAAGGCCGGCAACAGTGGACTATAATTTAAGATCCTGGCCTGCATTTGAAGCCTTGAAGTTTATTTCCATGCATGTGTTACTGAATTCGAGGAAGCGAGAGAGGTCAGACAGGCTTAATTTGTTGAAAATTCGCAGAAAGCTGCCACTAAGCCTTTCAGTTGATGCCAAATGACGTTGTCGTTGACATTGCCTAGGCAACAAAATGGTCAAACTCTCATGATTTGCTGTCGTTCTATGGAGTGTTCGCAGAGATTATCGGCGGAATGGCAACAAAATTAGATACACAACATGGGCAAACAAAACGTGAGCCATTCGAAATGAATATTAGTCATTAGCATCATGCGGAACGATAAATTTTGATGTGCCCAGCATTAGACCAGCTTAAGGCGGGGACATTTCCAAGAAATTTATCACCGAAGAAACTTTGCCCCGCGGCGCAGATAAATCATGCGAATGGTGACCACAAGTCGCTTGGCAGCAAATTGTTGAGCATTCGCAAGGCACATGAAATACGAAATGTTTCCGCTGGCATTTCTTTATTTTAATTGCAGACCAGGCCAATTAAAAGGAAAGTAAGCGTTGCAGCATTTCACAGACGCATAAATTTGTCGACTGTCAGCAAGTCTTCAAGACTTTCCGGACACTTTACGACTGCCCACCCAAAATACGTCATTTGTATTTTAGTTTTCTATTTCTGGCTGAGAGGCTGACGAATTTCTAGGTTTCCTTAGCACTGAGTATTTACTTCGAAATAATTACCATCGAGCAAGGATTTATATAAATTTAATATTATTAATAAGTTACCATATCATATATATTGGATTTTGTAAATATACTATTAACTTAACTTATGTTTCCGTCAAGTGTATTCAACAGTCGTTCAGATGTTGATTCTTGATCCTTCTCGTGTTAATGGATGTATTTATAAAGCAGAATACATATATTAATATGGGCAGCGAGTAAATAATTTTACGCCTATTTATTTGCTTAATTTAAAGAGCTATTTATCGCTGTTTATTTATTTTAAAGTATTTCCACTGACAGACGAACATGACGAACGAGAATTTCCCCGCGTTCGCACTCTTTCTGGGCCGTGTGCTTTATGACAAAATGTTCCCAATAAATAAATGCTACAACGAAATAAATTGCCGCTACAGATATCATACAAATAAATTTGCTTATTTATGCGATGCTGCCAAAGTTTCGAACAAATTTCGCGATTCGAATCGAGTCTCTCACTTGCGTTCTCATAAATGCAGCTGCTGTCGCTTTGTTTTGTTTCGGCTTTTTAATAAAAAATCGGTCTGACTCGACTTTGATTGTTGATGATTGTTTTCTGAATTTTGATGGCTTTTTGTCACGAATTCTCAGCAGAGAATTTCTTTATGTTGCCCATTTTTTATACGCGCTACAGATCAGTGGGGTGCGGATTTCTCCTTTTGTTTTGGCTCATCACAGAAAACTGAATGAAATGAAAATACAATTTCTTGGTATTTGGGTCAGCTGGGTGTTTTGGCACACTTCAGTTGGATCAATTAAAGTCATAAACATGGCGATGCAGTTTGCAAGGCAATGCAGCGAATGCATTTATGAGGTAAGTTCGGTGCATACAAATTCTGAAATAAGTTGGATTCGAAAGGCATAATCATGTAAATTTAACTTTTAATTTCTCTGTTAAAAACTAGTAAAAAGAAACAAGTTTACTTATTATTACCTTCTTTTTAAGGTTAAAAATAATAAAAACACAGGGAAAACTATAAGCTAATTAAGCATTTGTAGCACTTATCACCATTGATAAGAAAGCTCGCTTGATGTTGAGCAACATTAAGCTCTTGCTGGCCGTCAGCAACATGTTGCTGGTGCACGCACGTAGCTGCCCCTTGAAGCTGGCTAGTCAACAGTAATTAATTGGCCAACTGGCCATAAATATTAACTAAACACTTGAGCCACTCTAGCTGCACATCCGCAAGGCTTGGTCAAGAGCAGCGGCAACATGGCCAGCAATGTTTGCAGCATGTTGACAGCCTTTCCGATCCGAAACGAAACGAGTTCGGCAACATAAACAAAAAACAGCTGTTTCGGTTGTTCAGTTGGCGGCTTCTTTAGCCGGCTGTCTTGAATGTGGGGTGAAATCAGGCAGCAGGCGGCAGGTCAGTTGTCGTGTGCCTTCGTGTTGCCGTTGTCGGCACACCAGCAACACCAACGACGGCAGCAACAGCAGCAACGGCAACGGCAGCAACATCAGAAGCAGCAACAGCAGCCCAAACAGGAAAATCCGCACGACGATGCCACACACAGAAATTCAGTTCAATGCGAAATTTTGTTTGAACCAGACGCGAAATTTCTTAACGCTGCGTGGCCGAAAGCGATTTTCGTAAATCGTAATCGTAAAAATTGTCAACAACTTTAAGAGCCAAGAGCCCTAAAAACAGTGAAGAAAAAAAGTTATTGGTAAAATAAAAAATAAATAGAAGAGTGTAAATTAAGAGTGTATTACAAAAAGGTGAACAATTAATTCGGCATATAAATCAAGTGATCGCGTGTGCATCTTTAAGATACTTGTAAGACAAGATTGCCTGACTAAACGAAGCTCATCGAAGTCAATTGCCTTCAGTGAAATCGCTGGCCAATTGGTCGCGTCGCTTGTTTTACACATTTTTTAACACCGAACTCAATTTCGATTTGAATTCGAAGTGCAATTTCAATTTCCATTTCGAGTGCACAATATTCAATTGGAATTGCAATTGCAATTCCAGCCACGGCAAGTAGTTTGAGTGAGTATCGGTGCGGTTGCGCAATTACTAAGCGCCATGCCTTGGACTCGCTGTCTGTGTCCATGTCGCCCTCTTAGCGCTAAGTATCTATTCAATTTATATATTCGTTCGCATTTAGTTGACAGTGATTAATCTTAACATTTGAATGCGAACTCATGCTAAGCTCAGCAATTAATTTGTTCGCCTGGATTTCCACACCGCGACACTGCGAATGCGACTCAATTATGCATGTTGCACCAGGATTTCAATTCGTTTTCACAAAGCGTTACATTTCATTCCAAAAATGCAACAAACCACTGGCTAATTGATTGAAAGAGTGGTTGGAATTTTGTTAAGAATTAATTGCCCAGCTGTCATGAGCTTTTTATATAGTTGTCCTATTAAATTTGGCCTAATTGAGGGATATTAAATGTTAACCACTTGTCGAGTTTATTAAAATTTGAAATGGACATTTCATTAGGTGAAGTAATATGATAGGCTACAATGGGGAGAATGTAATTGAGAATACCTGAATGCGGTTTAACATAATAAATTCATTCTTGACAAGAATATAATTAAATTGTACTTTGACATTTTTCTGCTTATTATTCATTTTCAAAGAAATTGATTATTAATTTATAGCTTTCGTGGAAAGAAACATTTTCATTTGCTAAGTTTACCATATTTTGCTCTTATTAATTATTTTCACGTTTTTACATTATAGAAAAGGTAACAGGAGTTTAAGTAAATATACAGAATATTTAGCAAACTTACTCAACTGAGAAATATAATTATTTGTTAAAAAATTGAAGAGGGGAAACTTTTCTTGCAAAATTAAAAGTTACTTTGTAGCTAGTACTCTTTTAGTTTCACTAAATTTCTTTTGAGGATAATAATTACAGCTATAAATAGTAAAGAGCGTTGTCAGCTTCGTTTTGACCCATTTAAATAGCTGAAAATGTCCGCAAGCTGTACAAATAAACGCACTCCAACCTGAACAGACCTCAACTACAGCTGCGAGCCATCAAGTGTAAGCCAGACCGATGTGCTTGAATAAACCAAGGCAAAGCCTCGGAACTCGGCACAAAATTAAATTTTGTTCGCAATGTATAGTTGTCAATTTGTTTCCAAGTGGCGGTTGCACTAACCAACTGCGCTGGGAAAAGAAGCGAAACCACGGCGGCCCTTGAAGGGAACGCGGCTTCAATGGTGTTTGCCAATTAATAGCAAAATTGAGCCAAGATAAAGTTGAGCAAGTGCTTTTGTTCGGGAAGAAAAACTTAAGTTTCGTTTGTTGTCGTGGCGAGTGCGGAAGTTGCCAAAATAGAGAGGCACAGAGCACACAGAGGGTCGAGTAAATAGGAAACTTTGCAAGCAAAAAAAAGGGAAAACTATCGGTGGAAAGTCGCTTATGAGCAGCCAACACTTATGTATACATGTCACATAGGGACAACTCCATTCCCGAATCAGAATCAATCTACCCCACAACCACAAGTCATGTATCTTTGTGCGGATGTATATATGTATATGTATATGTGGGTCAGCGATGTTGATTGTGATTGATCTGCGTTTAATGCCATTTTGTTGTTAGACGGAAGCGTAAAACTGGTCAGCTTGGAGCGATGATGTGGCACAAATCTCTGCCAGAGGGTCCCTCCATCCGAGCGGGAAAAGTTCTAGAGGTTGGGGGCTGTCATCCGAGCTACACATGCTCGACATATTTATGAAGTTGTTGACTTGGCCGTGGCCAGCTTTGACATGCAATCCGGCCGGCATATGCGGGACTCCTTTTACACATTTTTACGAGCTTATAAGTTTGGTCCCGGCTAATCATGTCCTTGTGTAGCGTTAATACGACCGGAAAATGCGCATATATAACTCTGCACACAGAGAAATTGATTACGATATTGGTTTTTACTTGTAAAAAGCAAATAATTTTAATAGAGATAGAGACATTCTGACAAAATATCTTCCAAGGTTTTTGCTTTTTATTTACACTTCCACAAGTAAATGTTCAGTATATAACAAATGTGTGTGCAAAAGTGTTGAAATTTTGAAGCTCTCCTGTCTTCGAAGATGCTGTGAATTGAACCAGAAATTCCTTTCCTTTCCGTTCCCAAACGACCATATTCACTTGCATCCCAACCCATTCACGTCAAAAACATTAGACAAAGCGAAGAGGAAGGGCGATTCGAGCTTGAGACAGCTAGCCCTGATGTATGCAATGGAAGTGCCAGCCATATCACGTAGGAGCGCTATTTGCCCAATCCCAATCCCAGCCAGCACCATCCCCATCCCTATCCTGATCCCCATTCCCATCCCCATTTTCTACATCCCCAAGACACATATTTGCACAGAGATACGTGCGTGTAAAATTGCAAATCGCATTTGTGGCTTTGGTTTGTTTCAATTTTCAACGACTGACATTTTTGATGCATTGATTATGATATTCTCGGTTTTATATTTGTGCTTTGGCAGTGGCTTATGTTTACTTCAATAGCACAAAGAAGTAAACAAGAAGAAAAGAATTTTATTTGAAATTTTAAAGTAAATATTAAAGCTACCGCGAAGAAATTAGTCTTTCAAAACCTATTCAGCAGGATGTTTAATTTGAAAGGACCTGGGTTGTCTCATTCGTCACGTTCTTATCACGAAAGGAATCCCCAATTTATTTGCATCCATTTACCAGTGAACTCCGGGCTAATCGCAACTTTACGTGTATCACCGACATAAAAGGAGACCCAAACGAAATCGAAACTTCGGCAATGATTTGTCGACTTTTCAGGGTTACTTCACACTTCACAAATTTTACATGCCGATGGGTCGGAAAAAGGAAAAGGAAGGGACTGAGATGGGACGGGCCACCAATAACAGGAAGTTGTCTATTATACGCCCACGTTTCTTCGGAAGACACATACAGATGATTGCAATAAAGATACGCAGACAGACTGTCTATCAGTTTTCCCCGAGCTTTCCACTTAGCTCCGGATTTATTTTCGTATGCTGCACTGCTGCCGGAAACTTCCGCCCAAAGTTTATCATCTCCAGCTGAATGTGCCACTGATTTGTTGCCCCTCGAATGTGCCTAATTGAATCTTGTACATTCTTTTTTGTTGTTCTGCTCACCCGAATGCAAATAAATGTAGCTAATTTATTTATTCAAGTTAAATCGTTTGTGAAATTGGGTCACAATGATTAGACTAAAAGTTCGTTAGGAGCAATGATTTACATTCTTCTAAATGTATATCGCTCTCCGACGTTTTCCACAGGAAATTAGTTCGGTCACTTTATTTGACACAGGAAGCCCACCCAGAACAGCAGAAAATGGCAATTTTCCTGCACATTTTTCAGCAAAATCCCCAACAAAAAACATTCGCTTGGTAATTGCTAATTGTTTTGTAACAAAGCCAACATTTAAATATAAATGGGCCATAAAAAATGTTCCAGATTAGGACAACATTTTTGCTTGTTATAAATTCGCTACATGACAATCAAAAAAATATTTAAAGTCGCAAGCCAAATTTAATAAAATATTCCAAAAATAATTTGCACAATTCACATCCAATTTGTAATGTCTGCCATTATTTGTCAACTTAATGTGCCTACGCCCTGACTCTAGGGAGATTGAATTTAAGAAGAAAAAAAAAGATCTGATTTATTGTGGGAGAGTCTTCGGCAATAAAAGGAAAAAACAAGAAAGCAAATGTCTTAAAACACGGAGGCAAAAAAGTTCCAAAAATACAACGCAGACCACCGCAAATGTGTGGTTGCTGTGCCAGCTGTCAATGATTTGTTTCAACAATTTTGCCTGCCGAGTGTCTCCTTAAACGCACATAAATATTGTGATTACCTATAATGTGCTGACTGCCAGTCTGTCCACGGTCCGCGGTCCTGAAAGGACGAATGTCTGAGCTGTCTGCCGCAGGACACTCCACTCCAGCGCTCTCCCTTTTTGCTGCGTTCGCCACATTTTTAATGATGTGTCGGCAACGCCTTTCAACGTCAGCCAAAGGCTTTAACATAACAATTTCCTTTTAATTCAGGCAGCAACGCAGCTTAATTATCCAAGGGGCTGGAGGCCAATAATCGTTGCTGACACTTTAACGCGGATTTCATACGTTTTATTGGCCATGCAATTATGCATAAATCGCTGCGCCTGACACCTCAATAATTTTTAACTGTTATTGCTTCGCATTTATTATCTCGACAGTGTTTAAGCAGTAGTACAGTCGCAAAATGTAATGTTATGCCTACTTAATGCATGTCAGCTTATTTAAAAGTTTTATGCAGACTTTAAAGCTTAAGGCCATTTATGTGTTCAACTGTTCAATTGTTTTACAATAAAACGAACTCTAACTTTAATAACTTAACAATGTATTAAAGCCCATTTATAGGTAATTATAGAAACCTATTAAAGTGAAAAGTACACACAATTATCCTAAACAGTTAATGCGCCAAAGATGTCCAGACTAAGATAGAATTACTTGGGGACAAACATACTTCATTAGCTTAATCCTGGCAGTTTTTCAAGTCTTTTTGTTCGTATTAGCCCGCATCACCCATGAGAAAACTAAGTTAAAATGTCCCATAAATCTCTGATAGGCCAGGCTAAATTTATTGGAGCCCCCTTATCGGCGTCGCCAACTGTCTAATTAGGCTTTCACTTGGACGGGGCTAAAATGGGGGTGATAAGCGATAAGGCAGACACATGTTAACAGGTTGATATTCTGGCGAAAACAGAGAGCCTAAACAAAGCAATGCCAACAGCTGTCCAAAAACATGGGAGTAACATCAGTCGCACTTTGTTTTCTGTTTTTCGGAGCGTGGGTGTCCACACCAAAATTGAAATCCTCCCTACGCAACGTGCCAAAAATAGCAAACAATACATAAACCGCCGAAAGCAACGTGTTTTCAATGTAATTTTTGGCAAAAATTAATTTACAGATTGAATGTCATTCATAGATAGTTCCTGGAAACTCGGCAAACGGAATTTGTTTGCATTTTCTATTGAAACTTTAGCT